GGCTGTGGCTCGTGCCCTGGCTGTGGCTGGTGCCCTGGCTGTGGCTGGTGCCGTGGCTGTGGCTGTGGCTGGTGCCGCGGCCGTGGCCGTTGGTTGCCGTGGCTAGTGCCGTGGTTGGTGCCGTGGCTGTGGCAGTGGCTGCCGTTTGGACAGCGTTTGGGCTCGGCTTTGGAGAGGGTTTGTTTTACGCTGGGCTTTTGGGCAAAGTTTGGGCTCGGCTTTGGAAAAAGTTAGAGCTTTTGGGCAAAGCAAAGTTGGGGACTTGGGAAGGGTTTGGGCATTTGGAAAAAGTTTGGGGCTTGGCGAAAAGTTTGGGCTTTAGGAAGCGTTTGAGCTTTTGGAAAAAGTTTGGGCCTTTGGGAAAAGTTTGGGCTTTTGGGAAAAGTTTGGGGCTTTGCGAAAGTTTAGGCTTTGGCAAAAAGTTTGGGCTTTGGCAAAAAGTTTGAGGTTTTGCAAAAGTTTGGGCTTTGGCAAAAAGTTTGGGCGTTGGCAAAAAGTTTGGGCTTTGGCAAAAAGTTTGAGACTTTTCAAAAGTTTGGGCTTTGGCAAAAATTTTGGGGTTTTGGAAAAATTTGGGCTTTGACAAAAAGTTTGGGGCTTTGCAAAAGATTTGAGATTTTTCAAAAGTTTGGCCTTTGGTCAAAAGTTTGGCCTTTGGCGAGTGAGCTGAGATCCAGTTCACTCTCGGACCTTATTATACTTAATAGTAGATGTACCCCTACAATGAAACCAAAAGCAAACAGGAGTAGAAACAAACGGCCTATCCAGGCTACTTAATGAGTCTTTTTTGTGGTCGTTGTCGTGCTCTTCCTTGCCGCGAAGGCTCAACAAAAGTGTTGTTATTCTTACAAAACCTAGAAGCCATAACATTCCAAATCTGAGATCGGGACTCCGTAGTTGCGATAGACATTGCTTTCAGAGGTCGGTAGATGTCCTCTTCCTTTTGCGCCCTTATGCCGCATGAAATCACGCATGTGTTCCTTTTGAGTCCTGTGTCATGGTCAAGAGGAAAGAGTAATATTTAGTATATGTGTAGGTCCATTTCTCTGTGAATGTGAGCAGAATGATCCATCAACATCTACTAAAAAGTGAGACTAGAGGTTGAGGTAAGTAACACCTTCGAACTCCTTCTAATTATGAGGAGTGAAATTTCAGATCATATGGAGGCATCTTCCGAGTATCTATAGGAACAAGCTCAAGCCTCTTCTTTAACTACGGAAGGATAAAATTAAAAATTCCAAAAATTCTAATTCCTTTGCCTTTCTAACATCAAGACAAAGACTGACACGACTTCTCCTGACGTAGTAGTACCACCACTGTTCAGTGACGAATGTCTCAGAAATATCACTGCCCATGTATTAGAGCTAGCCTTAACCCATCTTCCCGTGAATGCATGAAGATCCCGTTAAAATGCGCGCCCTAGCACAACTTGCCTCAGTTGTACAACAGCTCGAGACTCTTCCAGTCACTGCCAGCGCAGTACTTTTTAATAACCGGACTCACGTGGAGATGGGTTCTTTTGAGCCATAAATATAGTGGTCATGGAGATGTGCCTGGACCCATCGGACGTATTCTTCCCAAGTCCTCGCGACACGGAACATCAATACGCAACGCGATTCAGTGTAACCACTATCAATTAGCACTTCATACCTGTTTAAGTGTCATGATGTTATGGTGCCTCTTATCCTTATGTGGCTATTGTTGTCTACTTGTGTGGGGTAGGGGGGGGTGGGTTGTTGATGGTCAAGACGGTGCGGGTGGTACTGGTAGTCAGTGGCTCAATGGAAATCAAAATCCAGGTAAATGATGCGTCTATAATAGAAAAGGTTACTCCCTCTCCAAAATTGGATCGGTGGACACGCTGGGCCGCTGGGCGACCCAAGGTGGATCTTCTGCGAAAGATTTAGCCCACCGTGCGCCCACCATGAGGCTGGGGGTCAAAAATCAGGCCGCCCTTCGGGCGCCGATTTCTGAAGCCCTCCGGCACAGTAAGCGAATGCATCTTGGATCCGCAGCAAGCTGCATACGAATCGGAGCGCCCACCTACTGGCCCGCCTGCGAATATCCCTCAGCAACGCCGGACGCACATTGCAGCAGAGCACAGAGCAGCGCTGCGCCGCACTCTACACACCCAGGCGGCACTGCATACAGCAGCGAAGCACCGCAAGCAGCGAGAAGGTGGCCACTCCGCAAAGGAGCGCAGCGCCGCGCCGCCCACGTCTGCGGCCCTGTACATTGGCGGAAGCAGCGGGGCAACGCCATACGCGCCCAGCGTGCGCCCACCGTGCCCCCCATGTGTGCCAAGGGGCCGCCCACCGTGCCAAGCGTGGCCGCCTAGCGGCCCAGCGTGCCCACCTTCCCACCGTCTATAAACTATTCTACTATGTACAAGTACAAGCAAGAATTAGAACTGGAACTGGAGATCTCGTAGTTCAAGAACCAGATCCACAAATTTTTATCGTTAACCAAGAAAAGCAATACCGACAATATGTCTCCGAGAAGCGGTCTGTGGGTATGTCGGTCGTTAGCGGATTCACGGGTGCACTTTGTGCACAGCGGAGATAGGTGACGAGCTTAGCCCACGTTTTTGTGTTAGAGAAGAGATGTTGAAAAATAATTATCACCCATTATAATTGCGATTCAGGTGGATATTGAATACATTGATACACAGCTATCAAGATGAAGCTGAAGATGACCAATGAAAAAAATAGAGCCCGCCCACTGGTAATGTAGTTTCATACGAAAAATCCTGTCTCTACTCACTTTGAGAATGACATCGACCCGCTTCTAGTCCTATTGCTAGCTGGCATGAAAAAACCTAGCAACAACCGCCCATTTCTTCGAAAAGCAGGACTAGAAATTATTTGCACTTTATATATAAATATATACTAGTAATTCTAGTTCTAAAAAAAGCTACGGCTACCGAAGTACATCAAGTAGTTCTTTGTTTTCTTCATAATTTTCGCGTCTCGATCGGCCCACTCTCCATAGTCGATCGAACGGGACCACTCTAGGCGATGCGCATTTGATGCTGCGCTAGAAGTGGATCGTAGACTGCGCCCACCATCCAAATTCGGATCTTCTTGGTCGAAGGCGCCCACCGGGAAGGTGAGAGATCCACTGGGAGTAAGTGACGCCGCGACAGATTAGAGGTACCGCCTGGCATCGTCCCTGAGACCATCCTTGGAGCCTTAGTCTACTTGAAAAGTAAGTGGACCAAGGATGATGCTGCGGATGCTTATGCAGTCTGCGTTGCCTTAAACAGATGAAGTATCATCTCCGTCTTCCAGCTCCTGTTTATTGTAGGTGCAAATACTTTGTTCCTGATTTTCAGCAATCCAGCGAAAGTCACGGGATTCAGCCCACAGCTTTGTGGCCTCGATGTATCCGATATGATTTAAAGGCGGCAGAATAACATTCCTCAGAACATCCCTGGCCTTTTTTTCTACTAAAGAAAAGGTCGGGGATGGTAGTGGGGGATGCAATTTGGAAAGCCTTAAATGATACTCTGCCCAGAAGCGGAAGCGAGCAAAGAACCAGGTGGAGACTCCCTGACTGCCAATGCAGTAGCAGATAGCCGGCGCTTGAGCTTTGAGCATACTTAACTGACCAGCAGGAACCAGACTGAGTCCAACACAACGGTGTGCAGTCACTTCGCGCCTGTGTGATGAATCTGAAAGCTACAAGGTATTGATTTTTATACCAGAGCAGTTTATAAGGTTTCACGGCTCGCATGGCATGGAGTGCATGGATCACATGGAGTAGCATGGAGCTAAAGGGGGAGCTTCTTGCGCCCCTTAAAGCTCTGCGCTCCATGCACTCCATGCGCCATGCGTGCTATAAACTACTTACTCTGTTATACATAGGTGGTAATGGTATTCGTATTGATATTGAATGATGAAAGCGATAATATTACCATTGGGTCGTGGTCGTGGTATTGAAAAAATTTGTAGCACGTTCTTGACACCAACACGAATGTGATCAAGCTCGACGAGATGCAATGCAATACAATTAATCTCGCACAAAGTTCAGTGCAGACTGCCTTGTTAAGGGCGTCATAGATGGCATTCGCGATGGATCTCACGCAAAGAATGTAGCAGCGAAGCGGTACGGTTACGTTTGCAAAAATATTTTTACCTTGCCCTGATGTATAAATCCCGCACGGATTCCAATATGTCTGGCAGCAGAGCAATGTGCTGACTGCTCTTAGCGCTCGTTGGGCGCTTTCGGTTCTGGATTTTGATCAAATCCTCCAGCACTTTGAGTTGAGACACTGTGTAGATGCTCGGTGCCGATTTTGGACCCAGGTGATCAATCGTGATGTTCCACTTCTCGCAAACAGCGATCATACTACCATGGATCGGAAGCCCTTTTTTCATCGCTAGCTTGGCACGCTTTCCGCAATGGTAAGTCAAGGAAGTTAGAAGAGGAAGATTGAAATTATTCAAATTATTGTACGTGATTTTGTAAATAAGGACGGACCAGTAAATGAAATTCTCGCGCAGCAACAACATGAAGGGCGACACATCACTCAGGCTCATGCTATTGCTTGTACATGGGGACTTCCACCCATGCAAGCACTCTGTAGAGAAGACTCACAAGCAGCAAGTCAAGGCGGATAATATTATATGAGTTGCATTATACCCTGTTACCTTCGCAGGTGATTTACTGCTAGAAAGATCATTGTGATTGTCACAACACCAGTATATCTTTAAGATGGCCATAACTGCAAAGTTGGTTTAAAGTTTCCCAAAACTGCTTTGAGATCGCGTTCGTCGTGTGCGCCTGGCTCTACTGCGTCACTCAGCGGCCCAACAAACTTGTGAACTGACGTCGCTGCGCGGCTGCGCCCACTGCCGGGACAGGACGGAGCCATGCCGCTGCGCCCGGAAAAAGCCGACGAGGAAGCGTCCTTGTCCTCTGCGGCTGTTTTTCCTGAGACAAGGATGTAGTAGTAGTTCATGTTCAACACAGCTCATTTGCTCTTGGTGTGCATCACCTACTTTCACCAAATTTATCGGATCTTAGAATAATTTTTTTCTCGAAAAAATTGAACCTGATCTTCATTGAAGACAACAACATGAGCATCTGTGTATAATAGCCTAAACATAACGACAATTGCCGCAGACGCAGCTACTACTACCATTAGATCCAGATGAAGCTTTCAAAAATATTAGCTCAATCCCAGCAACCCTTTCCTAACCCGGTACTTTGATAATAGCCTAAACCAAAAAAAGTACCTTCCGGCAATCCTTTCGCTTGTCTCTTCGCACGTTCGTACAAACGGTGTGCGCTCTCAACAGCTTGAGCCAATGCTGCGCGTTTTTCCTTTTCTGTGTGCCTTTGACCAGCTTTCTGTTTCTCGCAGAAACGTTTTTCGATGTGCACAACACGACGTAGCTGAGCTTTGCGCGTGTAAGCTTCAAATTTGCGTGGTTGCACATCCAACAACTCCCATTCCATGGAGGACTCCAAGCTGTAGAGTTCGTTGTAGATGTGGTTACTAGATAATTTGTTGTACTAGCAGTAGTAGTGTACCCAGCAGTCGCGCGGCAGAATAGATTTAATTGGTATGCGGCTCATTTTAGTTTTGTAGATTGAAATGTGGTATATTTTATTTTGTGACTGTTTGAGAAATAACACAGAATAAACGGTGGAGAAGATTCCTTCTACGTCGAAGACTTTCATCGAACAACTCCTAATAGGTCATATTGCCCACTCTGATGCAGTCCAAGAAGGGCAATTGTTACGTCAAGAAACACGACTTAGAAATAGTAGTCGTACCGAAAGCTCGCCAACGTCCTCATTGCCGCAGCACGATCCAAGTTGGCCTCAATATCACGTGGCTGGATGTGCCGTACGTGAAAAGTCGGACTCTTGTTACAATTGTTGCCCACTTTCCTGCCCAGAAGCATCAGGGATGATGAATTTCGCGCAGTTTGGTTCTTAGAGTATAACCACAACCAGGAAAGGACTTCGACGGCCTGAGTTTAGTTGAGAACAAGTGGGAAGAACTATTGTTAAATTCTTGTAGTCCTAGTAGTCTGTCATTAAAAACAAAATCTCATAGTAAGTTCCAAGTCAGAACGGCACGACACTCAAGAATACTACGAAAAAGACGAACAAGTTGCTCATCTATAATTAAGTCGTACAGCTACAACATCAACAACAGAGGATCGCTTACGCTTTCCAGTAAAAACAATTAAGTACCTGTTTAGCTCGCACCAACGGTTCCGGATTTTCGTCAAAGACGAAGGTCAAATCCCGTTTAAAGACCAGCTGATTCCTTCCTCCATTCGCTTGAGATGCCACTGTGAACTTCCACAGCAGATCTGCCAGTAATCGCAGTTCCAGCGACTCACGTGCTACGATCTTACTGATTTGGCGTTTTGTGTAGTCAGCAAGACGTCGCGCATTTGCTCTTAAGCGCTCTTGCTTCTTAGCACGCTGTGCCGCCTTTTCGGATGCGGTCAACGGTCGTTTGTAGGCGTTGGTCTGGGATGAAGTTGTAGCAGGATCTTTTTCTAAATTCTCTTTCTCCTCTACTACCTCGGGATCTGTCGACTTGTTTATGTTTTCGCCTGCATTACCGCCACCAGTCTTGTTCTCGCCACTAGCTTCTTTCACGTTCTTTTCCTCCACGACTACCTGGTGCTCTTCAACTACACCAGTTCTAGTGCTTTCCTCTTCACTGCACTTGGTGTTGTCGAAACGTGTGATCTCTTCCAGACTTTCGCGCAAGTCTCCCGGCATAGGCTCTACCTTGAAGAAGTCATCCAACTCTTTGTGCTTAGGACAGCTGCACCTTTGGATCAGACCGTTCGTGCTGCCTTAGAGCAGGTTGCGCAATTACATTCCTCAGAACAACATCCTTGCCCTTTTTTCTACCAGAGCATAGCAGGTCAAGGATGGTAGTGGGTGATGTAATTTGGAAACCCCTAACTTCCACGTTGCCAAGAGGTAACCAGAGAAAGGATGCGGCCTTGCCCCATCTGCTCAGGCCGCAAAGCGAATTTCCACGGTTCTGGGGATTAGAGCGAGGTGTGAAGATACAGAAGGTGGAGTTGAACAAGAAAGAAATGATCGGCCCGCGGATCTCAATTTTCACAACATGGTCGCACTTAATGGCTGACAGTCTCCGCCAACAATGCAATTAATCTCGCACGAAGTTCAGCGCAGACTGCCTTAAGGGCGTCATAGATGGCCTACACGATGGATCTCACGCAAAGTTTGCAATAGCGAAGCGGTGCAGTTGCGTATGTTTTGGAAAGTAACAACTTAACAAGAAACAGCACTGAGAGAGAGACTTAGACAACCCGAACTGCCTTCGATAAACCAGCTAAAGCTTTTTAGTAAACAGCGCAGTTAGTTGTGACGGTACAGACTTTTGCTTTAATAGAGAATAATTATTTTTCAACAAGTACAACTTGGGAATAGTTGCTCGATGATGAACTCATTGTCACGACTCAGCACACTAATCTCCTATCTGTATCTGTAGAGTTAGACTTAGAAACTTGTGACAACATAATTTCCATTTCCCGGTTCTTCTTCCTCTTCCTGCGCTTCTTCGCAATAGACGTCTTCCCACGTGAGCAGCACTCGGACTGGACCAGGTGAGTTGTAGCCGCCCTGACCAATATCGTCCATAGAAGAAGCACAATTGTGTTGGCCTCTGCCAGGTCCTCCAGGTCCGGACATCGCGTTGTTCGGAGCACCTCCACCAATGCCTGGCACCGAACCCGCTCCCGAACGCTCTAGACGCTCAATGCGGCACAGGTTGAAGAATTTCATGATGGAAATCATGTCACTGCGAGACAAGTTCTGAGGAATGTTCTGCAAGACCAACTTGGGGACGAAAAATTGTCTCGTTTCCGCTTCCTGGAACATGCGCACGAAGGAGCGGCAATGGCCGTCAGTGAGGAACGGATCTCGGTCTTTGTTAAAGCTGCTCACCCTTATCGTCCATCTTGAAGACCATCCTGAGATCTTTTTCCCTTTGAAAATGTCCCCAGGATGCCTCTGGAGATGGTGATGGATCATTAGGGGAAGCCGTAACTTTGGTGTTTGCACGCGAAGAAGGCGCATGACTTCCTGTCGCGCTCTCGGCAATGGGCGGCATTTGCCCACTCTTCTTGGAAGCCACTACTACCGCTTGCTCTTCACCGGCAGAGCTCGAAGCACTGTCAGCCTCAATCACAGTGGCCAACTTAGTGTTCGATTTGTGTGCAGCAGCTGCGGAAGAAGCACCCTCTGCAGGAATCGGCTGCAAGAACTCTCGATCAGCATCTTCACTGCTATCGCCAAAAAGCAGTTCATCACTTTCAACATCCTCACGAGAAGTAGAACGCTCAGCCTTGTTGAACAAGATGTCCGCTTTCATGTTCGCTGCTGCTTTGTTACCATCAGTTCCAGCTGCGGCGGTTGCACTAGAAGATCCTCCTGTAACATCAGAAGTTCTTTCAGCACTACTAGTATTGGTCCTCGTCGCTGTTCTAGTTCTTGTACTAGATCCTCGTCCTGTAACATCAGAAGTTCTTTCAGCACTACTAGTATTGGTCCTCGTCGCTGTTCTAGTTCTTGTACTAGATCCTCGTCCTGTAACATCAGAAGTTCTTTCAGCACTACTTCTAGTATTCGTCGTCGCTGTTGTACTAGATCCTCCTTGGGCCGTACTACTTCTAGTATTCGTCGTCGCTGTTGTACTAGATCCTCCTGGTTGGGCCGTGACGTTCTCAATCAATTCCTCCACAGCGGCAGCATGATCCAATAAGGCGTTCCCCGGAGAATTCTCTAGCCATTGCAAACACTTGAAAACGCCTTCCTCGCCAGCGAAGTCGTTACGCGTCACCACAGGCGCAAGAGGCATCGCGCAAGTCGTGCCCGAAACCGAATTTTGAGTTCCACCTCCAACACCTTCAACAGTTGTAGCTGGTTCCAGGATGCCAGCACCTGCTTCTTTCGTCGTCGAGTCGTTTCTTGTTGGTCGTTGTTCAGCTTGTAGGCGTTCATGCAACAAAGAACGACCCAGGAATCGACTTAGCATGCGCACCTCGGGGATGCGGGAAAGAGCGGCTAAGGTCAAATGCGACTGCTGATTCGCCGTGCCTGACTTTTTTGCTCCAGCGGCAGGAGCAAGACAATGCCCGGCAATATTGGAGTTGATGATAGTTGTAGCCGGTGGCAACGCGGAAGGAACATGTGCCGGGTTCTCTTGTTGTTGAATATCGACGACGTGCTGCTGTTGATGTGCTGGCAAGATACTAGTTGTAGGGTCGTTAACACCTCCACCTCCACCGATATCTTCATGTTGTTGTTCATGTGCTGTTCCACCTCCCATAACACTGCTAGTACCAGATTGCGGATCCATGTTGACGTTGGAACCTCTGCTCGAAAACGGTTGTTGTTCTTGTTGATTGGTACTATTGGAAGATACCATATCCATAGGATTGTCTTCGTCGTCTTGTTGTGCAGAGAGGATTGCTTTCGGATGAAGAATTCGTGAGTTCATTGGACCGCTCGTGTGCACCAGCTGATGTGCAGACATGATTGGTCTAGGCTTGTTCATCGACGTACTAGAGGAAGTTTGTTGCTTAGAAGCCTGTGCTAGCATAGTGGAAGAGCTGTCCCGGATGATCCTGTGAACGTGGTCACGGTAGCGCTTGTTCTGAGTACCAATGTGCAAGAGTTCGGTCAACGCTCCCTTTTCGGGACTGAGCTGTTGCTCATTCAAGAAGTGCATCAGTTTGCGTTGCCCTTCGGCGTCCGGTTGTCCTGCGAATTTCATCACCTTCTCTGGTGCACCTGCTGCACGCGAGGGGCACTTTCGTCCAGCACGAGCAGTACTACCCATCTTCTCAGACCTGTTCCTCTTTCGTGCAGCAGGCGGGGAGGCGGTGGCAGCTGGTGAACATAGGCCACTGAGCGAGCTCCTGTTCAACGTACCTCCGCTACTATTCGAATGGATGACACCTTCACCACCTCCGACGTCGACATCCTGCTCTCCATCTAAGGCTCCTTCATCGTCATCTTCTAACGGGCGTTCCACGACATTGGCGAACTCTAAGTCACGACTCAGACCGCGAGTGGTGGTTGCGCAAGTGCTAGAACTAGCGTCTGTCCGGCTCATTCGGCGATGTACTTCCTCGCCAACTGACGAGTTAGAACAAGAACTAACTAAGTAACGTTAATAATAATAGGATCGTCCCTGATGAAACGAGTTACATCCTTCGGCGCTTTTTTTTCACAAGTAGAAAAAGAAGATCCACCAAGGATCTATCATGGTGTTCCTGTTATAAAGTTAAGGACAAGTTAAGGACATGCTTTTGCTTTACAGAGGTAGTCTTAATAACTGAGCAGGTGCCCGAAGGCACTTCCCGCATCTCGTCCACCACCGACAGCACTGAGGCGTCGGAGGACGAGCAATCGCCGTCTTCGGAACCAGAGGATTCATAGACCACGGTAGAAGCACCGATGGAAGACAACCGGGTCCAGGTGAAATGCGTGCGAGCCTTGTGAGATCTTTCCGCGGCCCCCTCACGCGACGCGGAGGTTGTAGCTGACGTTGAAAGATCGTGGTGTCCTTGCGGGAGCGGCTGGATCCATCTTAGAGGAAGAAAAAGCTTGTGTCGTTTCGAGATGATGTCCAAGACCATGACATCAATGTAACATCAATCGAAACCATGGTTCGCTTACAACTTTCAGTTTCATCTACCACCTAGCTAGTAGTAGTTGTTGCTTACTTAAACTTATTATACTATAGTGTTTAGTACAACAAGGAAAACAAGCTAAACCTAAAGCGGCCTTAAGTTTTTCAGACTTCTCGTTGTTTCGCGGAGCATCGACCGCAAATAGTCGTCCATCTTTTGCAAGATGGCTGCTTCTTCTTCGGTCAATAACATCTGTTCTTCCGATTCCTCTTGTTCTACCACTGTGTAGACAGCGTTGTTCTTACAGTTAGTCTTACTGGTTGCACCAGAAGTTGCAGAAGGTGTCGTCGTGGCTGCTGTTGTGGAAGAAATTCCACGTGCTGCTGAAGACTCTTTGTTGAGGTTGTCTTTGTCAACCATTTTGGACTTGGAGGTAGCAGATCCTCCAGAAGCAGAACCAGCGTCATCAGAAGATGCAACAAAATCTTTCTCATCCTTCTTGACCGTTTCGAGTACAGGCAAGCCTCGAGTCCCAAATATGAAGTTGTGTAAGAAGCGACTGTTCGCGAGACTGCCCAAAAACCGCTTGAACTCACGCTCCGCGTCAATATACTCCTGCAAGCGAACGCAGAACGGCTGTTCCGGTCCACCAAGAGAAACAAGGGCCGTGCTATCAGAACCTGCTCCACGACAAGGCCGAGCACCACCACCACCTCCTGCTCCTCCTCCCATATTCGAGGAGGAGGAAATGTTGCCACTGATATTGCCACTGATATTGCTTTTGCTGCCAGCTAGACCTCCCATGCCTCCTTTGTTGCTCAGACGTTGAAGTTTGTCCATATTCATCTTGTTACCAGCTACCAGGTTGTTGGAAGGATGTTGTTGACCGCCATAACGTCCATTTCCGTAGTTGCTTCCTTGTGGTCCATTCCAGTTCTTGCCACCGTTCCCGCGTCCTCCGTAGGATTGTGCAGAAGAACTGGACAAAGTAGGAGGGCCGCCACGTCCTCCACCTCCCATGTGGTCTCGAGGATCGCCAGGAGGACCTCTACAACCGCCACCCGGCTGAAGAAGATGCTCATAATCATTATATAATCCTGCACCGACATGATGTTGACCACGTCCTCCATACGAAGACCTGTTATGCATCATGTTGTTGTTCTTCCCATGTTGGGAAGAAGTGTTAGAGGAAGTATTGCTCCCCATTGAACCTTGCTGATGGTCTAGCAAACCGTGGTGCGGCGGCTGTTGAAGACCTCCTCCACGCTGTTGGTACAACAGGTCTTGTACATCATGACCTCCAGCTGCACGTTGCATGTCATGGCGTCCCCCACGGGGGCCCTCTCTGCTCCTGTACTGTCTTTGTCCTTGATGCACACCAGAAACGTGAAATAAATCTGGATTACGACCCATGATAGTTGTGATACCCATGTTGATAGAGCGCTGTTGTACTTCGTCTTCATGATAAGACGGTGGATAATCATGAAGGTCTTGGTAGTCACCTCCTTGATGTCCGCCACCTCTCGAGCCACCTGGTATTCCATACAACTGCTCTGGATTATAATCTCTTCCTCGAGCACCGCCATGCTGGCCTGTTCTCCGCATTTCTTCAGGGTAAAGCATTTGATCATCAGGGTGAATATCGAGGTAATCTTGGTGCTGTGGTGGAGGCGGTGGTCCGCGAGGCCGCGCCGGCATGCCTCCATCTCGAGCAGACCGGCGGGAATAACCATCACGGTCTTGCTGCTGTTTCAAGAGGCTGTTGTCATCAGCATGGTGGAGATCTTGATCGTAATGATCGTAACCGCCTCCTCCTCCCCGAGAAGTACCAGATCCGATCCTCGAGTTGTCAATAAATCTTCGACCTTGATCTTGATGTTGTTGTTGTTGTTCTCCACGTCCTCGTGTTCTCCACCCCGTACTAGTATCGACGAGGACACCACCGTTGCGGCGTTGTTGATCATCGAGATATAAAGCATCACGAATGAGGAGATATTCTTGGAGGTCCTGATCCACATTGTAGTGCGGTCCTCCGTCCTCGCGACCTGCTGCGCGAAGCTGCTCGTGTCCCTGGTTACAACTACCTTGATGCAGATGTTGTGGCAAGAACTGGCCGTCGTAGTCGTAATCGTTGTTGTACCCGAAGCCATCATCGCCGCGAAGGCGATTGCTCTCAAAGGCTGCCAGTGCCCGAGAAACCTGTGCGGACTGATGCCCTCCCTGTTGGTCATATGCACTTCTGCCTCTATTCTGTTTCTCTTGCGGATGAGGCTGGCTACTTCCTTTACTATCATGGAGAGGAAGACTCGGGTATGATCCACCTTGTTGCTCGTCTCGACGGGAATCCCGAGGAACATCACGTGGAGGACCACTGCGCGAGTCTCGTTGCTGGTCGTAGAAATTATCCTGGTGCTCAACATCATGTTGGTGTGAAAACTGATGTCCTCCTCGTTGCTGTTGATCCCCACCTCCTCGCTTGGTGAAGTGATCCCTGGTGTTGTATCCACCTTGTTGATGCTGTTGTTGATCAAGTAAAATTGTACGTGAAGAATCGACACCTCCTCCGGGCTGACGTTGACCTTGAGCTTGAGGACTTTCGTTATAACTATTGCGAATACAACCTCCCATACTGATACTACTTCCTCTTCCATGATGTTGCGTGACACCATTTTTACCACCTTGTTGAGCTTGGAGGTCTCGTCGAGCCGCACGACGACTAGCACGAGTTCCTTCACGGTGTTCTTGCGGGTGGTTGTAGACATTCCTATTTGACGTTCCAGCTCCAGCAGCAGGTCCAGGGCCTCCACCTCCAGGTGGGAGGTGATTTTGATTTGCAAAGACTGCTGTTGTAGTTCTTGTGGCACCTCTTCTACCTCGTTGTGCTCTCCCGTGCTGTTGGAACTGCCCTTGTTCTTGAAGTTGGTGTAGTTCTTCGTCCGAGTAATAAAATTGACCTGGAGCAGGTTCTGGAAGATATTGTTGTTCCTGAAGAGGACGATTACATTGATATCGCATTTGATTGGAGGCAGCCTTTTGGTCGTGTTTCTGTTTCCCGTTTGTTTTGCCTTTCCCTTTCCCATAATACATCTCCCAATAAATAATCTTGAAGCAAAAAGAACAGTGCTGGAAGAACAGTGAAGAACTCTCTCTAACAGTAAAATCTCCCTAAACAAGTACTATAGTAGTAGTAGGCAAGAGAGGAAACAGTACTAACAGGAACACCTCCTTTGGTCTACCCATAATTTGACGATTGGGATTCCTCACTGAAGTAGAAGACGAGGCTCCTCCACCACCCGAAGACGGTCCGGCATCACCTCCGCGTTGATGTTGTTAGAGCTCTCGCTAATTCATCCCTGTGGCAATCCCTCAACAATATGGCACAGTATTCCCCTTGTATGGGGATGCATATTGTTGAGGGATTCCTATAGAGATGGATTAGGGGTAGCCTTAATGTGGACCATAAAAATGTTGCGTATCATGCTCCTCACGGAGGTCAAGGTCATCGTCAGAACCTCGAAGATGTATGTAATTTCCCTGCAATTGTCGGATTTGATTATTGCGACTGGTACGTCCGCCTCCGCCTTCGTGGACATGCGCATGCTTTTCGTTCTGTTGAGCAGAAGGAGGAGACCCACGACGATTAAGCTGGTGCAGCTGTTGGTCCCCTGCTCCTGGACCACCTCCTCCGCGTTGTGCTCCTCTTTCACCGCTGAAGTTTGATGTCGTCGAGATCGAGTATTGATGTGTATCAACTCCTGAGTTACTACTTCCACCTTGATGAGAGGAACTCGGAGGGGGACTCCTTTGGTCCTGAAGAGGCCCACCACGACCCTGTCGAACATTGTTGTAGCCGCGCTCTCCTCCAGGAGGATGTTGTTGATGATGTTGATAAAAATCTCTAGAAGAAGTGCCATGATAATTTGTCGTATTGTAAGAAGAACTACCTTGATGATGCAGTTGCCCTCCACCAGTTGTACTACCCTGCTGAGATAAACCTCCATAATGCGGGGGCAGCGGCTGGTTTCTTGCGCGCCAACGTTGAGCCAGTTCCTCTGACATCATTTGAATTGCCGATGGGTCTTTCAGTTGTTCCAGCAATCTTTGGGAAGATGGAGCGTTGTGATTCTGCCTCGCGTTCATCTCCAGTGCCTCCGTGACAATATCCAAAGCACGTTGGGCATGGAGTCGGGCGAACGCATCAGCCGAGTTCGAGCCTCCAGGTCGTCCAGCTCCAGCTCCCGCTTGTTCATAATGCTGGGGCGGATTCTTGCTGCTTCCTGGACCTCCTGGACCTTGTGGTTCCATGCTTTGCTCGTTCATTCTGCGCCACGACGGCCACCCGCTTCTAGTTCTAAAAATTATTCCGAGTAGAAGTTCTAGTTGTAGTTTTCCAAGTTAGTAGGTGATCTTCTTTTCTGCGTCCTCCCGCCACTGTGGGACTCCCACATTAATGTAGTTCGATAGTGGTAGTTGTCTTTCGACGAGCAGGACTCAAAAAGTCAGGTCCTTAATAAATTTTAAATTGTAATTATTACAACATTCTTGATATTATTACAAGAACTTTTAGAACAACAAGAAACTCCTGTTCATATTAGGTACTGAAACTTTCTCCCTAATATCCTAAGGCACAAATTATAGGTTGTAAAGCTCTGACCTACTACTTCGTCGATCCAGTTGTAAGTGGACAAATAAGACAATCATTAAAAATTCTTCGATAATATAATTACACATACAGTTCAGTATACTACATACAGTATAACTATAAATAGAATATATCATATGAGTACAGTCGTTGGGGCGGTAGTGGGCGCTTTCTAAATTAAACTTACTCGCAACAACGCATCATGATCCTACTTAAATAGACGCGACTCTTAGTTAAGTTGTATCGCGTACTATAAGCTAAAACGAAAATCGAAGCTCGTTGCTCTGACCTCTTGCATCACGGTGTAAAGTCACTCTTTTCGAAAAAGCTTGGCCTCGAGATAAGTATGCTTAGATGGAAGCAATCCTGCTGCTTTTTCAAAAAGAAGACAAAAGAAGAAGACACAGGAGCACGGCGATGGGCGCGACGTTACGTGGCGCGACAATGTCGAGCACGTCTCTGTGCTGTGTATTGAGACCATTAGAGGCCTCGGCGTAATTCCTCGCTCTCCAAAATTATGTGTATGCGAGCAAAGACATAAAATAAATCCAAAAAAAAGACAGAGCTCACCAAACACGCCAGACCTGATAGAGCAGCGCAAGCCCTTTAATACCCCGAGGGAACACACACAGCGGCGAACGCGCTCGAAATTGACTCGCTGGCCGCTCAGTGAGTGAGTGGCCTCAGCGCTCAGGGGCCTTGCCTCTGGGCTAGCCTCTGCGAGAATCATGACCAACAGTCACGCGGCCGCAAGCCTTGCCCCCCTGTCTTCCTCTTCGTCTTTTTGTTCCCTCCCACGGCGCCTTCCATCCATGTCCTCACGCATCACGCTGGCACCCTTTGCTTCCCTCACCGAAGCCAGCGGCATACGACACAGCCATGCGCTTGCTCATGCCGATGGCGTTCAGCCTGCTAACCATGAAGCAAGCAGCACACGCGCCCACTTCTGTTGGTCTTCTCTCGTTCTCTCTCGGTCTCTGCTGCATTGATTCATGCCAACTAAACACCGAAGAAAGAGGCACCCGCGCTGTCTGTCTCGTAACCCTTCGCCGCCACATACCCCATAGGCCACGGGTGCACGCCAGTGAGCTAATGGAGGGCGCAAGGAGTAGCTAGGCTGGCTCCTCTCCTGGCTGCTAAGAGCTGGGGGGGACTATGTAATCACGCCGCTACCCTTAGTGGCGCCGCGGCGAGCTTATGCATCGGCGCACGACTTAGATGGCGGCGCCTGCAATCGGGCTCCGGGTGTCTTGCCTGACGCAGCGTCGTGGTGGTCTAAAGCTGACCCAAGCCGCACGGCGTTAAGCACACAGTGCGCGGGGGCGCCAGGTTGGCGAGAGGCTGAACCACAACTATCCAACAGCGAAAGACATGAGACGCAACACGCAGCCGCGCGCCTCATGTCTAAGCGATGAAAGAATGTGACAAGCCAGCCCCGCCTTCGCGTTCACCATCTCTGCCCCGACAATTCTGTTTCTAAAACGCCCCCCCGATTGCCTACTAAAGTCACCTGGTAAGTTTTGGCGACGTTTTCACCGCAAGCGCCCATGCCTCTGCAGCCTCTAACCCCCCTCGTCTCTCAGTTTTTTGCGTCGTTTGTTTCTTTGCTTTTCTGCTCTGTCTGTGGCGTGTGTGTGCTTTTTGGCTCTCGTCTATTACCCTCCCGCGCCGTAGCTTTGGCCTGCCACGTTCTTCGGCTTCTTTACATGAGACAAAGCGAGCGCACCCACCTAATAAGCCCAAAGGTTTCACTCCTGTCTTCTCTCCTTCGTGCCCTTCAGCTTGTCCCTGTCTGCTGCGGTCCCTCGTACCGTGCAGGCGCCTCCCCCTCCGCTTGCCTTTCTTCAACTCCGGGCGGCTGGCTCGCTCGCGCTCCTGGGCTCCGCTCCCCCGCTGGGTTTTGGTGGCGCATTGGTCGCGTCCGTGCGCCCTCGCTCAGCCCCGCTGCCCTTCGTCTGTGATTTCTTTTGTGTCGTTTGCCTTTCTGCTCTGTCCGTTACGTGCGTGGGCTTTTTGGCAATGGTCTATGACCCTCCCGCGCCATAGCCTTGGCCAGGTTCTTCGACTTATAGATACCGATACGAGACATCAAAAAGAGCGCTGCACTTAATAAACCTAACAGCAGCGCAGGGACTCGTCCTTGCGCTAGCCTGTGATATAGATACTAAATTGGCGAAGAAGAAGAAACTTTTTCTGAGCGATTTTCTGCCTACTCCTAGCTGTAGTGACCACACGCACACTCAACAAAGGAGTCAGAATTATACTAGTCGTAGCTTCGGAAATTCATCTAATAAACCTCCGCAGATAAAATGATCATTGTACGTAGTACTTCTGTTTGGAATTTCTAATGCTCATGCTATCATGTATCCTATTCCTACAATAACTCTTGTATTAATAATCCGAATCCGCTGGGGTGTCGTAGCTCCCTCGAAAGCAGTCACTGCCGTAAAGACCTTGATGCCCGAAGGAAACTGAATCAGGAAAGAAGCAAAAATGTATCAACTACTATTGCCTCTCTTCTGACAAGAACTTCTCCACCTTATCAGGACATAAAATTCTAAGGAACTTCTACATGTAAATTTGATCATCACTATATGTGAAGAACTTGCGTGGACGAGATGATTGAAATCATGAAATTTTCAACAGTATAAGATACTCCACAATGAATCTCAATGATACGAAAATTACTGGCTTTAACTACTTTATTTTCAACAAACTATACAACCACGTTTGTTCAGTTTGATGTTGTATCTGCTTAGCAGAACGAGTTGACTAGGATCAAGTCTCAAGGCGAATTGTTTGATAGAGGGAAGATTTTCGGCAAATTAAATAACAATAAGTAAGTAACCACAACTAACTCTAACCACCACAACCAACTCAGAAAGCTCACATGAACCAAAATAAATCAATTGTTCCACACGTTCGTGGTAAGAAATACTTCTAATAGACACACGATATATTATTTTTCTACTTATAAATTTTGTCTATCGCCGCGAGCGACGACGTCAAGAAGAAAGTAGAAGTAGAACAAGTTATTATCTTTGTTCTTAAGTATTTTTTCTAATATCTTCACGTACTCAAGACAGTAGAACAAGGAGTAGAATTCACTCATTGTTCATTCACTGAAGAGTGTTGTAAGTAGCTGAAAGATGTAGATCACGCTCCCTCAGACAGATTGCGCTCCCTCAGTTGTTCTCACTGCAGCTGTGATGTGAAGGTATTGTGGAAGTGGAGGAAGGTAGCGTGATAGAAGATCTCCTGAATCTTCTGTGGAACCAAGTAGATTGAAGCCTGAAGTAGAGAGGCTGAACAGTATCCAGGACACATGCAAGGAAGTAAAATCTAAAAAAAAGATATTGTCATAGTCGTGGTAGAAGTGCAGGAGCACTGCAGCAGATCATAATGATTTTCACAAGAAGATGAAGTTTGCAGCAGTTGCAGTTCTTTTTACATCATCAAGAGGACGTCGAGGACGAGATGTCCTCCACAAAGATCGTGACAACCGCAACAGATCGTTAAGCGACCTGCAGCATACTCATTCATTCTGTGCTCGCAGAAGATCTGCGTTGACTCCACAAAGTCAGCGCTGTTAACGCTGAGGAAATGCTTCACTCCGATCTGTCTTTTGTGTTGTGGTTGTCACGATCTGTGTTGTCCTCACAAAAGATCGAGACAACCGCAACATGATCTTCGAGTTTCATTGTTGTTTGAACACGTCAACTAGAATAGGCAAACATTGGTGCAGTTGTTTTCAACTGGCATAGTTCGTTGTGTGTACTTTCGCGCGGAGTTGTGTGTGCAACATCTTGATATTCACACATATGACAGAACATATTGATATTCACACGAAGAAATTGGCGATAACTGAGCTGGGCAATTATAACAGAACTTAGTCTTTGGCCGCGGAAGAACAAAGTGAGTTTGTTGAGGAGATTTTTCTCGTCATATTTTATCATGTATTTGTATGATTGACATCACAATAGAAACGTTTGACTCTTGTTGCTTTCTTTTAGTTCCCTATCTTTCATCAGCGAACATAGCGAAGGACAACGTAGATACCCTACCTCGGCATGTTTTTACCTTTAGCGAAGGACTTCGTTGGCGAAGTTCACCAGCATGTTATCTCGGCATGTTGTCCTTCGTTGTAGATTAGTACCCTCGAGAATAGTTCCCTATCTTTCATCCCGCTACTAGTATGTCATGTGTGCGTCTCTGTTGATAGTGCTGTCCGTGGTAGCACCCGTAGAGCAGGAGACTCGTCTTCAATATATTACACACCCACTTGTTGCCACTTATTCTTGTACTTCTATCTTCTGGCGACGTCATTCTTGCATTTCTACTTTTCGTCTAGTATCTACCTCTGCAGCAGAAGCGCTCCTCCTGTGGTCTTGTCCCTCACAGCTCTTGATGTTGTGGTCCCCCAGCGCTTGGAGTCGAAAATACTTCGTTCACCTGATTTCCCTGGCCAGTCTTGTCCGTACATATTAGGTCGTTTGGTGCGTTCTGTGCCTTTCCACAAGCGTAATTCAGCTGGTCCATCAAGGCCAGGAAGGAGGTGGAACATGAACAAGGAAGGGAGGGACGAAGGGAAGGAGAAAGGTAGAAGATGACGATAGTGTCAGTGGGTTTCCTAGTTCTACTACGGCGGAAAATATGTAGGCAGGTTCTACTTGGAAATCGCCCACGGGGGAACACTAATGAGGTGAAAAAGTGGTGCTTCGCTAGAGGTATGCACTGGTGCACCTGTTCACACATCGTCGGGATGAACGAAAGAAAGGAAGAGGAACAAGAGAGTATTGCTATTGAGAGCAAGCAGTTATAAACCTATTCTCATAAGTCATTCCTTTCGAAGTAGTCGACATTCTCCGTCCAGATGATAGGCTTGTAGTGCATGATAGCCCTTTGCGCGCCCATAATCACCTGCCCCTCCATACCTTCAACATCGATCTTTATCAACCTGTGTGGGAGTCGTGTGGATGCTAAGTAGGTATAAACGGACAAGAGAGCCAGTTCATATGATCAAGCAAAGTATTAATCGAGCAGCAAAAATGTCTCAAATTGTCGTGGAGCTCCGGAGCTACGCTCATAATAAAGTGGAGCCACTTTTTTCAAAGCTTGCATCATCTTCATGCTCTTCTTAACTCTTCTTTTTAGTTTGCTCTCCCAGAAAACTCAAGCCAGTGAGTCACAACGAGCACAAATACCTCAAATTATTGATCTCCGGAACGCGAACGCTTTTCTGGCTCAACAAGTCGTCCAGAGACGCTTGCATGACGGACTCAGGCTCCATCTCGTAGTCGTAGAGTTGCATCGCTTGCTCTTGCTTCATGTTTGCGTCTATGCGTTAGAGCCAGAGCCACAAGACCCTTCTTGATGTCGATTTTTACGTAGTTGGAAAGCAGCACTGACATCGAAGTCAGACATACTAGCACTTTTATGGTACTAAGCCTAAGCATTTTATGGTGCACATGCTAAAATAAAGGACCAGGGCATGGAGAAAAGCCTAGTTCTACCTCTCATTCTTCTCCAACTTCGTTTCTGACATGATCCACCGCAAAATGAAAAACAAAATCTTCAGACGCCATAATATGGGTGGAGCCAAGCTAACTAGGAAGAAAAAGTAAGGATAGTAGGTAAAAGGTATATAAGTACAGAATTATAGTAATGGCCAAGCTAAGTAGGATATAATGATCTTTCAGTTTCACACCGCCTAATGATCTTTCAGTTTCACACCGCCTGGACTGCTAAAGAACCGCAACTGTGGAGGACGTGACTCAAAACTGCCCATGGCTTCTCCGAGTCCCATATTATACGTCCACACATTTGACAGTCCATTCAACGCAACATTCGCCGTACATAATTGGAATAGCCATCGGAAAGGCTCAAAGGCAAGGACTTTACCTTGGCGGCCGACCTGTTGGGATGGAGGCATGCGATGCGTGATCCTCTTGCTAATGATATTAAGCCGTAGTTGTTCAGATCCAACATCATCTGTCTGGAGGTTCTGGTAAACGCCGGGACGAAAGTAGTACCAGAACAAGTAGAAGAAGACTTGTTACTTATCCACCCAGCAACAACAACAATACAACATATAAGCCAAACAAAGTCTAAGTTAGTAGTTCTTCATGTTATAAAGTATTAAGCCAAACTAAGTCTAAGTACAGTTCTTCATGGTAAAAAAGTTTATACTCTTTCCGCAAATGGAATGGTGAAGGAGCCAAGGTTTGCGCCTACATCGACGACGACATCTCCTGGACGCAAGAGCGATTGCATCTCGTAACTCTGTAAAACGTTCATACTTCCAAACTCCTTGATCCAATGGCCGATGTTGGTGTCGTAAAACGGAATCATAAACGCATGGTTTCGGCTGCGAGGAAGGACGTAGGTGCCTGATCAGGGATGGACAACAATTTTTGGTGGTGCGGCCACATGATGATGTCAATTTGATTTGATTTTCCAAAAATAAATCTTATGCAGCTCTACCTCGATTCGTTTTAATTCTTGTTGAGTACTTATTTACCGACACTAGCATGCAACTCCCCGGTGACCGTTCCAGGGCCATTCGGATTGTAGTAGGCCTCTTCTGGAGTCGACGCACCTTTCAATTCTCTCTCTACGTCAGCAGGAATTTGAGGCGCCGGGTCTCGGAAATTTGTGACCAGTGATATCGGGTAATGCTGCCCGTACACATCGATATCCTTTGGATGGGTAGTGTCTCCATCCAAAGCTCCTGTGAGAAGTTGCTCTCCGCACCAGTTGTAAATATCCATATTCGCGGGCTTGTGGAATTCCGAGTTCGGGTCGCCGCCGTTTGCCTGAGGTGAGGATCATTAGGTCGTATGCGTAAGTAGACAAGGTGGAGAAGTAACTTAATCTTAGCGCGACGACAGGAACCAGGTCAGTTGCACGATTACAACAGGAATCGCCCAAGGACGAAAAACTACGATGCAATACAAGGCAACGCATAGGCATAAGTACATACTCCTTGTTCTACTTCTACCTTCAATATAAACTCCTTGCATCCTTTGCTATCTGTTGGGCGGATAACTGGTGGTGGGCCGATGGGCAAAACTTCTGCTCTCTCTTTGATAAATCCCATATGCCATCCCGGATGGTCGACGATATGTGGTCGGATTTTCACCATCTGCGAGGGAGGTGGTGGATTGTGAGAAGACTGACCCTAAATGCTACTATCTAAGTAAGTACTACAACTACTAGAGGTATGACGAAGTAGAGAGAAAAAATTCGAATAGTAGTTTTGTAGCACATAGCATCCATCGCACCCACTGCCAATCGGAGCACATACTTCCCAGGCTACGCATTCCGCTGTGTCTTGACACTTCGCAGCACAACTGTCGGCATCAAGTGGTGTTGCTTTGCCGATCAAATTACCTTCGATTTCCCGGTACTGGAACCCCTTGTCAAAGCGACGCTCTAAGCTCGTATCTTCAGGTACTTCTTGCGCTACAGTACTTCCGGCCGTAAACAGCAATGCGGCTGGTGCGGCTTTTCGGAGAGCTCAGAGGTTAGAAACAGAAAATAGGAATAGGACAGAGTGTAATCGAGTTTGGGGATGAGTTTCATCATCTGGTACTTACTAACGTTTGGTAGCCTTGATTGATTGATGTGCCTGGCAAGAGGTCCATTTGTTACAGGATTTATTTCCTCATTTTTTCTTCTCTCCCTTTTTTGCATCTCCTTAACTTTCATCATCATCTTCAATGGCTGCTGTCCCCTGAACGCTGCTCTGCAGGACGACGATGATGATGAAGAACTCTGCTCAGCAAAGCAGGACGAAGTGGAGGCAACGGAGCTCGACGAGGACGACGTGGAACGTGTGGTTTTCAACATTGGAGAAAGTGGTCTTCACAAACGTTAGAAACTAATCGTTAGATGTAATGGCATTGGACTCCGAAGTCCTCTGTAGCTGTACTCTACTAGCCACAACTCACGACCTCGCTCTATCTTGTCGTACACGCAAAGGAGCCAGCTCTTGTGGATGCAGACCATGATCTTTTTCGAAGGTCATGATTCTAGTACTCCGAGATCGCATAAAGGGCATTGGCACGTACAACAGGATCATTCGACATTAAATAAACAAGAGAAAGATCAACTTCTTGCAAGCTTCTTGTTGTGTCTGAGGTTTCACTGCCTGGCTGCAACAGAACACTTTTCTCTTGTGACACCTCAAGGTGTCTCCAAACCCAAAGTCCTCAATGAGGCTCTTCGTCCACAGTTACAGCTTATATTTCCCTTAAATTTCGAATCACGTTGTTCATCTTGCTAAACTGCATGTCTGTGGTTACTATTAGCATAAAAGGACTATAATCTCCTGTTAACTCGACGCACGATGTTTCGATTGCATATTTTAGTTTTTGGTATTTGCATTAAGTTCATGTTAGATTACTGATTTATGAACAATTTGATTATTGCTATTGCTATATGGTGTCATACATTTCGAAAAGTAGTTAGTTGATTAAGCGTTTCTGTTCCTGAAGCTGACTCTGAGTAAAAGCAAAAGAAAGAAGATGACTAGTTGTAGATGCTCGCTTCTCTTGTTCGTCCTGTTCAAGATCATGATGACAAGAAAGTTGTTAAATTATCTTATGGGCAACTGCTTTTTCGTGCTGTCAAGAGTAGTTTTTTGGAGCAAATAATCCCTAATACCAAAGAACATACACATAGAAGTACAACAAAAATTATTCCCCAAATATTAATACAGTCCCTGCCGTCCCAGATAAGATTGTTCAGAAAGTCCAAATACATTAGACTAGACTACAGTATGCTCAAAAAAAATGCCAACAATCTGGTGTACATTTATGGTGTTTTTACTCCCCGTCGTTTTTGAAGTACTTATATCCTGTTCAAATCTGCGGCCTGTGCAGTCCCTCTCGTCGTGCTAGAATAATATGATCATCGTCATGATAGCACCACGACTTGTTGTTCGTTTTTCACCCGACTTCATCCGTGAAGTGTGACTGAGCGAGAGTAAGGAAGTTGTAGCAGACGACGCAGCACGCAGCTCATACAGCTCCAGCGTAGATAAACCGGCAGAATGAATGGAACCTGAAAGTGCTCTGGCTTGGTTGTGCAGTCTTGTGCAGATTGTTTACGGTCGTGATCTGTGGAGGTCAGGGCTTCATGCTCGACCAGTGCTCTTCAGCTGCGAACAAAAGAAAGAATCACTCGTCCAAGGTTCCGAAATCAACGTCTTCAGCTGCTCCCTCGTGAAAAAAAGAATCCTTTTAGCATCTCCACATGCAGGAGTTTTCTTTTCACTTTCCAACTGCAAGAACCTCCCGATCAACATAGTATTTCTCCCGTTTCTACGCAGAGATACCACATCACAAAAAACCAAAATAGAAAACACCGAACTTGTCAGCCAGAAGTAATTATCACCTCGAAGATCATATACTCTTCTACAACTCCACATTTTGGTTTACTTCTTCGACCCCTTCTTCGTAATTACTCATTCATTAGAAAAAACAAAGAAAAAACACCGACTTACTCGCAGCTGAGAGAGCCTGGATTCTTTTATTATTTGTACGAAAGGAAGTAAGCACTCTGCCTGGTGTATCATCATCATACAACTAACTTCCAATCACGAATTACAAAGAAATCTTTTCACTCATACTCAACATAAGTACGCCCTAAGTCCTAAGAGTGGAGCACGTTCTAAACTAAAAACCCTCTAGCTGTAGCTCTACTTTTACTTCATCTAGTTCTACTAACTAATATTTCTGCAACATTCAACTTGGTTGTTTATGTTTGACTGGAAAGAATTTCATGAGCAAATTCTTCGAACTCAATCTCTCCCGAGCAATCGGCATCGGCGATAGCGATCATGTCTTCCGCCTCTTCGATCGAGAGAGAATTTCCGACGCACATCATCAGCATCCGCAACTCATCGGCTGAGACACTTCCACCACCATCGCGATCCATCAAGTCGAACGTTTCGCGGAGCTCAACTTCGGTCAGAGGAGCTGGTGTCGTTGTGTGGGGTAGGAAGTTGTGGGGTGGAATATTATGTGAGGAGGACTAGGTTCATCCGTGGAGTAGGACTAGGAGTAGATATTTATATCATTCATCAAGACTACAAATAGACTTTTCTTGGTGGAGACGATTATTATAGAGTCATCGACTACATCATGTTCATGAAGATCATACCTCCAAGACAAGACAAAATCAGAAAGCAAGTACGTTTTCGAAACAGAGCCATGACATCGATAAATCTCTGGAAATCCCACAGGCCTTTGCCGTCTGGATCAGTCGTATTGATTGCCCACTCGAAATCTTTCTCATCTTGCCCTTGGCCAATAGAGTTCATTGCTTGATCGACCTGATGGCGGGGATGAAGGGAGGGTGACGAGTGGGAGGGTGACAAGGAGAAATTTGCAGCACACCGAGATGATGGCGGGGAAGGGATGAAGGGAGGGTGACGAGTGGGAGGGTGACAAGGAGAAATTTGAGGGTGACTGGGAGAGTGGTCCTCGCATGTAGGACTTAATACAAGAACATATACAAGAACATGGCGGTATAATTCATGGTCGTGCTTCAAAAACTCCATCTACATATACATATACAACACTCTCTTTCTGAAAGAACTGAATCCTGCTTCTAGTACAACACATACACTCTAGTACAAGAACGATAACAAGAACCGGAGATGGTCAAAAACAAGAATACCTGTTCCGGCAAGAGTTGTCTGTCTCCCATGACATCGACAAGTTTAAAAGCTCTTGCAAAGTCGCTCAATTCGAAGGGCGCGAAGGAGTAGCGGTTTCGGATGTCTAAATCCAAATAGAGTTCGCCAGACTCGTCATAGTCCGCAAAGGGTGACTCGTCCTCTTCCTGAGCTTTAGACAATGCTTCAGCTAGTAGAGAGGACCTGCGTTCCATCTTTTTTCCTCCACCTGGTGGGCCAGCAGCTAAAGCACGAGCTGCTGCTTCATCACTATTGTTCTCAGACGGAGCTTTTTCCTCCTCTTTGCTCTCTTGTTGTTCTTGCTTATTCTCACCTGCTACACCTTCCTCTCCACCCTTCTCTTCTTGTCCTGCTTCCTGTGCAAGGTCATGCTCTACCCCTTGCTCAGCTGCTCGTCCTGTACTTAGAGGTAGCTTTTTGGTGCTCGCTTACCCCGCTTTTTATGCCCTTCTCATCCTAAGGGAGAGAGGCATAAAAAGCGGTAAGAAAAGCACCTTTAACCTACTCTTAATGTACCTGTAGTGGTCTTGTCTGAAGATGGTGGAGTCCCCGCTCGACTGCCCTGTCGGCTTCCGTTGAGTCCTCCTGACCCAGCAGCTGAGTTCTGCGCTGCACTGCCTGGTCGACTTCCTCCACCTGAGTATTAAAACATGAAGAAGTAATAAAAGAAAAAGTAGTAGATGGTATTCTTGGTATAATTAAAGCAATTCTAATAATTTTCCTTCATAGCAGCTATGTTGTATATCGGTGGAGCCAGTCTAACTAAGTACTAGTACTCTACTTTTTCATTCACGACCATGAAAAATCGGATTCACATAGATACTTGTGGTGCATACTTTTTCGATGAGAACGAAAATCCAAATCATGTGTGTTCATCTTTATGCTTTATCCTGTGTGACGAGGGTGTAAGAACAAAGAACGAGGTAAGTACTTTTGTTTGACGCTTTGCCGGCAGTTGATGGTCTCCCTTCCTCTTCCAGGAGGGTCTTAGGAGGTTCGGCACCCTCTGTTCCGGACATTTCTGATGATCAGAAAAACAACGACTGATGTGGGAGGGTGGAAAGTTTTGTTGTAAGTGCACAAAAAGGTGAACAAAAATCAGATGGAATTATACTGTTGAATGATGGAAAAATGAAAGTCAAAGTTCTAATATTTAATGCTAGAACGAGATCATGCCTATGGGTCTACTTGCTTTTGGGTGGGAAAAAGCGGAAATAAGAGGAGGCCTGCGTGGAAAAATAGAAATCAAGATGAACAACATGACTTACACCTTATTCAGTGCTCAATACGTGACACAATTGAACACGTCTTGAAACAAAGCTGATTCTCAAGAACCTCATGACAGACGCAGAACTAGCACGTCGACTCCAACAGAGTGGTAATGATCAAATTCTACTCCCTCTCCAAAATATATTCATAACACGCAGAGAACAGATCAGATGAATCGTACACGTCCGCGTCTACAGATATACTGTCGCTCTCACTCAAACTCAATCCAAAAACAAAGGAGCAAAAAGAACGTAGATGAACTTCATCAAGCTCTTTTCCCTGCACCGTTTTTACAACAGACAGGAGCAGTGCTGGGAGTCACTCGTGACAGATGATTTTGAAAAACAGAGTCATCTGCTCAGACACATTCTTGGCGGAATCATAAAGAAACAAGCATTACCTCCTCCTGTAAAAATAGATCTTACTCAACTAGATTCAAGTTCAGACTTAGTCCGAGACACCGGTGACAAAAGACACAAAAATTTACTACTTAAACAAAAGCAACAATTTTATCTGTCACTTGTGCTCTACAGACTGGACATGCTTCCTCGAGCGGTTGCATTCCAATTTTTCCTTGCAAGACCAAACTCTCCCTATCGATCGCGCATAGTGAGCACGCGCACAAATGTCTACAAGGCAAGAGCACCACGTTTTTCACGTTCTCATAACAAATAACACACATATTCTCCTCCGCTTCTTGCTTCGTTTTTGCACGTTCCAATGCTTGTACTCGGAATCGAAGGTCTCCATTTTCTCGGTGCAAGAGTTTTTTCACTTCCGCTTCTACCTCAAGCATATGCCGTTGCGAATCCAATTCTTGGCGTAGGTTTGAAATCTCAATTTGATAAGACGAAGAAAAATCTTCATCGACTTCGTATTCGTTCCGAGGTTTGATGAAAGCGACTCCCCCTGTTGCGTCTTTAGAAGGTCTCGGTAGCTCGAGTCGTCCTGGGTCAGGCTGTCGAAGATACCGTCCCCTATCGGTGTCCAGCTCTTCGTCTGCCACACCATTGTCGAAAAATCCTTTTTCTTCTTCTGCCTGTCGCAAGCCAAAATGTAACTTTTCAAATTCTTCTCGTAGTGCCCCTGCCTCTTTCCCCCCGCCTGGTGTATCATGCTCGTCAGAGATCTTCAAAAGGCAGTTTAGTTGCTTTTGTAGAGCTCCTACCTGCTCGTGCAAGGAGTCCCGCTCTGCCTCTACTTGCTTAAACGCCCTTTTCCAATGCTGGGCGTTGCGCAAGTCATACTCTTCTGAGGCCACTCTGTGCAGAACTCCAATACCAGTTTTTGCAGGTGTTCCGCCACTTCCTCCACGTGGCGTGACTTCACTTCCACTTATCGAAGGCGAAGCACCAAAAAATAGTCGCCTGCGGTTATTGTAACTTTGTAGCCTTTCTTCGTCTTCCTCTGGAACGAAAATGCTGGAGGACTGCTGGAGATGAGACGGGCTCGAAGTAGCTTCGGATGATGTCACGACACGACCTCCTGCAGACGTGCTTGAGGAACTCTTAACGGGGGCAGGGAACAACATCGTGTTGGTTGCCGATTTTTGCGCTTTATCACGCTAGTGAGACATGATTTTGAAAACAAATTTGTGGATTTCAGAGATGGTTTTTAGGGTCATGGATCATCATCGTCAAGAAACAAGAAACAAGTGGTCTTCTTCAATTTGAATCAAAATGTCAAAAAATTCAAAAATGAGAATTATCATACATGATATATTAAAATTTATTTAATTACCAAACGGAAAAAGTAGATTTGATGCACAAAACTTTAGAGGGGGAAAAGGAGAACCATGGGAAAAAGCTGGGATTTTCGAAAGACCGACAAGGAGGAGGTGATGTGCGGTGCGGTGCAACGGCAGTACCCATTATAGCAGTCTCTCTACTGAACAACGTGCATCTCGTCTCATCTCACTCTCAACAGGAATCATCATAATGAGCATGAGGAACACTTTTTTGACATGGTAAGGCTTTTAGAGGTAGGCTTTTGGTGTTCGTTTATCCCGCTTGTTAATATGGCTGCCCCCCTTAGGAGAGCCATAACAAACGGTAACAAAAGCACCTTTAACCTACCCGTAATGGTTGTACTTCTATGTTGTCTATCGTCCTCATGACGAGTTGCATAGAAGACGGCTCAGAGCTGTCTTCTATTGCTATCTCTTGTCGGAAAAGAAATTCGAAGTGCATACAAACTTGGCAGTTACGTACTACAACTACTTAATCATGTTTGACATTACCGCGTCGACCAAGACCAAGTGATGATTCTGTCGTCAGCGACACTTGTTCACAACAGCAGATTTGGAACTGTGAACTTCTCCTGGATCTCTCGTCCGTAACGACGAAAATAGAAATAGACATGAATGGCTCTGGTATTTTTGGTATAGCCTGAATTTGATCCTAAGGGAAAACAAGAAGGGAACCCTTAGGATCAAATTCAGGCTATACCAAAAATACCAGAACCATACAAGACAGCTCGTGGTCTCTCTTTATTCCTGTCAATACATCTCTCATCATACAGTATCATTTTTCAAGGTAGCCGCGGCTACTGTTGTACGAACAGGAGTAAAATTCTTCTCAATGCATCAACAATACTGAGCAGAGTTGAATTTCTGCTCTATTTCTGGGAACATGGTACTAGTGCTGGGGAGGTACGTACGTAGGAAAGAAATGGAGTTCGTTTTTTTATGTTGCAATCAGATTGCGAGGTGGACTGGAGTCTTATTTTTATCGCGGACTGTCGCACGGTCGGAGAGGAAGCGGGAGATGAAGTGTGTGTTGTAGTTGTACCCCTCCTGCTTGCTACGGGCAGTTGTAGCAATATCTTGGTGAATCTGGAATCTCATCATTCATCTTGCTCCTGGTGGATGGTGAAGACTTCTTTTTGTATATTATGACATATTATAATTAGTAGATGATGCAATAGTCCTACGGGAACTAAAGAATCGATGTATCAGAATCGGAATCTCTAGTTCTATAATGAAGATGAAGGTGTTTTGTGCACTGACACATTGCGTCGAGTAAGTAGAATTCAGGCTTAGATGGAGGCTACCCTTGTCATTGTGTGACTCTTGCGAATGAAGTCGCGTTGAATCCATGTTATCCATGATCCACATGATCAGAGGTTGTAACAAACAAAAACATCATATGTTGAATGAAGGACATGATGATTGAATCTTCTATGCTCGCCTGTTTTCAACACAGATTGCTAAGTTCTAATACAAGTGGAACTTGCTTCTAGCATGCACAAAGACAAAGAAAATTTGGTCGATAATATCGGGAGTAAATACCAACATTAACTGCATTGTCAAAGAAGAGGACAGAATTCGTCCCAGATTAGCGAAATATCTTTTGCGAGGTGTTCTCTTGTAATGGGAGAATGACGGACCAGGAGGACAAATGTCGATCATTAGTTCATTGCTGGTTATGACAGCACCCAAGACTAGTCGGGTTTTAGAGTGACATGATGTGTTTTCGTTGTTGTTGTTACTAGGTTGCAAATCTTCTGGTTTGTTTGCAACTGTTTCTATCACTATGCACATACTGTTACAAGATAAATTTGTTCACCACACTGGTGATGAAAATTTGACATACTGGTTGTGCTACCAAGTATCGTATAAGAGGAAAGTGAATCCAAGTCATTGAAGTAAGTACTAGTTCTTTATCTTCTTTATCTCTATTCGAAGTTGTTATTGTTAATAAACGAAGTGCTATATTAGATAGTTCGTTCCAGTCCAGCTCCAATCAAGTTCTTCGACGTAGAAGTATCTGTAGAACTACCTCCGGGCCGGCATTCATTGATATCCGACGATCATCAGGTCGTACATTCTTGGAATGAAATTTCTTTTCATCAACACAGTACTGCTCTTATTTTTTTTATAGCTGTTGTTGTTCATTGGTAAAAGTATCTATAACTACCCCTCGCCCTCCAGCTCATTTGTTTTTTGAATAAGGTTTTTGTCATAGCAGCATTCTTTCTTAGTCGTATTCTGAACGTCTGAGGCTGACTTTTTTTGCTATTGTTGTTTTCCTTTGCGTCGTATCAGACCGACGTACTAGTTGATGATATTATTTATGGTCATTCTTGTATAATTCTTGCTGATTATATTGAGTAGTGCTGTGGCTCATCTTCGTAGTAAATGTTGAAAGTCGTGTAAGTGAAGTCGTAGTACTACTAGATCATGCGTTGTTGCTGTACAACTAGTGAATGAAAATGAATATTACTCGAGGACGTCGGAATATTCGCATCATTATAATTCTCAACAACAACAACGATCTTCTTTTATACTTTAATAAATACTATTTGTAAATCTTTATGATCCATTCAAGTTAGTTCGGCTAATAGAATCTCTCTGCTGGCAGTCGCTGGACACCTCGATGGCCGCCGTCTGAGGAGTTCAGCTGCCACCAGCGGTGGCTTGCTTCCGCAAAGCTTTTTCCGAATACTAGTCCATGCTCTACTACACCGCAATATTCGCATAAGGCCGCCAGAATGATGAGGACAAACAAAGCGAGCAGGACACGCCGACTCTCGTTGCCCACGAAGATCCAAATGTCTCCGAATGAGAGGGAGAACAGCTTGGTAGGCGAGTACTGTTCCCACAACGTGATTTCTTGGGATAATTGTTGAGAACTGGATGAAGATATGCGCCCTCTTCTACCTCTTCTAGAAGCGGCAGTACTGCCACGCTGGCTTCTCCCACGTCTAGTAGAACCAGCGTGGTTTTGTCCTCTTCCTCGGTTATTTCGACCAAGGGACAATCTTCGTGGTTGATGTACTGGCAGTAATGCTGCCCTTTCCTCCTCTGAATCCTCGAAGCTGTCATCTAAATCACCTTCTAAACCGCGATCTTTTCCTGTTGGTGGGTCGAAGAGGATCGGCACGAAAGCTGGACTAGTACTTGTTGCTTGCCGACCACCACGGTTGTCCTCGCCAACCTCAACGGAGCCGTATGTAGGACTGGAAGCTGGTGTACCGCCGTAGAGGGTTCTTTCAGCATAATTAGCCTTGATAATAGTAGACTTTGTTGCTTGTTCGGCAGCACCTTTTATTTCGCTATCCTCTTTACTACTTCGTCCCTTCCGGCGATCGCAATATGAGGAAAAGAGCTCTGCGTATTTTTGCCAGACACTAGTCCTCCCTGATGAAGCACCCTCGCCAGGCATATCACGTAGGAACAAAGGTTTTCCGTCTTCTCCTTTGCCACCAGCTTCAAGGTCAATTTCTTCCACACAAGGATTCCGCTCTAGTATGTGAAGACGTGATGATCGTTTAGTCGAAGAGGTGGATCGTTTTTTCTTCTTTGTTGCTTTGTCGCTGGCGGGAGACGAAGTATCCGATTCGGGGAAGTGCAAGCAAACTGGCTCGTCGTAGATCTGTTGGGTTGATGGGGTAGGAGACGAATGAGACTCAATGACAATGTCAACGGAGGTACTGTGCGGAAGAATGTGATGTCACTGACTTTTGAAGAAACATCGTCATCAAGCAAAAGTATTTAAAAGCAACAAAACGAAATCGAAAACACTACAATCAATAAAGTTACCACAAGCCCGCCTTCGTTGTCGTATTCGCCCTCATCCTTCATCAGAGCAAGATGAATGCGGCGCTTCTTTTTCTCGGGACTAATTGGTACAGGGTCCACCTCTTTCTTGTTCCGGGACAGGCAGTTCTTCAAAATAGATTTTGGTGTGCTCTTGTTGCCCTTTGCAGCTTCTTCAGTCTTAGAAGTACTGCTGCTCTTACTTTTCGATGCTGTTAACGTCGAAATATTCCTTGAAGAGTCTCTACTTCTTGATCTCCTGCTGTCAAGAGAGATACGAGAATCATCGTTGTTCTTTGACGATGCTTCTCTAGTTATAGGTGCTGGAGGCGGTGCCATGCCGGGTGGTCGGGGGGCAAGTGCTGTGCTAGAAGCGATGGAGGATCTCCGTTCCTCTGCAATTCTGCTGTACGGCTTCAACAGTGCTTGCAGCTGTACGTCCAAAGTGTTTCTGCTGTTTCTGCGCTCGCTCACAACTTCGATGAACTCGGAGGTCTTATTCTTGGAAACTGAAGTGCTATCTCGACTATTCTCAACTGCGTTACTTCGCCGTTCCTCACCTAGTACGTTGTCAAGCTCGATTTCCCGCGACTTCGACGATTCCGCTTGAACCACTTGGTGTTCATCAACGCCATCGACCTCGTCTATGACGCCGACTTGTGCAACGTGGTCTTCGCTGAGCGGCTCACCACCCAAAAAACTGGAAAGCTCTTCTTCCGGCAGTGTCAGGATGGGTCGTCCGCTGCTGCGTCTTCCGTACGGCGGGTGCGTCTGACTCTGACGAGAAGTGCTGAATGAAGTAGAAGCCGTGCTGATCCTCGCTTGGGCACCAGGAACAGATCCGCCTACTGCGAGGTTACTTGTAGATGTTGTAGTAGTTACATGTCCAGCACTGCCTAGTGGAAGTTGCTGAGTTGCATTACCGAACTGGGCCTGAGATGAAGGCGAAGATGACGAGCTACCACTTGAAGATGTCCTTCCGAAGGGAACAATGAGTGGCAGCTTCAACGTCGCAGCCGCGCTGTCTTCGGCACTGTCTGCGCCAGTAGTAGTTTGTTTTGATGAATACTTCGATGAACCGGCCATAGTGGACTTAGTCGCAGTTGTGGCCATGTACTTCATGTTGTTCTCGAAGATGACGCTTTCGTCACTGTCGTGGCCTCCTTGGTCGTCACCTCTGCCAGAACCACTTCTTCCGTAATTTCTATTCACGACGTCTGCGAGCTCTTCACCTTCTTCACTGGATTGTCGCCGGCTTGCTGTTTTACTTTGTGACCGCTCGTTCCCGATAGTTGCTTTCTGCAGTGTATTCAGCAGACTGCTGACGTCCCGATCACCCGAGCCGTCAGAGGCGCCAACGAAATCCGCGACACTGATCATGGACTGTTGCTCTGCGTCTGGCGTGCTGTGCTGAACAGGCCGCTGCGCCGCGTTTAATATCAGTGGTGGAACAGCCGCATGAGTAGATGTGATGTCCCTCACTCTGGTTTGATGATAGTGTTCGCCAATTCTGCCTTGCAAAGAAGGGATGGAATCAATGAGCATACTTCTACTAGTAGATGATGTAAGTACGGCTCCACCGCCAACTACTGCTCGTCCAGGTGATGTACGGATGTTAGTACCACTACCTCCACTGCTACTTGTAGCAATCAGTCCTCTAGATCGTCCTGAGGATACATAGCCAGTTCCAGTCCCTTCGGAGCTTCGATAAAAGTCATCAACCTCATCGGGCTCTTCATTACCGGAGACTTCAGGAGACGAGTGATCGGATCCGATGTGAAACACCTCAGGACAGCTGTGTTGGAGCCGCGAAGTGTCCCGTAGCGGGTTCGAGAGCACATGTGTGACTGAAGAAATCTCACTGCGGTCGAGAACATGGGAATCGAAGTTGTCATGTTGAAGACGTTGCAGTTCTCCAACTACATGAACCCCCTCTTGCTCTGCGGGATACACATCATCTCCTACATGATGTTGAGGAAGAGGCAGGCGGATACTAGAGGTACTAGATGACCGTTGGTTGATAACATTAACATGAGGTTGTGATTCTAAAGTTCGGAGTCCGTCAGACGCTTCCTCGTCACATTGTTCATCATGGGGTCGCCTAGAAGATGAACTCCTTGCTCCTGCACCATGGATGGCGACGTGAAGCGATATTTCTTCTACAACAACTTCTCCAGCATTGCCACTACTTGGTCCTCGTCTACCAGGTTCCCCCCGTAATATTCCCGTAGTTCTACTTGCCACGCCAGGTGATTGCAAGATTTCTGCGTCTTCTAGTTCTCCTGGTCCGGATTCAATGTCAGAAGACGGTGCCGGAGACGAGTCCCTCTCTGCTTGCTGCGAGCTCTGTCCTCGCGAGGAGGATGCCTCTGATGCTGCCATCGATGCAGGACGTGAGTGCAAGTAAGCGCCGTCTTGGACTTGGTCTCCTAGGTGTTGGACGAGTTGAACTTGATGCTGTGGATCGGCAACATCAGCTCCGCGTCGTTCGCCTCCTAGCGCTGGTGCTTGTGACAACTCCTCTTGCCCGACGCCGGCGAAGATACTTGATGTTCTACTTGTTGTAGTCGTCTGAACCTGCTGAGGCCGCCGATGACTAGTTTCCCCTCTCGCCGTGAGGACCTCCTGCAACAAAGAGATCGGCTCTGCTTCAGGCTGTTCAACTTCTGTCCTTCCGGTCAACTGGCGGGCTTCCTGCAATTCCGCTGCTGCATCGACGAGTGCTTCCTCTACTTCTACTTGCGGAGCAACAGCATCAAGGACCTCGTTCGACGCAAGGGATTGCGAAACACGTCTATCAACATTTTCCGTGCGCCGCACTCGATTCTGTGCGCTACCTTGTGGGAGAGAACTCAATGCCTCAGTCTCAGGAGCCACTGTGACTGCAGGAGAGTTGCTTTCAATGGCGGAGGTCGTAGCCGCTGGGCTGCGTTGACGTTGGGACCTGCGGTCTTGACTCCTTTGAGTCGTATCCTCTAGCTGCAACTCGGCGCTGCGTCGCAATTCTTCTTCAGACATAGTCCTGGGGAAAATTTGACGATCACGCTCAGGCGTCAAGACAACTCCCTCTGTCGCGTCTTCTAGTAGAAGTTCTTGTGGTTGTGAATGCTGACTTTCTTCTTTGTTATGTTGTTCCTCCTTGCTTCTTTTCTCCCGATCCACTATAACACTTTCAAGGGCGTTGTCTGCCTCCAGCAGGAGTTCTTTCTTGCTGCTGGTGCTCCCTGCTTCCGGAGTCGCATCATTCATCTTCTGCGGTTGGTGCTCCTTATTCGGTGTGCTGTGCACAAGAGCCTTGTCCTCCAAGAGTTGCTGATCATCTTGATCTTTTCCTCCCCCCGTCACTTCACTCTCTACTACTTCGCGGCGACGCTTCCCGGCTGAAGGTGGGGAGCGGGGTCGGGCATCAAGATTGGTTGCGACTGCACTGCTTGTTGGTTCAGTGTCCGCAGGATGGGTGCTGCTGCTCGTGACCACCCTCTCTCTTTCCTCAACATCGATAATCTTATCCTCGAGAGAGTACTCAGCAGCTCCGATGTCGGCCGTGTTGTTTGCTTTCTGCGACAGTTCTGCAGATGCCTTCCTTCTCGCAGTGCCAGCAGCTACAGAGGGTCTACGTTCCTGTAACGAAACTACCGACGCCTCGTCTTTACTTGTCAACGGAATCTGTTCATCGACATCGTCGACGACTTCATCTTCTTGCTTGCTGCTTTTACAGGTTGTAACCCCCTGATGTGCCTCGAGTTGCACTAGACCATCAACTTCTTGCGGCAGTTGATCTTGATCTTTCTGCTCATCTGATAAGTTCTCTCGTCGTCGATCTGTTGTGCTCGGTGAAGTGCGACGCTGGTCGTCGTCATGTGATGACAATATGTCGGCAGGAGCCTCGGATGGCGTTTCTCCATGATCGGTGACGCTGCTCGTGACCACACAACTGCTCGTGACCTTATTTGTTCGCTGCTTGTCCGGCGTGGCCTGCTTATCCTCTAAGGAACCAAACGTCGGGGACTTGTCTACTTCTCGACCGCTCTGACCACGTCGCGCTGGAGCCACGACAACCGAAGTTCGCTCTGGCGCAGCGTCATCGACAAGTGCGGATGAGCCCTGCTCTTGAGCAGGAGCGCCTCCAGCAACTTGATTTTCTTCAATAGCAAGATCTACAGGTCGTGATCGACTTTCCTCACTCCGACTACTGGTGTCGAGAGGGTGCAGAGCAGTCTTTTGAAGAGTGTCTATTTCGGTTTTTTGTTCCTCGTCGTCGTGACCAGTTGTTCCAGTAGTTTTGATAGAGTCAGCACTACCTCTCCGACTCCTGATTGAGCCGGTCAAACGCTCATCGTCCTCCAACAAGTCACTCAAAGAGCAAGAATTACAACCAAGCGAACTACGAAGAAGGTCATCACGGTCTCCTCGCTTGTTTGCTTCTCGTCGGATCGTCTCTTTGTCTAGACGCGACCCCGTCATTAGCTGCACCACGTCCAGAAGAGTCTCGTCTAGGTGTCCACCCGCACTGTGAATGGAAGTGTCCAGGGATCGAGCAGGGCGAGGAGGGCAATCGCCATTTTCGAGATGCAGTTGTTCGGCAGAAGTTTCTTCATCAACTCCTGTGTCTTTGACATAATCAACAACATTGTTGTCAGTGCGAGAACCTGAAGAACTCCTTGGAGATTCATTTGGTTGCAAAAGAGTCTTACTGCTCTCTTCCTGCGTTTCTTGCTGCTCAGAGACAGTGTCGGTAGTTGCGGAAACCTTAATCGACCGCGATAATCTACGACTATCAAGAAAGAACGCAGCCGAACCTTGGCTGGCATTAATTTCACTGCATGCTGGCGGTGAGTCATCGTCGAGTAGCTTTTCTGCTTCAGCGTTCACCTTGTTCTCAAGAAGGACCCCTGCAGCAGGGGAGTCAGCACCGCCAGCATTACTGTCTTCCACTACTTCGATTCGTCGAGCAGATGAACACGACGAAACTACATGATCTTCTGCGATGAACGGATCAGCTTCTTGCTCGTCCGCTTCAGATGACTCCTCGATTCGTCGAGCAGATGAACACGACGAAACTACCTGATCTTCTGCGATGAACGGGTCGGCTTTTTGCTCCGCTTCAAATGACTCCTCGACTCGTCGAGCAGATGAACACGACGAAACTACCTGATCTTCTGCGATGAACGGATCGGCTTCTTGCTCCGCTTCAGATGACTCCTCGATTCGTCGAGCAGATGAACACGACGAAACTACCTGATCTTCTGCGATGAACGGAACGGCTTCTTGCTCCGCTTCAGATGACTCTTCATTCGTACCTAGCAGATAACGGGCAGAAGACCTCGAACCGATCTTCGTCTCTCCTTCTTGGTCGTGCAACGAAGCCTCTAGTTCGGCCTCGCCACCAGCCTCACTTGGTGAAAGACCATACGAACGCAGTACCTCAGCGTCTTGATGGCTTTTGGAAGGACTAGTTTTCTTTGGCTGGTAGTCATCGACCACTGCAACGTCGTTCGCAGCCTTGTAGAAAGCAGGAGGAGGTGGAGGAGTGATCGTGTACGTCTCGTTTCGGACGCTCTTGTTGGTCTTTAGGAGAGTCGGGGTGATGGTGATGTTTTTTTGTGTCGTGTCTTCTACAGGAATAGCCGACACTAGAACAGATGTAGAGGGTCGTAGAGACTTATCCTTTAGCAGTTGTGATGGATCTTCAGTTTTCTCTTTAATCGCAGATTGATCCTCCGAAGACTTCGCTCTTGACATCTCACGTGTACTCGAGCGACTTTGTGCAGCAACAGCGAGTGCTTCTAGTTCTGCTCCTTGAGTCTCTTGCTTTCCTCCTTCTTGTTCAGAGAAACTAGTCTCCAGCCCTCGCAGATCAATCTCTGGCAGTCCTAGTCGTGCAGGGCGAATGGTATCCCGTGCAGCCGGCTCTATGGCATCCAGAAAAGATGATGTTGAGGAGGATCTACCTGTATCACCCACTGGGGAAAAGCCGATTTGGCTCCGCGTCTGCGAGGTGTCAGCCATATCCGAATGCTTTGCACCTGAGCGGTCTAAAATCTGCACATGGTCGGAAGCAAAGACCAATTGTGTGAGTGTGACAGGTGGAACCATGTCGGTTGCTGGGTTGCTGGTGGTACCGTTTTCTTTGGGCTCGTCAGTGATCAGAAGAGAGGAATTGCGACCTGTCAGTTTTTTAAGGAAGAACATGATAGCCACGTGAGTAATTTAATAAGTAAATGCAGCAATTGAAAACTCATCTTCTTCTTCAACAACGGAAAAAACTGTGTCTGAAAAAATCCTCAGAGCAGATATGAGTTAGACGCGAAACTTTCTATGGGAAGAAGAAGTACCCATCCATCCTGGAGTATCTTCTGCCCTAGTGCTTTCACTCCTAGCTGGCATTCCTTCGTCGAATAGGATATCTGCTAGCACTCCAGGTGATATTGTAGGTCCAGCAGCCAGAAACGCAAGGTCTTCCTTTTTTGCCTCCTTAGAAGTTTCCAGGGTGCTGAAGAGGTCATCGGTGACCGATGGTGGTTGCATCTGAGTCTTCAAAGGAGAGGGTGTCAGAGGGCAGGCCCTTGTTGGTTCTTGTGCTATACTTCTAGTACTATTTCTACTCTGCCTTGTCATTGTCGCAGATTCGTGACTGATGTTTTCAAGACCTACGCTAGTACAGCTTGCGAGCGTACTGCTCGTAGCACTAGGAAGCGACGTTGATGAGGAAACCGCAGATGATGGCACTCTGGTAGAGCACACGCCTTCAGACGGGGCATGGCAAAGATCTGCAAACAAATCGTCTTCTAGACTATCTGAGGAAGTTTTTCTTTTTCTAGTAGAGGACTTTTCGGTCTTAGCATCATTCTTCTTGAGTATGACGTCACGATCACGCTCCTCGTTTGCTACTAGCTGAGCTTGTTCAAGTCGATGGACTTCGCTTACGACAGAGACTTGCTTTCTGCTCTCCACCGTTTCCGCTTTTACACCTTCTTTGGGCGGAGATGTCAATGCGACTGAGAGATCGTTGTGAGATGAACTTGCTTTCTTGTCAACACTGGTCTTGTCCTCTATTATTTTCGACGGCGAAGACAAGACCGGAGCTTCATCTGCCAAGACAATGGCTGCCGCTGCGTGTTGCTGTTCCACTTGTTCTGCCTGTACTCCACTCTCGCTTTGCTTTCTCGGTGGCGAGTTGTTTTCTATCTTCTCCTCTAGTGCACCCGTGAAGATAACAGATGTTGAAGCATTATCGTTATCCTTCCCGTTGATCTTCTTATTTTTGTCTTCGACGTTTCCGTTTCGCGTAGCACTACTTGAAGTAGATGAAATAGAGGTGTTGAGCGAAGACTTGATGAGGATCGCGCTCCCTGACGATTTCGAGAGGTCTTCCAATTCTCCACTGGCGTCTAGAAGAAAGGAATCATGATAGTCCTCCTGAATGAGATTCCGTGCATCGAAGACATAGTGTTTCATCTTCCTCTTTCTGTTGTTCTTCGACGCAGAAGTTCTTGTAGGCGGTGGAGAAGTACTTGTACTTCTAGAAGGTGATGTAGTTGCTAGTCCCTTACCTTTTCCTCCATCTTTTTTTCTCCTCACTGTTCTCTCCGAAACACTGCCAAAATCTGGACTTCTATCCTCCAGACGTAGAGCATCACTGGCATAGTAGACGACTTGCTCTTCTGGTCCTGGTGCGTCGAAACCATGACTATGCTGATCTTCATCGGGAGAAGCTGCGACAGAGCTACTCGGGATCGCAGTAGACAACTTAGAGGATTCTTGGGTTACACGGCCGCTTTTTTGCTTTCTGGCGTGTAGTTTCGATTGGTCACCTGAGGGACGAGGTTGAAGATAGATCGAATTCGAAGTCAAAAAATGCGAGTCGGTTAAAAAAGTTGCTATTTAATACATAGCATCAATAGATGAAGCTAGTTTGTTGCAGTGAATCCATGTAAACTCATCAAAATCAAATCAATGGGGTCGCTCGTGAGTGACAAATCGAAGTACCCCAAACGCCATCCTCTTCCGTACTGCTTCGACTGCGTCCTTCTACTTCCGATGATCCAATCCGAGATCTGCCTTGTTGCTCATCTCTAGCACCCCCTGTCCTAGTTTTATCCAATGCCTCTAGAAACTCTTCTTTCCCGAGTCGTCGGCGCGGTTCCCTCCTGGAAGTGCCATTGCTCAGAATACTTTGTTCTTGATGTGAGCGAGCTCGTCTAGATTTTCGTTCTGATCGATCTTTTCTGCTCAAAGCAAAAGAGCTTCGTGCTCGACGGCGTCTGATCGTCACCTCTGTGACCGCACCTGGAGGACCATCGCCTCTGATCTCCTCCTCATCGTCGAGCAGAAACCTAGACGCATTCCCGCTTTTTCCGCCATTGACCTCGACCTCCAACATCGCCACCTGACTTGTCAGCCGTTCTAGCGCATTGTGCAGGCGACAGCGGTCTGGCGCTAAGGAGGCGATCGAGCCGTTGGAGATGAGGGAGAGATCAGAAACTCCGACACGATTGTTTTCGTCAGAGGAAATCACGCTTGTATTCAACATATTGACTGATGCTGGTGGACAGGCTGCCTTGATATCCCCACAACTCGTATCCACTGCTGTGAGAATTTCTGGTGGACTCGTGATGATATTCGCACTGCCCATCAGACCGCTAACACTTGCTGCAGGAGTCTGCGTGTAAGCTAGGATGCCATTGATGTTGTGCTGAAGTGTTGTAGCATTTTGACCTTGTTGAGTTTGGTCATCATCTCTACGTCTACAGCAACCTCCTTTGCCGCTTGTTGCTCCAGTTCCAAGTATCCTTGACCTTGTAATCGGCTTTCCACTTCTACTAGTATCACGAAGATGGTCACGACTAGTCGTTCTTGTCCTCCTGGTGCTGGTGTCAACACTTCCGGCACTTGTATTAAGCGCATGGTCGGAACCAGCTAGACGGTCATGTGGTCCTTTTCGACCGGTAGTAGAAGTCCGTTCACTGACAACAGTGCTCGGAGATGATGGCACTCCTGCGGATGATGTGATGTGATAGAAGTGCTCGCTGCCAGAGACACCGGACGGCAGCGATCTTGAGGATCTCCTAAAAGGGGAGCCCTCGTCAATCACACCGCTTGGTGTGGGTGTTTTAGGTACTACAACCATCTTCTTGAATTATTCTGTATTGATGGATGTAGATGTTGAACTTGTAGTTCTGGTAAGTTGATCAGAATAAGTCAAGCACAACAATATAACTCTGGTATATCATCATGCAGATGGCCATGCATGTTGGTGAAGGTAATCAAATCAAGAATACAAGATAACTTTTCATTTCAGCGTCCTAAGTTCACATATTTTCTAGACCGATTTTGACTTTGAGATTTTGGTCCGTCTCCATGTGCATATTTATTCTTGACGTACAGGGCGAGGGAAATTAAAGACGAGATAAAAAATATTAGTTATGTGAATATGGAATCGCGCATGGCCACAGTGAACGGTTTTCATCTAATGTTGACTGAGTGGCGGGATGGGAATCACGATATTGGACTGAGGCGGGTAGCACAGCTCTCATGTTGCGACGAACGGGTTTTTCTTTCTCAGAGACCACTTTGACCGAAACCGAAGTCACTTTCTCCAGCAAACGATTTCCGTCTGACCGATTATACGATATCAACCGAATTTACGATCATCTCATTTCGTTGACTCGACAATTTGACAATCACACACACAATCTATCTTCTCATGTTCCGGAATTGTGAAAGTGATTACTCATTACAAAGGATATTAAGCCAAAGGCAAAGAACATCTTATCGATAAAAACGGGTATGAATAGAATGATTGAGATTTGGGTACGTGTTCAGGAAGATTGTTGGTAATGAAGAAACACAAACATGATATCATCTGTAAAATATATACTGAAGACTTCAATCTACTACTTACTACACGACAGTAGCGCTAATATTGATACGATAAGGCCGCGGCCACCGGACGCTTTATCTTGTCGTGAAATCATCTCGTTTGGGGCGGATGTTATTTGATAATCTACCAAATCAAAACAATCACTTAATACAAACAACAAAAAAGTAGTGGAGGACAAGATAAAATCATTTGAAAGCATGATTACAACCTTCTTTTGTTTGATTTTCAAAAAGAATTCGCGAAAAGAGGGGCGGGGAATAGTTACAATCAAGAATCGATCATCGTCTCCCTCGATCTACATTTCCTTTTTCATTATCCATCAGTTTTTACAATACGATTACGAATACAACAAGGGAGCGAGTATGAGAGAGTTGCGGGTTCAAAACTCAGACTCAACGAGAACAAAGATGAACATCAACAAGACTTTTTAAAACAACGATAACATTTACCCTTACGCAGCAACCGCAGACGACATGCAATCGACTTGATTTTTCGCATCTTCCAGGTGGTCACAATTTGCGACTACTAAGGCCTTGTACGTCCCCTGCATCTGCACGACCTCCGAAATTGATGGTGGGGTCCAATCCTTGTCCGCAGATTCTATCAACTCTTCTGTGTCATGAGTTGCTGCGTTACAACCATTGCCAGCATGACGTGTTGAGTCCCCGTTACGAGTACCTCCACTACCTCCTCCAATTTTCTGCAAGACATTGATACTCGTGTAGTGTTGATTCGAAAATCCGTGACCAGTGAGGAAATTCACGCATGTGCCGGTGGGGCCACCGTGAGAGCACAGGACCACAGTCTCTCCAGGAAATTCGCGTTCGCAGGCTAGAACTACTGCTGCCATTCGGGTGGCTACGAAGTCGTCATCTTCGCCATTCTCGCAATGCAAACTGGCGACGGGGGATTAGAGGACGGAAGAGAAACAAGACACAGTGTCTTTCAGTGTCACACTATTTTGATTTCTTCATCTTCAGTCGTATTTCTATAATTTTCAACATCAGCGAAGACGTGCTCGTAGAATGTCGAAATTGAAATGTCCATGCGCTGAATTGGGAAAGAAATTTCGATCATATTGCCATAATGTGCCCGAATCTGATCTGGTAGCGCTCCATCAAGGCTATTGAGACAGCGCACCAGCTTCGAACCATCTCGCTGTTGGGCCGATCGCTGCAATTCTGGCGTCAGAAGAGGAGGGAGGCTCATTACCTTTTTCTGTCCGAAACCAGTGTCTCCTGGGGCATCGCCGTCAGCAGGTGAGTTTTCAGCTGATGTTGCTGAAGCAGCAAGATGCTTTGCAAAGATCGCTTCGCTATCTGCAGAGGGTCGCAGTTCTTCGGGAATTTCTGTGGAGCTATCGTAATCGTTCTCTTTGCTGGAACTATGTTGTTCCCCACCTACTTCTTGCAACTCTGATATGCTGTCCAGCGCGCCTACTGTTTGCTTTGTTGACGTCACGCCATGAATGAGGAGGTCGCTCATGGGAACGAAGGCTGCAGAACACACTTTTGACGTGTCAAATGGTTTTCCGTTGCCTCCCCAACAACCAGTTGCATCCTCTGTAGCCCACGCTTGGTACCAAGCTGGACAAACGTGTTCCACCAGAGCGAGAGAGAAGAGGATCTTCTTCTTGCTCCTACTTATTTCTGCATCTGAACCATCGACGACAAGTCCTCCTGCACTGGCTGATGAGGTACCACCGGCAGACACCTCCCGCGCAATTCCCTCGCGGACTCCCGTCGTAGTCTGCAGACACCGCAGAAGAGGAGACGAGATCGGATATGAAAGAGGGTACTATGTGATGACGAGTATATGGAGGAGTGTATGTCGTGCACCAGAATGGCAAGACATCAAAGCTAAGGCGGGGAGCATGCACGGGTAATATTATCTGTATGGGGTTGGGGGCAGTGCGATCTACAACTTGAATTTGGGATAGCAGTTCTATTGTCAGCATAAGAACCTCGTCGGCTGCTTCAAGTTCAGTTTCTCCATCAATTGGTGGATGTTTTTTCCAGCTGCTAAAGCCATACGGAATCCATCTTCGGTCAAGGGTGGGTTCCAGGGGTCGCGAGAAGAGCGAACCCAGAGAGGCAATTTGTAGTCCAACCTCTCACCATGTCGCATGACAATCACCGCTGGTGAAGCGGACGACGAGGATGACGATGCGGAGTAGGAGGTGGTCATTATTTGTCTTTTTGATGAATTGATATTTGACGTAGAAATTATTGAAATTGATGGTAATGTCAATCTTGCTGCGTTCTTGTTAATTGTGCTGGATGAAGAAGTCGAAGTCCTCGTTGTAGACTTTTTATTCAGGAGAACTAGGTTTGGGTATTGATCATGACTTGATCCCAATGTTGACGTCGATGAAAGCCGACGAGTTGTAGAAAATGATGAAGTAGGACAAAAATTAGCTACGTGTAGTAAAGGTCGTGGCTGAGGCGTGGACGACCTCCTAAAAGAAAAGCGAACTTCAGATCTTCTGAGCAACATGTCTTTGCTCACAGCCAGCGGAAACGACGCAAAGTTCTTCGCTGATGAAGAGAACAAAGTCCGCAGTGAGGTAGAGGGGGACGTGGTGGGTAGGTAGTTCGGTTGGAGCATCATGTTATAGTTGTGTGATGTGCCTACACTTGAGGAATTGCAATCAAACTCACTCTATGATCGATCCACCTGCTCGTCTGTCAACACGCAAAAGTTCATTGAGACTCGTCGAACACACTCGTGAGTATTTCACTTGCAATTTCCTCGTCCTTCTCGTGGTGCTCATGCGTTATTTACGCATTTATATTGAAGTGGAAGATATAAAACTCGTTCAGTTCGTCCTTGTTGACATCGAATTTTTTCAAAGCAATCAGAATCAAGAATCAAGGAAGAAAGAAAGAAGCAGATGATCTTCACACACATGCGAAAGAAGTTAAGTCTATAAGTAAGAAGAATCCGAATGCGATTGAGAATCATTATCATGGGTATTAATACTATTACAGAAGAGCGAATTTCATCGTGAGTAAGTCTTGAGGACTGAAGAAGAAGCTTTATTGACCTTCAACTTCTGGCATTTCACCATTATCTTCTTCTCACAGCGTTCCTCATCTCGCAACAAGGACATCGATGTCGAGCGCGATGTACAAAGCAGTGTCGGTGGAAGACCGTGCTGCATTCCTTCGCGTTCGGACAATGAACTGCGTCAGACCAATAGCAAACCGTGGAACCACAGATAGCGCAAGGAGTGTAGTAACTAGTCTTTGACTTCGTAGGCTTCTTGCTGTCCTTTCTTACAGCATGAGTCGCCGTGGTTGGTGGGTCTGGCTCTGGGTCCTCTCGTTCATCGTCCGAGGAGTCCGACCATAGGTCTGCAGTAGATACAGTATCTTCAGTAGAGTTCTGATCAGTACGTCCAAGGTCGTTGCTCTTGTTGTGAAAAGCCAACCTCCGATCCCGTAAACGTTCCGAACATATGGGACAGGACTCCAGATGCAGCAAACATCGAGCAAAAGCGCGCTTTATCGTTGAGTATAATTCGAGTGCGAGGTTCGATACCTGACTGATCTCGTCTAGCAGATGAACTGAGTAAAACGTCGTCTTTGGAAACGCCTGCTGTCCGGGAAGAGGAGGTGGAAATGGGGGTTGTTTGTTCTTGTTTTTGCTCTGCCCGGTCATCTTTCTAGAACCAGCTGAAAATTCGTATCGAACAACAGCTGCTTCCACTTCGGGTTCTTGCTTCGCGGTTTGCTCGCCATAGTCTCGTACCACAACTTCCCCATCCCGTGTATTCTTGCTTTTCCTGGCCTCTGCAACTGCTGCTTTCACCCTTTTCCGAAGCGTCAGTAAAGTCTCAGGCCTCAGATCGCACCCACATCTTTCCAAAATCAGATTCTTGTCCGCCTCGTCGAGAATCTCTTCCAGATTCGACAAGTTTGAGTTCTCGAAACTGAAACTCCCACTTTCATTCCGGTATAAGCTCTCCAGCAACATCAGAGCATTCCGAAAACGCCCCAACGTCGAATCAATCTGCCTGAACAGCTCTTGCGATCTTGGCACGCCACTCCCTTTCTGCTGGAAGTCTGTCATGATGTGGTACCGCAAGGCTAGGTTGTCGCTGAGACCAGAAAGGTTGCCGATGAAACTTTCGGTCGCGGTAAGAAATTTCGAAGCCAAGGAAGCAGTTGTCTCCAGCGTAGGTTTGGCGCTTGCCGGTTCATCTCCCGCCGTCGTCGTGGCACTAGTAGTGCAAGCGACAGATTCTACGTGAAGTCGCTCGACGGTTATTCTTATTTCGTCTGATATTTTGATATCATGATCTCCTGGACTGTTCGCTTTCTCCTCATCTCTGATCTTAGAAGTCGTGGCGTCGATGATCTCCTCAAGATCTGATCTCGCGCTCTCTTCATCCTTTACTACCGCAGAATGGAATGATGACAAAGGCGTGCCATCCGCTACGGTTGCCAATGTTGCAACAGTTGACGTTGTGCTGGGTTCTACCAAATCAGCTAGTTGAAGCGCCGATCGAAGCTGCACATCAAGCTTGATGTCATCGTCGTCATCGCTCAACATGTCAACATGATCTAATGCGGTTTGTGGCTGATCTTCAGGGTCCTCTTGAGCTTCAGCGGAGAAGAATGCTGGTGTTGAGCATGCAAGGGGTTGACGCTGGGCAGCTTCCTTGTCCTGTGATGCTGCTTCTATACCTCTGTCCGGTTCAGGATATTCAACGACGGTTGATGAGGACGGAATCTTCTCTGCTAGTAGGTTTGCAGCATCATCTGCAAACTTTGTAGATGGCGCCGGAGCCGCGGGCGCTGGTGGTGGAGGTAGTGCAGAGGGCGAGTTCTTAACAACAGCACTCGTACAACCAGCAATTTCCAAACGCTCCGCTGACGCGATCAATGCCAAATGCAACATGCGGACTTGGCTGTTAGACGCTTCCGGTCTAATCCGTCGAATTTTGAAACCATCAATGATAGGTGCATGAGCAATGCCTTGTAGGTACATAGTCGCAGCTCGACAAATAGGGCGTTCCGTGAAGTCCCACTTTTTTGCGACATAGGCTGGAATGATACTGCGCGCCGCACGCTCTGACTCCTTGCGTGTCTCCTGCTTTTTTGTCTGGCCGTTGCTGTCCTCTTCGAGAGCTGTTGGTGGAATGAGTTGCGTAGTTGCGTTTGAAGACTACTTGTTCATCAGCTTCAAGCCATTCAGGTTTTTCCTCCTAAAATTGATCAAGAATAGCAACGCGGAGGGTGCGACAACGAACCAGGCCACCCAGACTCACGGTCGGGAGAGCCAAAGTGGGCCAGCCGAATCAGCCGACATCCACAATGCCCCGCAGTCTATGAGCCGCCCGCACTCTCAGCGGGTCCCATTCTCGTCGGGGCTATGGTACTCCCCTGCCAGAAGCAGAGAGCCAGCACGAACCAACTAGCCACGAAGCAGATTGATAGAAACGAGAGAACTAAGAAAGCACCCCATCGATGGCGAGCGTCTTCGCTTTGTAGGTGGAACTCCATCACCTTGGCCAGATGCGTGCGCGTACCGACGACAACGGCGAGGGCGGCACGCTTCTGCATGCGCTCACTGATCCGCCAAGAGCAACAAGCAGAGCGAGAGCCTCGAGCCATGGCTTGCGCGTCTTCATATGATCGCGGGACGGTGATACGAAAGGAGAAAAAACGCAGAAGCCAGTGAGCCAGCTTGCCACCCAAACACGCGGGAAGAGTGTGCTTGGGTAATAGATGCGCTGCCTGCCTTTGCCTCTAGTCTACAAGCAAACTAGTTACTACGCAGCGCCATAAGGTGCGGACTCTATGCCCAAGAGGTCACCGGCCCCCCAGCGTTTGCACTCTGCCGCGCAGCTCTCACTCTCATAACGACCGCAGTCGACGCCATCGGGGTGGGCCTGCGCTAAAGCTTTCGCGGCCTCGTTGGTGCACGCGGCGCGCCGCGACACGGTGTAAGCGTGCCCGAGGATGCCTCCAGAAAGCAAAGCCCGCGCGATTTGTGTCGCCCGGTCATGTGTTCGGGTAGCGACGTAAGCCTTTCCACTCGTCGCGCGAGACTTCGAAAACTTTGCAGGTGCGTGGGCCTTACCAAAGCCGCAAATATTTAGAACAAGACGCCCAGCGCCTCGCCCTGTTAGTTTCTCCGGCCCGTGGGGGACTCCTTGACGACGCAGCGCACGCCCGCCATTTGAAGCCGGCGGCCTTGCTGCCTTCAGGCTCTTGCGAGAAGACAGCGCGGAGGCCGAGAAACGAAGGAAGGACGTAGACAAAGCCATAGGCAAGCCTCGAGGAGGAGGCCGCGCCCTCTCAAGGTGGACGCATCCAACACCTGCAACGCCCGCTCCTGCGCTCGCCGCCAAGGTCGAAGAATGCAGAGAACTCATCTAGAGAGAGGCAGCGCCCCTGGGGTGCTCCTTTCTAGAATCTCGGCGCTTCTATGCGGTCGAGGTCGGGCGACTCAGTGCTACGGCCCTACGGTGGAAAAGGGTGGCCAACCTAAGGAATCAAGCCAGGCCTGGGGGTGAGTTCGCGTCTCAATTTTCTGCCGTCAGCATATAAATGGAGCAGCTCAGTGCCCTGCTTCGAATTTGGAGCACCCGGGGAGGTTTGCGCTTCCTCTCCCAACTCCTCCACCTGCGTAGACGGCACAGCCGGCGTCTGGTGTGGTCTTCCAGGCGACGCGCCATGGCAGCCTCAACTTCGCCCAGAAGTTCCTGCATTGTCTGAATCGCCTGCACAATGCGAGACCTGAAGGCTTCCATCTTCACTTTTTAGGCCTCCAGATCGAACCACTCCGGCACCCCTGGCCCATTCCTTCGCGCTGGCCTCATTTGATTTTTATGAGCCGCTGCATTCTGCACCTGGGCGCTGTTCAGTCTTTCATTCGTTTCGGAGCTCGTTCTTCAGAGCTTGACCTTTGGCACTTTTTCGATCTTCGTCAGAACGGAACTCTTTCCCCCTCTCCGAGCTTTTTCTTATCCATTAGTTCCAAAAAGTTCAAAAAATTGGATTGAACTACATTATTGGCGCGAAGTATTTTTTTGGGGGAGAGCCAGAGATAGGCAAAAAGTTATGAAATACTAGGTTTTTGTTTTACCTGCCAACATCTCCGCCCTTGCTTCATCCGTCACAAAACAGAGATCGCAGAAGTTCAACCCGGTGTAGTAGCAGAAGTTCGCTGTTTTCCTCTGAATCTGAGGTCTTCGACAGTCGGGGCAATCCATCAAACGACTTTTCCTAGACATATTAGAGGACGAGTGCACTGTAAGTGAGAAATCCAGATGTAGAGGTTGGTCCAGCAACGGCGCAGAAGGCAGTAGAGATGCCACTAAATCAGCTTCTCGGCGACCCTGGTCGTTGATGCCACTATCAACGTCGTGAGAAGATTCGACATCGTCATTTGCGGTGAAGCAGGTCATCGAAAGTTGGGTAGTCGAACCTGCTGTACCGTCCAAACCTAACCTTGCAGAGGTAGTAGTTGCGTTAAATTGCCTTTTACCACGACCGCCGGAAGAGGTTGAAGAGTGAGCAGCAGCGGAGGAAGACATAGCACTACTTCCCGGTCTACGTATCGCACCTTGTTGAACCAGGGCCAGCATCGACTTTGCGTAATCCTGGTCCACGAAATCATTCGGTGAAGATGGAGAAGCTGCTCCGCGTCGACCTCCACCAGTACTACTTTGACTGTCTAACTCACTTGCAGGAATGGCCAGACTCAACGCCCTTGGCGACCCGCCCATTCGAATATGGTTGTCCTGTCGTTTCACACTAGCCCAGACAGAGGCTAAATCGCCACTGAGCAATCCGTCTGCTTCTTTTGATGCATCGGGACGACTTGTTTCTACTTCTAAGCCAGCAAGAAGGTCAACCTCAACACCATCTTCCACATCTGCGTCTAAGTCAATAACATCTACAGCACGTCCTGCGCCTTTCAATTTATCCTCGTCTGTCGTCGCTTTGCCATCCAGCAAGTTGCGTAAAGCGACTGCCGCGTCATTCTCGACATCCAAGTTCGGGCTTGAAGGATTTTGTCCGAGTAGCTCACGGTGATGGTGCGTCCCAATTTCTACAGCAGCCTGCAATGTTGGCGGGTCTTTACGACCTCCTGGAAGATCGCTGTTCTCCACAACGTTCACGACAAACGCGGGTCCTCCAGGCCTCAGTGGAGTCCTCTCCTGGTCCAAGAAAACGTCACTCGAAACATCAACCCGTCGTAGCTTCCAGTAGTGACTTCTCGCAGAGCTACCTGCAATTCCGCGTACTGCTCTTCTGCAGACTTTAGTTGCTTTTCTTGTCGCTGAAGCTGATATAGAAGTTTTTAGGTTCTCTACAGGCGCTGTTGAGGATTGAGAACCTCCCACTTGTTGCAGCAGTTCTTGGTGCTCTGATGTATCTCCTCCGAAACTACCTGGTGATCGTCCGTTGTTCCATCCCAGTCGCGTCCGGAACAGGTGTTCTTCACCTTCAAACAGAGAACTAGAGCTAGAACTTCGAGAGGATATGGTTGCTTCAACTTCTACAGAAGGTCGTGATGAAGTATCCACCTCCAAACAAAAATCTCTCGCAGTCCCACGCGTCAGCAATGCAGCAAGTTCGCGTTGTGTCGCTTCCGTTTCTGCCTCTCGACGAGAAATCCTTTGAGGGGTGCCAGAAGGTGCGTCAAAGTCGTCTTCATCATCTGATGCTTCCTCAGTGTCATCTTCGTCATCTGAAGATGAGGTCAAGTCTACTCCAGCAATGAAACGCTTTTTCCTAGGCGAAGACGACCCAGCAGTGGTCGTGCTGCTGCCTTGCTTTTCCCCGGAAGGATCGCCTTGTGCTTTTCTTGATTTTGTCGGTGACGGTTTTTGTCGTTTCAAAACAAGATGTCCATTTTCCACTAGGTACCTTTGACTCACAAGCTGGTGATATAGAACAGACCGATCCTCTTCATCTCGCGTGTCGTCCTGATCGTCGACGAAGAACCCATCTCGATTGTCGCGCACTACTTTACCCTTATACTCTTCTACAACCGCGCCTTGCAATGAAGCTAGGCCCTCTGTGGCTGTCTGCGTAAGAGAAGCAAGTTGCTCAGACGCACCGGAAGCTCGGACAAATTCTGTGGCCGTTTCGCGAAGACGGTCGAGAGACAACTGGGCAGCTCCTGGGACCACGCCGCGCATATTGCCAGCTTGATTCGACACTGAAAAAGTCCTAGTACTTGCTGCACTTAGTACGAGAGCGCGCTGAGTAAGATCACGCGTTGCGTCGGGATCAGGAGCTTCATCAAGTGTTTTCGTTTTTTCGAGTTTTTCATCCTTCATCATCTTCACTGCTGCGATTGGTTCTCTTATCCTGATTTCCTTGTGCTCCTGTAGCAGTCCCAATTGAGCCAAGTCATTTTGAAGTCGCGTTGAACTACTTGACGAGAGCGAAGACGCAACACCTTGCTCCGGCCAAAAGACTCGTCGACGCGCACTTTGCTCATGTCGACCGTTTTTTAACAGGAGAAAATGCAACATCCAATCGCGACAAGACACACGACGTTGAGATCGAGCTCGGTGTTTCCCTCTCGCAACATCTGCAAGACACACGACAGGCAGCTCTGAATCAATAGCTCCAAAGTTTTGACCTGTTGTCCTTTGTGCTCTCCAATGACTGAAATCTGTTGTGGGAGACAGCGCACCTACTTGTTTAGTTGCACCTTCCACTAGAGCAGACGACGCATCAAGTTCATTCTCATCAACACCCGTATTCAGCAGATTCGTTAACTCAGCAGCTAAATCGCTACCAGAAGATCCAGGTTCCCGATTTGCGGCTAATCTGCGTAGATGCAACGAGGCTCCACCTGGTGCAACTTCTACTTGAGTCCATTCTTCTGCGGCTCGAATAGACACCACAACTGTTACTTGTCTCCGCATTGCTTGTTGACTCAAGCGCAGATTTTCTAGGCGTCCGCTCGCTAGACCGGAGAGCAAAGCTCGCGTCGCTAAAGTCGGAACTTGCTGAGCATCCCAATCGTTTGGCGGAATAGCAATACTAGGCCTAAAAATGCTGTTTGTAGTTGTCATCTGTTGCAACGAGGAAGTTGGCCCCGGCGCTCCTGGAGGAGGAGGAGGAGGAGGAGGTGGTGGTAGTGGTCTCGCTGACCCTGGTGGTAGTGGCACCACCTGATGTGGTCCTTCTGAGCTGCCAACGGACCGCACTGCTGGTTGTGGTGGGACCCATACTGGTGGATCCATGCTGAAATAACGCGCGCCGAACGTCGTGTGTGGCGGATTCAACGATGCTTCATCTTGGTTGACGTACTGAAAACGAGGAAGTTGAAGATTCTGGTCAACTTCTTCTACATCTTGTTCTTGATATTTCAACAACATTTGTTCTTTCTCATCTTGTTTCAAGCAACCTTCTAATATTGCCTTCGTCCTAGCCACAGGTGTGATCCCCGGACTTTGGAAGAGCACAGCCGCAAACCTGCCCAACATCGCGAAACGACGAAGAAACAACACTGTTTCCAGTCTTCGATTGCCACGACCCTCATACTCGAAACCAAAAGCACTCGCAAACCATTGCATCGCTAAAACGCGTTCGGCTGCGTAGACCAGACGAATGAAGGATGTAAGCGCACTTGAGTCTAGTGCACGAATGAGTGCGTCGTCTTGGTACAGAAATTCCAGCTGTCGTTGCGTGTTGTTTCTCTGTTGAGATGAGCCTCTTGCTTTTGGCTTGAGCTGTACGGGTTCCCAAAGATCTCCTCTCTTTTTGACATTTGCATCCGGCTCGAGCAATTGCAGAAACGCAGATGGTGCTAAAATCTCGAAAGGAGTAGCTGCAACGCCGTCAATGGCGCTATCGCGTGATTCATCTTCATGGTTCCCATCGCTGTCAGTAGTTTCAGCAGGAGCGTCCTCGTCACCTCCTCCACCGTACGCAAGAAAGCATTCCACTAGCAGTTTACTAAGCGTTCCCTGCACCAGATGGAAGGCCAAGAAGTCTTTGTCTGTGGCGATCCAAGGATGCTGGGTGGACCACGTTGGGAAGAGACACGCGAGTTCGAAACTGCTGTCCAACAAGTGGATGTAGGGAGGTTGTCGTTCTCGTTCTTGTTTTGTCGTGTCTCCATCTTCTTGTTCAACATCTTCATCTTCTGACTCGGAGAACCAATCGTCGATGTCGATATCCAAGGCCAACAGGGCAGAACGACGTCCGTGGAGCAAGCATCGTCGGATTGTGGCAATCAACTGGGGTATACTGGTGGCTTCTTGCTGATCGAGGTGGGTAGTCGCAAGTTGGAGGGAGTTGAGGAGGGCGGTGATTTCTCTGTTCCTGTTGTTCCTGGTAGTATTAAATAAGGGAGAGGGAGATGCTGACGAGGTAATGTGCGTTTGATAGGACGCTTCTCCCCGTCCTGGGTTGTCCGTATTCTGCCCCGTGCCCGCCGCGGCCTCACCAGCAACAGGTCGTGTGCCGCTCGTAGGCTCTCTTTCTCCACCACCTCGCTCTTCCACTCCCTCCCTCTCCTCCTTCTCTTCCGCAACATCCACCTCATTATGCGCAGGCTCTTCATTTCGTCGTGATGGAACGGCCGTCTGTCCTTGCAGTGAACCATCTGCGGCAAATCTGAAAATGTAGCGCTCGCTACCGATATTGCTCGACATTCGCACATCAAAAAGCGTGCGGAGTCAAGACAAGATGGCTGGAGGACCTTCCGGTAAACCGTCTCGACATCCTTGATCTGTTTGATTTTCTAGTCTACTCGACTAAGAGAAAGACCGACTGAGGAAGACTAAGAACGATACACCAGATGAAATTATCAAGAAGAATTTCGTCGAGGGAGAACTAGTACACATCTTCCTACATCAACCTTCCGCGTATCCAAAAGATGACAACAAGGTCAACGACAACATGAGCGGTCGTCCTATTGCTGCCTTATGATTATGTTGGCTTTAGAAGTTGATGTAGCTTTTGCAACTACCTAGTAGAGTACTTCAACTTACTTCCTTGGATTCGCAGTGATGCAACGGGTCAACAAAAAATTCACTTCCACTTATTCTTGAAGGCACACGACTTGGATCAATTCTGGAACGATTTCACAAAGTCAGTGCGCCCAATCATACCTTCCTGATCCCAACAAAAAACCAGATTTCATTGTCAACAGTGACGAGTCGGAACATGTTGCACAGATGATAACTACGTGTACTTCCTTTTTTACCGATCATGATAAGCTAGAACATCACGTAACTACCAGGACAATATTTGTCTGTTGATGATTCTTCTTTCTTTCCAAAAAGATGATATGTGCAGAGAGTGAGTCACGCGCATGTGACTTTCTCAACCAACCGCACTCAACAGAGTACACTTTACTACAGTGTCAAGTTAAGGCACATTTGTCGTTAGATGTGAAGATGAAAGGTGAGTCGAAAGGGAGTGAGAGATTGAGATGTTGATTTATCGTGGCCACGAATTTATGTTGCCAGCACTACCCTGTCGCAGGAGCCCCCCTCTCGTCCACCCTTCCTCCAGAAGTCATCGTAATGCTAGATATCGATGCACTCGTTTGCTGCCCGTTCCCGAGGTCTTCGTCATCCCCTTCACCTTGTTCATCTCCTTCTCCACCTCCCAAATAACTACTTGAAAGCTGCACTACTTCTTCTGCCAAGACAATTTCTTCGCATTCTATGCCAGCTATGTAGTAGTTCGCTGCTACGCCTAGAGCTACCTTTAGCAGGCAAATGCCAAAAACTTCTGCCGCAAAGATGATCAGTGCGAGGAAGTAGTAGCGAAAAGACGAGTAGTAGGCGTCGGCCGCGTGGAAATAGTGGTCGAAGAAGAAGGAGTTGTTCGAGTTTTCAGGTATCACCACGTATGGTCGTGACGAAGGTTCTGGAAGTGTGGGTGTAGTCCTGGCTGGGGACGACATCAACCGCGCAAAGTAGCGTTCAAAACCCGCTGTAGAACTGGCGATGTTGTGTGGTGGTGGCCTACCCAACGTGGAAAATTGTTCTTCTCCAAGAACTGGTATGACGTCATCATCATCGTCATCCGATGCAGAGGTGAGGGCCAAAACTCTGCTGATTCCGCAGAAGGACCATGCGACGACCCCAGCGTACAAATTCAAAACACTAGCCGACAATAGATGGCAAAAGATCCGTCCCTTCTCCTCCCGCGCGAATAGTAGCCAAGCAACGCCCTGTAACGGCACCATGAGAGGGCAAAGTGGTGGCAACAAAAACCAGGAAAGAAACACGAGTGGATGCATGCCGAAGAAGGTGTTGGCGAGTAAGATCGTGACCATGGCGTCTGCGAACAGCAGACTGTAGAGCACCAAAATCAGCAATGATCGAATCCTCAAAATTGGTTGTCGATTCTGCAAGATGATGTGGCGGGGTAAGGTTAAAGCTCGTTTCCATCTTGATGCAGATGTTTGCAGCCTGGCTCTGGTCTTCAAAGCGAAAGAGCTTTTGGTCAAAGACCACTTCACCTTACCAAAACAAGAGCACACCTGCCGACCACAAGCACTGCGGCGAATCTTACCCCACAGCCCGCCGCCCAAACGCGGACTGTGTTGGGGTTGAAGATTTGAGGATGCTGATGCAGGAGTTCTTACAGATGACTCCTTCTTGTTCCGATCGATACTACTTGTCTTTGGCCTAGGCTGCAATACTTCTTCCGGCAAGCCCTTAGTCAAAAAGAGCGGACGGCACTCACCTCGCATAGCCTTAGGACTACTGGAGGCCCTCGGAGACAACATGTCTGGGTCTGAGAAGTCGGCACCCTGAAAAATCGAAGATGGTCCTCCAGGATTTTGACTGCGGATCATGGAAGCACTGCTTTCTCCTGGAGCTCGTCCGCGTCCCCAACCGTTGTAACCTCCAGAACTATCGCCTGAATAGCCACGTGAACTCTCTGTCAGGTTCGACAAGCGCGCTGGCACAGCTATGTTGCGACTCTGGTGGTTCTCGTCTACAACCAACTTCGAAGAGGATGCTGGTGTCGCTATATTTGGTGCTTGACATCCTTCAAACATCAACCCCACACGCCAAATGACCTTACCTTCTTCAGTTATGCTATCGGGAATACACTGCACGGCAACCGCGATGCCTGCATGCCTCAAGGCTTCACCGGCATCTTCGACCTTGTTCTTCCATAGCAATAGCCGCTCCAATGCCGCAGCACCAGTGGATCGATGAAAACCCTTGCGGAATTGACGCCACAACTGCTGAGGAGCGCCACCGGTGGATCGGAGAGAATTTGGTAGAGAAGATGAAGATGAAGATGCCGGTGTTTGTCTTGAAGATGAAGAAGAGCTGCCTCCGGTTTGATAACTGGTTGCAAGATCGTCTCCTTGCCGTTGTTCTCTGGTGCTGCTCCCTATCCGCGGACTAGGCTCCGGACTGCGCGTGTTGATTTCAGGTCTAAAACTGTAGGAAAACGCAGATGAGTCAGCACCATGATCGAGTAGATCATCGGCCCTTGCTCCTCTTGAGTCCTCATCACCAGCTACAACTTTGAGATTGCGGCGTCTTTTCTCCGCACGATCTCGTAGCAGGGCACTAATATCCCTCGCAACCGCACTTCCGTCAATGTCGTCTTCATCTCGCACTTGAGACAGTCTTGCTCTGGACGATGTGCCACCACCTCGAGTAGTTGTTGATGATGAAGAGGCTTTTTTGCTTTCCCTTGTGTTGTAGTTCCCGGTCGTGCTACTTCTAGCATCTGCGCCTGGTTGATGTCTACGATGCTCCTCTGCTCTGAAAGTGAGCTCCTGAATCAGTTCTGGCGGCGCGATTTCAGCAAGAGAAACTTCCTGACCATCGGAGCCACGGACAAAGAGCCCTGGAAGCGCACGAAGACCAGAAGCCGAAGGAGGTGTCTTGCTGTAGTTGGTGTCCACATCGTTTCTTCGGGTCATGATCATGGCTGTCGCGTGCTCCTGCCGAACTTGTTCCCTTCTTGGCGAATTGACTGTAGGAACGCTGACCATCTTCATCCTGTCATGATCTTCTTGTCCACCTCCCCCTCCACCGACCCTACTACAAGATCCGCCACTTCTCTCCACTACTTGATCCCGACTCGCTTCCCACGCCTCTGTCAACGTCTTACAACTGCCGATGGTCCGCGCTCCTAGGTTAAACTGATGCAAAACAGGATGCAAGACTGCACTACCGGCAATCGACTCTATCTGAGCAAGTAATGGATCTGTGACTTCCAAGATGAAAGGGCAGTCGTAACTGCCATCACCCGCGGCTGGGAGGAAGCGTTCCTCACCTGGAGGTAGTTCTGGACTCCAATCGTAGAGACTGCTGTCATAATCGAGGAAATCCAGATACGCCAAACAAGCGGAACCGTCACAACCGAATTTGACACTGACATTTGGACCACCACTCGCTGAAGATGTTCCTAATGTTGATGAAAGAAGTGAAGATGAGGTAGTAAGACCAAGATTGCCGGGATAGAAGCTACTAGAAGATGACGGCGAGCCCCCTGAAGTGTTCCAGTTCCAAAATCTGCACTGAGGATGTAATCCGGCTTCTAGTTCGATGTTTATGAACTCTAGAAGTCGACAGGCTCGTTCACGTCGTTGCTTTCGCTTCCACCAAGGCCACAACGGCGGATAGACTTTCCGTGTGACGAACTGGACGGACTTTGCTTCACCGCGCGCAGCTAGTTCGTGCCTGACGCGCTCTGCAAAAACTGCCCAACGGCCTCCGGCAACACGACCAGGCCAAGGGTTCCGGTCTGCGTCCAAGCGCCAGGGGTCTTGGGTTAAAGAATCGTTGTTGGTTCCGCGAAAGTAAACCCGCCTGACGTGGTAGGGCACATCATCTGCGTTAAAAAGCAACCCGCGGACTGCTTCCTCTGTGAGGATCATGTTCTCTTCTGCAGCAAGTGAAGATCTGACTACCGGCGCCGTTGTGTGTTGATTCGTTGAGGTAGTCGTCATGGAGTTTAGGACATCTTCACCGTATGCAAGTGTTGCTGGTTCTGGCTGATTCCTCCTAGAGCGACTAGAGGCAGCATTCTGAACTAGAAGATGGTCTACTTCCTGCGCCACACCGTCAAACATTTCAGGCGGAGTGATCTGGATTAACGGGATAGAATTTGATGGCATTGCCCTTCCTCCCGGATCTGCGAAAGACGACCTCGTCGTCGCGTCTGCCGTGAACCACTCAGCCTCCACTGCGCGGACGACGGATGTAGAACTCCTTCGATGCTCCTTTGCACCACCGTGGACAACAAAAGAAGACAAGAAGTCATGCGCATCAGTGAGGTTGTCGTTGAGGCGTAAGACGTCACCCATAGGCCCTGGAGAAGTGGGCATGTTATCGGCTGTGGCAAAAGATCCTCGACCACGACCAGCACCAGGAGACTGAGTCCCAGTTAGATCGATGCTGTGGCCACGGTCAAAGCCCGGAGACATAGATAGCGGGAAGTCGGTGTTTGACCTTGCTGGGTTTGCGGCAAGAACGTTGCTACTTGGAAGATGACTCTGCTCATCCGACGATGAATGACCTGCAGAAGAACTAGAAGCTCCTGCGTTAGCGTTACTCTGAACATCTCCACCAGAAACAGCTCTCGTCTGCTCAGGAGCTGCTTGCCACCTTGTTGTTGTGCTACGCCACCGCCGACCAAAAAAACCAGTAGCAAACGAACTACTTTGAACACAGCTCCGGTAGCATCCACAGCTCACGCACAAAAACCTAGCCCAGTCAACTAGGGTGTTCCAGACCCGTCTGCAGCTGCGCATATACACCGAAGAGTTGGAGTCTACGTCGTTCCAGGCCATGTGATCCGGATTGGCCCAGTTTCTAGCACGTATCTGAACTTCTGCCCACCGTGCCATCGTATCTTCAGAAGTCAAGATGCCTCCAGTGATGCTACTGCCAGACGCCAGACGCTCTCCCTCTCCAGCGAAAGAACTACTAATATTTTCATGGTCGTAACGGCCTTTCCGTTTGCTCTTCTGCCCACTAGTGAAGACGGGGGAAGCGGAAGCTTGGTGCTGGTGCAGCACAAGACTAGCTCGGCGACCCGCTCGTAATCTCGCTGCCTGAAGTTGACTAAAAGTTGTCATGCCACTTCGCCCGCCACCTCCTCCAGGTCTGCTACTGTTAGTACCAGCACCACGCACATTGTTGTCTACACTGCTGGGTGTGCTGAGTATTAACACTCCACTGGGTACGCCATCCGACAGCAACTTCGAGTTATCCAGAGAGGAAGGTCCACCGGAAAGAGTGCTCGGCGTCCCAGCAGGAGTGTTCTTCAAACTGTTGTGCGCCGACCCGAAATTCGCAGAATATAATGAACTACCACCAGGCGGGAAGATGTTGCTGTAGTTGTTGATAAAACTAGTAAAACCTCCTCCTCCACCACCTGGGGTGCCTGCTGTTGAACTTGAGGCTCCTGCTGGTGGACCAGATGCAGTCCCTGCCGCGCCTGCGCCTCCACTGATCCCGACCAACTGCTCCAATGCGTAGTCAACTTGTCTTGCCTTTCGTCTACGTTTTCGTCTGTACTCTTCGCAGGTCAAAGATATCAAGATCAAAACGACCAGTATCGATCCGATGCACATCAATCCCACTACGCCACCAAAAAACGTCATCGTGTAGACCCAAGGGTCCAGGCATTGGGGGTTGCTTTGGACTCCTGGATAACCAGGCGGACAACGGTAGGGACAAGTCGAATTCTGCCAGCCAGTGGACACCCACTCAAAACGTTCGACATCACGGCCATCTTTAGTATGAGGTCGGTCGCAGGCTTCGCATTGAGCTCCTCCGTCAGACCACAGACCCTTGTCACAGGGCGTGCAAAACGTGCCCGAAAGACCAGGAGGGCAGCGGCCCATGTGTGATTTCAAACCTTGGCCTCCACTGACATGGATCGTAACTTCGTGCACGTGAGCTGGTGGGTTCTCTAAGCAAGTCGGGTCGATGCCACCGCCGTTGACTAGAATGCGAATGACCGAGTCCGGGCCCTTGTCGACCGTCGTGTCTCCTTCTTCGTCTTGAGGGAGAGAGAGCGATACAGATTGTGACGATGCAGTCGTGCTGAGCTCTACGTCTACATCTTCTTCGTGTTCATCTTCATCGTCCACAGTCTGCTCATCTTGCGAGGCTCCTTGTTGCAGTTTTCTGCGTCGTGCAACTTCAAGAACTACTTCTCCTTCGCCAGTAGTCTTTGCTCCAGATCCAGTGGTCTTCTCAACTACCGAAGCAGGTGCCGCCGTCACAGGGTGCCACCGAATTCCCACTAGGCCGCCGCCTCCCGCGCCAGACGCACTACTTGCCAAACAAGCATTGTTTCCACCTTTCGCCGACATATATGCCGATCCTCGGATTTTCTCTTGTGTGTGCAACACCAAGTTTCCACCAGCACCGCCTCCGCTGGCCCAACTACGACCGAAACTGCCTTCCGAGACCATGCCTCGACTGCCATCTGCGGTTAAGACGGATTTGTCGAAGACCAGAGCTCTTGCTGAAGCCCAAATGATGCCACCACCGAACGATGGGCGACTAGGAAGCCGCTCTAGGAAGGAGCACTCTGTGTCGTCACCGCAGCCACCACCAGAGGCGGGTCTGGAGACGTCCCACCACACACCGGCAGTTTTGGGCTTATCATCCTCGTCGTCCTTGTCTCTGGAAGGTTGTGAAGGGAAGTCTGGAGGTGGTCTAGCCAGAGTGGTCATGCGAAAATCTTTCTCAGCACGACGAGACAAGAAGAACCGTCTGATGGTCGGTGAAGCAGTCCAAGAGCTACCCCGACGTCGATTCTTCTTTCTACTTCTTCTCATCCGCCCATAATCGCCAATATCGTCCTCTCCTGCTGCTGGCCTGACAAAAGGATTGTAGTCCGGTACATCGTACTGCATTCCCGGTGGTGAAACTGGAAGGACCTTCTCTGTCGTGCTTTTCACCGCGAATCCACCTCGACCGCTGTGGCTCCCACCAGCGCCAACCAATTCGCTATATTAGAGCTTCCTGGAATCCATCTTGAGTGTCATCCTGGGCTTGCTTTTCCCTTATAGAGGAAGGTCCCAAGATGCTCCTGAAGATGGATTCCCTGAAGCCTTAACTATGACTACTAGCTCCAGCACCACGTCCACTGCCCGGTCGACAGCCACGACCACTCGTCGAAACGCTGGCTTGCGTCATCTTCAACGTGTCCGCACAGAACAGCAACGCTTGAGCTTGGATCTTGGTCTTCGCAGAAACAGCTACATTCGGCGAGACGATGAGTAAGTCGAAGGGAACTGGCTCCAGTGGGTCCAGGTAGTCTTTCTCCAGAACGGAGAGTGTCGGAAAGAGTTTCTTGCGATCTCCGAAGAACTGCGCGTACCAACTTGGCGTGTAACAGGTTGCCGCGTCTTCGTTGTCCATGTTCGCACACGGAGATTGCCACATATGACAAAAATCGATCACTTCACGTGAAGGGCTGTCTCGTAGTTGTCTTCGTTCACGGAGGTCTGACGGTTGCGGCCGCGTTGTGGTTGCGCCTCCAGCGGAAGAGTCTGCTCCAGGTCCAGTCACCATAATTGGCGACGTGGTCTCAGCACCTGTTCCTGTTCTTTTTGCCGACATGTAGTTGGTCCACGACCAAGCATGAGCATCTTCCCTTCTACTTCTGACTCTGTCTTCCTGCTCACACAGTTCTGCTAATCGGTCTCCGCCAGTCCTGACGTCGGTGTCGTAGTAGTCCGAAGCAGCTTGAAACACCGCTGATTCATCAGCGAAGATGGCGAGACGGTCAGCAGCCCACGTGTCAGAGGGTCTCAGAATGATTGTAGCTGCGCGAACTAGGACAATCGGCTGTCTCAAATCGTCGTCACCGCCGCGAGGAGAGAGAAAGGTCGAAACAACGCCGCCGAATTGAACCTGGTGGTGTGAGGGTAGTACTTACTTTGGATCGCACCAAGACAAATAAACAGAATATCACCAGCAGAATCAATCATGATGTACTAAATGTTCTTCTTGTTCATTGATTATGACTTCCTTCTACAGATGACATTACGTGAAGAATTGAAAGACACTGAAAACTACTTCTAACATCAAGTAGTACATCATTCTCCACATCCACCATCACTCTCCCCGAGCAATACAGTCCCACCCGTAAATCCACTGATTGTGTTGCCTCAATGCGAAACAGGTCCAGCACATTGAACAACCCGTGTAACAACCGCACATTCCTAGCTCCCGAAATCGTCCATTTCCTTACTCCTCGAAATTCAACTCGCTTCGTTCCATTCAGCACAACATCAGATACAAAAGGTGGGCTTAAGGTTAGGGAGACGTCTTCTACGGTCAGAAATTTCTCAGACTCTCCACCACGCTGGTAATCGAAAAAGATCCCACCAATTATAGTTGTGGCAGCGGCAGGCGCAGAGGCGCTACCTCGACTTGATGGATCTGCTCCTGACGCCACTGCAAGTTCTCGGGACCTCGCACCCTGCTCTGTCTGAACATCGTCGGAATATGATATAGTGGACGTCGCCACTTGAGCAAGCTGATGTTCCTTAATATCAGCCACAACCGCTGTCCCCGATGAAGAAACATTACTTCCAAACTCCAGCTTCGCAAATCGCCAAAAGAAGCTATCTCGAACCGTGATATTTCCGTTCACTGCCGTGATCCGCAAATCTACTCGCGACCACACGCCTTCAACCATGACTGTGTCGAATACGATGGATCCATTGTACCGTAACTCGCAAGATGCCGGGACGTAGTAGTTGCCACCGTGTCCATCATTGGAGTCGGGAGAGAAGATGCAAACGTTCGGTTGATGACTGGCGTCTGATGTCGTACTAGTCGCGTTTGGAGGAGTCGGTGGCGCTGGCGGCGGATCGGGACATTCGAGCGAGGTGCAGGCTGGAAGTTCGCCGCGATAAGTGGCAAAAACCTCCGTGCTGGAGTGCAGTACAAGTTGGACTACGGCGAGTAGCCAGCCAAGGACCGTCTTTTGGAGCAAGGACAACATCGTGCCCGTGCCTTCTCCAGCACCCTACTATGCTGCCGCACGATGATCCAAATTTGTCGTAGCTTTTTCCAGCTCCCGTGCCATTCTTTGCTCGATCAACTCCTTCTTCTCCTATCTCAGCACTAAATGTAAATTTTGAATACAGTCGTGCAAGAATATGTCATGAGGAAATCAGATCAGGAGCATCAGACACTTTGAAAAAAACTTTTTTTGTCGACTAATATCTCTATCACTAGTACTTAGTACTAGTACAACTACAAAACCGTACTGAAGGCGCTTTCGCGCTCCTCGGGGTGCTGTCATCCGTTTGAATATTTACATTTTTTGTATGTGGGGATTGGGGAAACCAAACAAAAAAGTGCTGCAAAAGTGTCTCTCAATCACGAAATTCATTCCATACTCAAGTTCGGAATCCGGGACGAAATTCTTACTTACATTGGGGTCGACAATGAGGCCCGACGACGCTGCGCTCCATGAACATAATCTTCTTCATCTTCATGAACCATGTTGTTGCTAAGTTACAGTTCAGCAACACCCTCGTGCTGAAGTCACCTCGTTTGCTACCTGGGTGGTTTTTGTATCATGCCCTAAAATTGGACCGTGATGAGAATTATAATGGAAAAGGAAACTCAAGTTCAACTACAAACTCTGCACAACTAGGTACATCGTTTCTCTAGGGCCACACTCTTCTAGGCGCATTGATGAGGAACTCGAGCTCCGCGTCAGACGGAATAGGAGAAGTATTAGAAGATAGTCTATTGTCTTGATGAGGAAGTTACATAGTCTATTGTCTTAGTGAGGAAAAGGATTGTCTTTTTTGTCGGATGTGTTACGAAAGACAGCACTGTGCATATCACCTTTGTCGACTGGCTTTGTCTACGAGAAAATTGAACTTCGTTGTCTAATTCTAAGATTGGAAAACTTCGTTTGTCTGTGCCTGCGGAAGATGATGCATTATCAAAAGTCAAACATAATATTCACTGGCTCAAAATTTTCAAAACCTGTTAATGCAGCTATTTAAACATTTTAGGCTTGTCCACACCAGCACGCAACCCTCCACCCAAGTTTCTACCCAACGGTTTGAAGTCTGGCAACAGGGATGAGGCGAACGCAAGCGCTTCCACATTGCGGCGGCTGGAAAAACTACTTCCGAAACCTATCTCTGGACTCCTCGTTCTAGTAGGCGGTGCTGATCTCGGTAAGAAATGTTTTCTCGAAGAACCTGATGTGGCGCTATGGGCAACGCGGCTATACTCACACTCGCTTCTCTCAGAAGCGAATGTATTTGTTGTTTTGAAGCTGGTGAAATCTCCGTTGTAAACAACGTTGTCGACGTTTCTTTGTTTATTCTCCTTATCGACTGAACGGGGCGTATGATCTCCTGTGGGTTCTCCTCCCCCCAAAGGTGCCATCTCAAGTTTCTTCATGGTTATGTTCAGTCTCCGTCTTGCGGCTGCTGCAAAAGCGCTTTTTCTTGCATTGGCCCAATCTTGAGCTTTGGACGCTCGTTTCCGAAACCTTGTGGAATCCCCTATAATGTGACGATATTCTTCCCTTGCCTCAGGCGGCTCTTGAAACGTCGCTGGTGTAGCAGCATCACCCTCTTCGAATCTTGGTGAGAAAGAGACGAAACCTGCCTTCTCACCTTGTTGTCTTCGTCTCAATGTGCGCATGTGCACCTGGTATTGGACGGATTGCCGTGTAGGTAGTCGTGGTGGCGCAGGATTCGCAGCTTTACCACGACGCAATTTGTGGTCTTCGTCGCGCTTGGTTTGGAGGTAGAAGTCGACAACATCGAGTTCTTCTGGGTCTATTTTGACCGTGTCTGGATCGGGGTCGTAGTCGTCGACAGGAGACGGTGGAGCCTGGTCTTCGTCTTCTTCTTCGTTCTGCACATATGCTTCTTCATCTTCCACAGCAACGTCATCTGGTGGAGGTGGTTCTGGATCATCTTCAACAATGTCGACTTTTTCTTCTCCTTCATCGACGAGAGGTACATCCTCATCCTCTATCTGTTCATCTTCCGGCATAGAAGCAGGTCCTACCACTTCCTCACCTGCAGCTTCCGTCACTCGCGCACACATCACACTCGCTTCATGCTGCTGTCTCGCTAACACCGGATTCGATATCAGGTGACAACGACACCCCTTATGCCCAAAACGACAGGTACTGCTGGCAAGCGCTGCTGCAGTTGAGAGGTCTTCCACACGCTGAATCACGATTCCTACTTTGGGTGCGGAGTCGACGGATGCCCTTCTAGAGTTTCTTGAAGAACTTCTAGACCTAGATCTAGAAGAAGTTCGACGTGAAGATGTTGAATTGCGAGAAGAGCTGGTTGAAGAGCGTCCATTTTCTCCATTTTGTTGGCTCTGCCTGGTACTTTGTCGTTCAAGTAACTGCGATTGCTCTCGCTCGTTCTCATTTTCCACCACAGCACCAACTTCATTGGACACCTCTCGTTCTACATCGGCGCCTGTGCCACCGGTACTGGCTCTGGCTGCTGGTGTGGCAGAGCTTCGAATACTAGAGGACGAGGATTGGCGTTGTCCCTCTCCCGTCGTAAGCACCATTCCCTTGCTGCTCACAGTTCGAAGTTGTAGGAGTTGCATCTCTGTTGGTCTAGTTGCTGCAGAAGAAGACGAAGGTTCGCGCTCCTGATCACTTCCACTTCTTCCATGAGCATCATCGATTTCTGCATCAGCATCAGGTTCATCCTCTACGTCACCCGGGTCCATCACCTCTTCAGCAATCCTGCTGACACGAAAAGACGACCGCGCTGGTGGCGCTGAGTACTTCGATAATTGTCTACGACGGCTCTTCCTTGAGGATGATGTGGTGCTTATCCTTATGCTACTTTCCTTGCTTAGACGGGATGAGGAAGATGAAGAAGATGAATGACAACTAAAAACACCACGCGCAGCTGATTCTGTTGCCGAGGCAACTGAGGCCCTCGCCGCATCTATAGACGAAGACGAAGATGAGCCACCACCTGTCTCGCCCGCTGCTGACGCACTCGTCGTTACGCGTTGTTGTACCTCTTCCTCAGGTCCGGGTATGACGCCTACTTCTGCAACATTGGCAAAAGCCGACCTCTGATGTCTAGGCTCAGCCGTCTCGTCCGCTGCAGCACTCGTCCTTCCTCTAGCTCGACCTCGCTCACTGCTCAAAGTCGATGACACTGAATGCTTCACATTCTTTTCCTGCTTTCCACGAGCTGCGTGCGGTATGATGTACCTCTTACTCCCTCTTTGTACTGTTGTACCGAAAGCCGCAGCAGCAGCTGAAGAGTACGTCGACGTAGGTGAGGTGGGAAAAAGCGGCGAGCCTGATCGGACGCCGTGATACTTCTGCCAATCGAAGAGGCGTTGTCGGACCTGTATTTGAGTTTTCTGTCGACGTGTGAAAGAAAGTGAAACAGAAACTCTAAAGAAGGAAGACAAAGACAAAGTATTGTACCAACGGTTCAACAACATCTTGTTTTGCTGGGCTCCGTGGTCGCTGCGGTTGCAGAACAGGCGCACACTTCTTTCCGTCGCGTAAATGCGCAGGCGCTGCTGGTGATCCAACACGTCTCGTAATGACCGCGTGTGCGGCAGCCGAGGTGGTAGTTACGTGATCTGCTACGCGCGAGGACTCTGCAGCATTTACACTCGTCCCCAGGGCCACTCGTTGCACCTTCTCCGAAGAGGAAGCTCTGGAAGGACACGCGCCATAAGCATTCGGCACTCGCAGCAGGTTTTCCCTCGCTGAGAAAACGGCTGTTGAGGATGGCATCTTTTTTCAGGTCAGCTAGTTGGCTTCTCACTTGGCTCTTTCTCGACTGACGAGGAGCAGGAAATCACTCAAGTACTCGAGGATTAGGATTAACTCAGACACCCGTTTCTTGTCACTCTCTACTCTTCATCTCTCGCACTCGAAACTACTTCTACTAGGGTCCTCCGAAATTTTCCATCCTGAACGCAGATTCAAAGTGATGAAAACGTCTGCCTGTTGAGCGAGAGGCACCAGCGACCATATTATGCATATTGAAGATTCACAACTTTACAAGCGGCTCATCATCTTGGATATTACTCCGATGGTGATGTATGCTCCAAGTGCAGCAAGTTTACCAATTCATCCTGTGCAGTGAGTTGGTTGGGGAAGATGAATACAACTGTGTGTTCGTCGAAGGATATGGCAGAGTCAAAGAAATCAAGCCCCCTCCGCAATCCCTCCATTCCGTTTTGTCATTTTTCTTCTTCTCCCCCAGCCAATGATCGATATCCTCGCACCCCGCTTCTCCCCACTCGTCATTTTCGGCACTCCATGCTTGAATTTTTTGTTCACAACGTCACTAAACGCAAAAACGTCACCATTCCTTTGCGGAAACGCGAATCGAAAGGCAGTGCAATCGTCATGCTGGAACTCTAGTGCTCGTTCTGCGCCAAAACTGACGCCTACCGTGAAATCCTCCTTCATACCATTTGCGCCATAAGCGTGCGAGTCCTTGTGAAAGGGCTTCCAGTGCTCCTGGTTTTCGTAGTAGTTCAAGCGGGTAGCGAAGATGTCCACGTCGAAATACTCCTCTAGAACAGCGATGATCCTGGCAAAAGTGACACTCTTCTCACTGCAATTTTCGATCACCTGATGCTTCGACCAAGCTTTCGTCTTAGGAGCGCCTCCTCCTGCGGGTCCTCCTGCTGCGCTGGTGGTGGTCGTATTGCTATTGGCAGCTGCTGCAGGAGCCCTGAATTCTGGTGCATCCGTGATGTGTGCAGATAAACCATTTTTTCCATCACTACTGTCTTCGCCCATCGTCCCTTCGTCCTGCTGATTGTCGCTCGCCACTACCTCTGCCAGGATCGTATCCATCACCAATCCCTTCGGATCCCGAAAGAATTGCTCGATGTAGATCCCACCACCAATCAAGCAAGCCCTCAAATCGGCACTGTAGTCATCGCTCTTGAGCATGTCTGCTAAAGGAAGTTTGACATAGCTTTTCAGCGCCAATTCACCGCAGTCGTTCCTGTAAGGTAATTGCTGTTGCTGCTGTGAGCTCATGGAGTGGCGCTTGAGCCGCTTCCTAGGATACTCCACTACATCGTCGACGGTTGTGACGAAGTTGTCGTCTGCTTCGGCTAAAGCATGGTCGTCGTTCTCTTGTGCTCCACCGTCGTGATTCCCAGCACTCGCAGCAGTAGGCTGCGCGGCCTTAATATCCTTGTTCTTGCCCCAACGATTGCGCTTCATCTTGTGTCTACTAGTCTTGTTTCTTCACAAATCGACATGATGGATCATTATACTTCTTACTAGGGCCTACGTTTACTTACTATCATCATAAAGAAATCAATCTATGCAACTAGAAAGAAAGGATAACAAGACGGAGGATTCTTGATGCCTCACGCATGTTCAGACTGACTAGTAGTAGCAGAAACTGAAATACAAAAGGGAAGATGTGGTTTCAGACGATAAAAGCTGAAGGAATCAACGAGTCGGGTAGAGCTACTTAGAGGGAAATATGGGAGTTTGAATTGCTCCGGTCCTGTTGAAATGGATGTGTAACTACGTGATCCATCTTGATCTTCCTTGTTCACCTTCAGTATAACAGGTCGACCGAATTTGCATAGCACGGAAACGATGACACGATCTTCATTGTCCTCCTTTTGTCTCAACGAACACACGAATTCCTCTCGACTGCGAACCATAGACATAGTACAGAAACACAAAGTTCAACACGGCACTTTTTAGATACCTTCCTCTAATTTTTTCACGACTGTTCTGCCTAGACTATCTTCGGTTATAGTGCGATGGCGATCGTTACCATCATCTACATCGAATTCCGAATATTGAAATCCTGTCAACACCACTATTCCCTGCAGAAAAAATTCGAGTATCGCAAAGGGAAAGATCTTCATGTATGTTATGGAGGTTTGCGTCCATTCATGCTCGGAAGCTAGCTCTACAACCAACCATAAGATCAAGATAAGAGGAATACAGAAGACTGGAATGAGAAAACCAAACACCTTTAAAGCGGAGATGAGTTGTTGCTGGATTCTTTCTCTTATGGGTAAGGAGTAAACAGCTTCGAAATATTGTTTTCTTTGCTCGTCCGATCCTGCAGCGGTTAATTGCTCTATATTTGCTTCACCTGCTTGTTGCAGCGCTACTTTGCTTTTTACAGTGCTCTCCTCTCCACCCGCACCTTCTGCTGGTCGACAGCACGGGCAGTCGAACTCACTCGTTGCTCCAGTCGCGATCTCTTCAAATGGTCCTAAAACTGCGTACAATCGCGGTCCATAGTTCCGAACAAAGGACTCTGACTCCGGAAAGAACCGCTTCAGCCATCTTCGGTAAGCACATGTCCTGTCGACGATCCTAATCGGTCCTTTCCCTGTCATATTGTTCCGTCTGTCCGCCATCACTATTCCTCCACTCAGACACAACGTTACGACACACATGACCAATACTGTCACTAGCACGTCTCCAGCCAATGCATTTTGAACCCCTAGTGACCACACACTGGTTTCGTGAGTGAATTTTTCTTGCGCTTCCGGTGAGTACATGACCCAAGCGAGAAGACCATTGATAGTTGCGCAAACACTGGTCGCGATGAAGAGATTGAGAAAGAAGTAGGTCGTGAAGGCAACTGTTAGGCATGGAGGTTTTGAGGATGAAGACTTCTCGAAGGGTCTGTCCTCATGTTGTAGTTCTAGTGCTTGAGAACCGTCCTCACCACCACCAGGCACAACTGAATCCAGCTGTGGCGGAGGAGACGTCGAAGGTTCGCCGATTTCTTGATCCATATTCTTCTTCTTTTCTTCTTGGATAAAGTTGCTGAAGTAAGTAACTCTTTTGGCAATCGTGTTCAGAACTATGCTTAGCACCGTTCTCTATTCATTGGTTCTTGAGAGTGATTTTGCTTTTTCACTCTCTGTCGTTTTTGAAACTTTCGAGCAGATACGTTTTTGACCAATCCGATTTTTTGACCTGTTTTTCTTCCAATCCGAATGGTGAAGTTGTGTCATCGTATCTCGCGCCAGGTAGCGCAGCGTGGTCGACGCATACAGGATTAGGATTAGGATTCGATCCGCCATCCACAGTTTTCCCTGCATAAGCAAGCGGATATGCGCAGCCTCAGAAGGACTACCAACACTTAATCATCATCAGATCATCTTTAATTACATATCTTCTTTGACATGTCACGCCCTCTACTATCCCCTTCGTACTCCTAGGTGGAAGGAATAGCTGCTTCTTTCCAAACAAGAAAGACGTGCTCAGAATTCAAAGTGAAAGTCAGAGTTATAATTTTTCATATTTTTCTACGCAAACTTTACATTTCACAGACAAGGACTCTATCTCTATTTCTTGTTCTCATTCGGCATTCTCGAATTCGACTTCTGAATAACAACTGGTGGAGGTCAAACAACAATCAGGGTCACTTTCTCTATCATATCACTTTTCATGTAACTACTTTTACATAACAGGAATCAATCATGCTAAAACGAAGTTCGAATTCTTAAAACAAGGAGGTCGAATGTCACGTGTACGTTCCTGATAGTGCTGGCCTTAGCACCCGTAGAGTTTTTTTTTTTTTGCGTTAGGACTATATGCTGCCACCCTTTCAACCAATTATTTACCTCCTTATTTATAAGATCATCCAAGTTACATACTGGGTGCGCATAAGACCGTACAATCGGCCACAAGTCTACATCTATCGGAGAAGCCGTACATTCGACTCCTGTAGAAAACCTAAGGCGCAACCCGACGCAGCGGGGCCCCGTGAGCAAGTCAGAGACTAGTTCTGATACATCATACGTTTTCAACAAATTCAATAGGATAGGAGGACCCACTAGTAGAACAAAGTTCAACATATTGTATATGAAGAAGATGAAGATGAGCCGCCCTCCATTACAGTTATAATAACGTGAAGATATCGTACACTTGAATGAAAATGACTAAACTAGCAGCATCAACGACAACAAGCACGTTCATGAAAGGTAGTATCTATTTGATTTGTCGTCTACCCACATTTCCCTCGAAGAAAGGACGGTCAGACAGTAGCAGGTACAAAAGCCTGGCGGTGGTACCAAAATCAGCAACGCACGCGGACGCGCCACCGCATCGCTATTAATCGCTTATCTTTAAGAAAGAATTCAGGATACAACACATTAATTTCATCTCGACAAGCAGATTAAATCAAGCTCTCGTGGTTCTACCTCAACTTACAACAATGCATGGAACGATAACGGTTACAACTGAAACTATCTCAATTTCCTATATTAACAATCTTTATCATTATCTTAGATAGCTATCCACTTCCAAACCGACAAATTTACAAGTCATTTCAATAAATGAAAATGAATCCTACTTCTAGGTCTTCAAGCACAACATCTACATGATGATCAACATGATAAACTTCTGCCATCTAACTTTGAAGTAGCTCATAACGATGATGAAATCTACTTACAGCTAGCTACATCATCAAAAACAAAAAGAACTACTTACAACGACAGCAAGATGAAGGTCGATGAATAATTACTCTCTAAGGTGGTGCGGTACGTAGAAGTTTTAGAGATGCAGTATTTTTTCACCGACCTTAACGCTGTAGGATGAAGTAGAGGAATATGCTGCTCTCTTCAAGCATATTCCTCAGCTTCATCCTACAGCGAACATCTTCTTCAGCGCCACCACTTCAGGACAGGGTTCAAAGCGTGGCGAGGTGGGGCCGAGATCGTACAGCAAGATGGATCTCAGATTCTGGCCTCCTGGAGGAGCCTTCTGGAGCAGCAGGACCGGAAAGGATCTCCATTAATAGCTAGTAAACTAGCCTAATTTACTAGCTAATTAACCTAGCAGAAAAAAACGATTTTTGAGAGTGAAAGCAGTTTTACTTGTGATAACCTGTAGGATGAAGTAGAAGAATATGCTGCTCTCTTCAACCACTTGGTACAGAAGCTCCTGCCGTCGCCCATCAAACTCTCATCTTCAGTAAACTCCGGTATGCAGCAGCACGCATTGTCCGCAGTCTTAGAGCTGTCTTGTAGTGGTCATTGTAGTTCGACATCAGCCTTTCAGCTTCTCCTAGTACTGGTACTTTTTTCTATGTCTATCGAACAACGGAGAGGGACGGCAGAAATAATAATGAACCGTTAGCAGTTGCAAAGACTGCGAACTAGAGAAATCAATATCGACAGCATTCATCTCGTAATTCTTTTTCTTCGGTACGTGTACACCTCTGTCGATGTTTGCCTCGCTTTCCATCCGCCGATAGAGGTCGTCTGGTATAGCGGTTACGCTATCGATCATAGTCGTCTGCACAAATCGTGACCCGCTTGAGGCGTGCATGTCCTGAGGTGGAGGCAGACGAAGATGACGTGAGAGTACTGTATAAGAGAAAACACCTCAGCGGTTGAACTTGAAACACTATTTCTCGATTTCCATATCAATTCAGAGCTACTCGACATACTTTCTCGTCGACAAGGACAATCTAGAAGCTGGTTCTATAACGCCTATGGCCATGTACGAAGAAAAATTGGAAAACTACAATCATGATGAGAAAATTATAGTGGTAGTGGTACATAGGTATCGCTGTCGCGGCTAAGAGAGTTCCTCCTTGACGGCACCTTCTTTGTTTGCGAAGCGAGATAGTCGAGTTTCCTGGTACAGAGTAATTCAAAAAAAAATTAGGGTAAAAAAATTAGGGTCACCCAAATTACATCAACAAGAACAAGAAAAGACCAGGCACATTATTTTCAGCAGATAATGAGAAACCCTTCAACAACTCGATGTGGGAGTAGCACGTTACGCAGTGGTTTATTGAAAAATTCTAAATAACCTTCACCTTGAAGATGTAGGTACCTTTCCAGCTGTCTCGGCTGCTCAGTCGACTGAGAACCGTAGCTGGAAGACTGGTGTCCGTAGCCCCCTGATGAAGGCTGCTGGGTTTGAGGCAGGCTGCTCCCTGAATGCGAATGAGCATATCCAGGCCTCGACTTATTCCCGTAATAGCCGCAGTTGTTGTTCATCATCTTGTCTGTTGAACAGTTGTAAGTGCAATACTTCTAGGTGAAAGTTGTAAGGGTCGTGGTTGGTTCTTGTATTAGCTAATTGGCTTGAAGATGTTGAGTACTAGTTTTGACTATCTTGATATATTTTGGACGATGGTATGGATGTCTTCAGTATGTAGAGGTGGAGGTCACGACTGATCTTCACCCATGAGGAACGGGTACAACTATGAGTAGTTTATTTGCTCTTAGACTCTAAGAGAATCCAAGGTTACCGCACACCAGGAAGGGGATGACTACTAGTAGTCGTAGTGGCAACAATCAAAGAAAACGCCAGTTAGGGACGCTGATCAGGACAATGGCAGTCGCGCAGCACAACAGGTGGCCAGTCGGAAGGCAAGCAAAAACATCAGATGTGGTTAGGTCATCATGGTTTTTCTCTTATTCTGATTCAACAGATAGAATTGCTCTACATTTTTGTAAACAAGTGTTAAAAATGTGAAGAAAATCTAAGTACAAATGATGGTGAAACGAATTTTGGAGAACGACAGCAGGAAATATGAAAATGACCAAAGGACAGTTCGTCGTAAAGGATTTTATGGGCGCAAAGTGGTTTGTACTTGTTGTACTCAACAACTACCGAGTAGTCGTGCTACTCTCCGCCGAAAGATCGTGATACCATGAAGTTGAAGGAGCAAAAAAAAAGTATACTTACTCGGACTACTCTCATGATCTCCCATCTGCTCCTCTCTCCGGTCCTCTCATCAACTACAACATGATCCATGTCGGTCCTAGTAGTAGTAGCTGTGTGTACTAGCTTAACTGACGATACGTGGCATTGTGAAAACTACCCCTCGTCTACTTGCTCTCGAAAAAGCTCCAACTTCAGAAGCACGCAGTTGCCCTCATGCAGCTATCCCATTACAACAAGCGTTGATTGAGTAGTCCCTCACGGCTGCGTAGGAATTTTCATGATCCTGTCAGCATAAACCAGCGTCAAGAATGAAAAGGACTTAATACCTCAAAAAAGACCTCCTGAAAAGTATGTAGGCTGTGTGTAGTTTTTGCTTGTAGAAGAACTTCTTCTGTCGACCACGAGGACAAAGCAGTTTTTGTATTTGTCGGTACATCTTCAAAAAAACAGGTAGTCTTCAAAAATGGTGAGAAATTTCGAAATCTTGATGTTCTTCTAGTACTTCGCAATCTAACATTTGTTGTTTTCATTATCGTCACTATATCACACAACGTGGAAAAAGAAGTTGAAAAACGCTGGTAGTTGGTATCTGTCCAGCAATCGAAGTTTTATTGGTGCCAATTCTTCAATGTCCTGCCAAAAGGAGCAGTCACGTCGATGTAAGTTGGTCAAAAAATACAAGGGTCGACTTTGAATGAGTTGTCGTTCGAAAACTATTTAATCTTTGTGTGCGTAGTGGTATCCTATTGTACGATTGCCATCTTTCTTGTTCTATTTAAAAAGGAGAATCTAGTTTACTTACATCGTCTTATATTGAGAAGTTGTTGCGGTTTTTTCCTGGCAGTGCGAATGGTAAGAAGATTCCAAGCTTCATCTGCGCGCACAAGTAGCATGATATGCGCAACCTGTCAGAAGCTCCTTTACAAGGAGTTCTTTTTTCCTGCCATTTTCATCTTCATCGCGCCTCCTCCTATAGCTGTGGCTGCGCCGGCGATCACACCACTCTCATCTTCATCTTGTCCGCTCGTCTTGCTGTTTGCTTTACTGGAAGATGCAGTAGCTGTAGCCGCTTTCACCTTGCCCATCGCCGGCTTCTTTGCAGCAGCTGTACTGGAACTGGAAGAAGAGCTAGAAGAGCTACAACCACCTTTCTTACTTGGAGCTTCATCATCTGCCTCATCCTCTACTTCACTCTTGACTCTCTTTGATGCAGCAGGTGTTGAGGATTTCTTAGAAGTGGGAGCTTTCCCCATCTTCTTGGATGATTCTTGTTTTACTGGTGTCGGCTCTACCTCGTCGTCCTCTTTTGTTTTGATGGGTGTCTTCATCTTTTTAGGTCCAGCCTTGGACTTCGAGGCTTTTCCTACTGGTGGGGGAGTCTTCGGGGCTGCAGAAGATGCTTTGCCCATCTTAGTGCTCATCTTCTTTGAAGATTCTTTTGCCTGCTCAACGACTGGCGGAGGTGTAGGAGGGGCCTCAACCTCTGCTTTTGCAGCTGTCTTCATCTTGTTCATCTTACTTGCAGATGCTGGTGGTGCTGGGCTAGCCACATCTTCGGCTGCAGCAGAGAACGTACTGCTGCGTTTGTTCATCTTTGTAGCCATTTTTGACGATGTAGCGCTGGAGGCTGTAGAATCTTGTGCCGTAGTGCTCTTCATCTTCATCTTTTGGCCGGCTGGTGCAGCAACTTCATCTAGCTTGTCCTCCTTGACCTTGGCATCATCAGCTGCCGTGGTCTTCTTCGCCATCATTTTCTTTCCACCAGTTGAAGTTGAGCTCTGTAGTTCTTGTTCAACAGGAGCTGCAGGCTTTTTAGTACTTGCCGCAGCAGAAGACGATGATGAACTACTACTTGTTTCCTTAGAAGTTGTCGTCTTACTTTTAGTCAGAACAGGCTTTTCCTCCTCTTCTTCCTCTGTTTCTTTTGAAGAAGCTGCTTTTTTCTGATTCATCATTTTCATCTTCTTGGTACTGGGTGCACTAGAAGATTTACTTCCTATCTTCTTAGGTTCTTCTTCGTCATCTGCTTGCTCTGCAGCTGAGCTATCAATGCTCTTTCGCGTGCGTTTCATGTTCATGCCTTTTTTCTTCGTCGCAGGTTCTTTGATGGGACTTAAAGACGATCGCGCAGCTGGTGCGGCTGGAAGGTCCATCATGTCGTCTTTAGCAGGCTGATCATGTAGGAGTAAATAGTAAAAGTTAAAGATGCGTGCGCTGCGCAGTTGGTTTTGGTTAAATAGTATAATACTTGTGACTATCGTGGGCTACTAGAAGTAAACGTAAGGGGTCAGCACCTCAAGGATTCAACTAGCGAGCAGGATCCTTGAGGTGATTCATCATGTTGATGATCTCGGATGATCTTCTTGTTCCTACGTCTTCCTTGTCAAGGATGAAATTGAAAACGATTTTATATTACGACATTCATTAGACAGCTAGTAGCATTTTTAGTGCTAGAAGCAAGATCATGGAAAAAATCCAAATTATAGAACTACCTCTACAGCAGGTGCGCCGCGCCTCTTTCGTTTCAAGAGAGACCCTGACTCTGCTTTTTCCGTTTTTGCTAGTACTGCAGCAGCTCCGAGAGTGATGTTTTCATCCTGTAGAGTTTTTGGATTGGCATTTTTTGGGACAATTGAAAATGGGAAACTCTTGGATGAACTACCAGAGCCAGTCTGTCTGAAACGTGTTCGTGTAAGGGGTAGTTCATAATTAAGCTTAAAAGCTCTCCTCGTCCACTTTTTTTTTCAATATCCGCCTTGGTAGGTTGTTGCACTAAAAAACAAAAAAAAATAAGGACTTCGTCAGCATCTTCTTTCTCCTTCGCGCCTTGTTTCTTCCTCTTTTTCAACAATTCTGCCTCATCTTCGCTCTCTGTTTTTTTGCCCAAGTCTGCATTTAGTTGGTCCTCATCTATATCGCTACTCTCGTCTCCATCTGCGCCAGTATCTTGCCCATCGAATAAGCTTCCCTTCTCATTAAGCTGCAACTTTTCCTTTTTCTTCATCTTCGTCGTAGCTGCCTTAAGGTTAGAGAAGCGCAATAGGGAAAAAAGGTCCATCTTCTTCAAGCTGGAAAAAGTAGATCTTTGTCATTCCAGTTTCAACGAATTGGAGGACTGCTGAAAAAAGAAGAGTCGATAACTCAAATATACTTAGAGACACTCGCATACGCATACTCATTCCCTCATTCACCCCTACTAGCACTAAAAATGCTCATCAATCAATGTCAGCCACGCAGTCAACTAGTCCTGTCATAATCATCTTCATCGGTCTCGGGTCCGGTTTCGATTCCATGGTGATTTGTATTCCCTCCGTTCCATCTTCATTTTCTCCTTGAAAGTAGGCAATCTCGATTTTTCCATTAGCCGGAACGTCGGTGTATTTTGAAGCTGTTTGTTGAGGCGTAGTTTTCTTTTGGATAGAAGATGAAGTTTTTGCTGTCCAAGATCCACAAGATGCACTTATGCCAAGCACTGAATAGACAGAATCTTCAGACTTACTCTTACTATGACTAAAAAGAGAAAACACCTATCCAACTCTGGATGAGACTCTTTCCCAGCTTGTGAGCCTCTGACGTATGAGGAAATTTGTCTACCACCTCCTGCACTCGTGCGCCAATTCTAGACTTTTCCACCACAACTTTAGGCACGAAGGACGCTCGCAACTTTTTGAGAATCTGGGGATGATGATTCTTTGTTGTTCTTGTTGGAGGAGATGGCAGTGAGTATCTAATTAAACATGATAAGAAAGTGTGTGTGGTCTGATAGAGTAGCACTTAAACTTACCACAAGACAACTGACTCATGGCCACTGATGATGCTAAGAAGAGATGCTTCGATATCGAAAATGAAGAAATGCGAAAGCATTCGAAACCAAGAAAACGAGTTAAGTGCCTTAGTTGCTTCTTCTTCCTCTGTCTTAAAGCATTCGAAATGAACAAAGCGAGTTACCTTAAGTGTTTCTTCTTCCTCTGTTTCTTCGATGATACTGCAATAATCGAGCTCATCGATTGTATCATAGAGGTTAAATTGGGGTGCTGGTGGTAGTGGTTCGAGTTCTTCTTGTTCTTTCTCTACTAGTAGTTTTTGCTGCTCTCCATCACTACCACGACCCAATAGAAGACCCTCACCACTATGCGGCTGGACATCCTCCGAGTCGCCCATGAAAGCATCGAGCATGTCGTGGTCTTCTCCTGTCTTTTGATGCTCCTCAGCGGACGCTTGTGGCTGATCGGATTCAAGAGGAGTTTGATCATCTTGCTGCATTTCCTGATCTTCTTGCTCCAAGGTCTCGTATTCGTCATCGCCTGGCATTATCAGTTTCTTCTCCTGCGCAGCTTGTCGAGGATTGGCCCTCTCCGGGGCACTAGTGTCGGTAATCGACGGCATGTCTTATTTTGCTTCTAATTCTATGCGGTTCGATTATAATAGCTTAGTAACCGTAGGTATGTGGATGTTCTTCAGAAACAAAGTTGAAGTTGAAAACTGCAGTTAATATCCTTGTAATCACCGTTGCTTAATAGCAAGAGAAGTCTACTTGGTCTTCAGTAATAAAAAACAAGATGAAAACAAAAGAAGTGTAGCCCGATTTTTGATGGAAGTGCCAGTGTGCAACTTTGCTTCATCTCGATCATGAGGCGAAAGCTCTATTTGCTTCTTTCGAGGACGAGAAAAGCGCTCAGAGTGTCATCAATCATCTCTGAAAAGCAGACTGCAATCATACTCATCTACTTCCCACATCAACGCCTTTGACGATCATCAGGGGGGAGAAAAATCATTTCCAATTCCACTTTTCTTTCATCCTAAAAAATCTTTGACTTCTGTCCTCTCCATATCGTCCTGTTTGCATACAGTTTGTTCCCTAGAAAAGGGATCGTCCACATTCATTATTGTGAATACCGAATCATCGTCAAAAACCAGGCATACGTTTTCTTTCCTCTTCTACCTCCAGAAGAAACCTTCAACATCGTTCTTCTCTTTCATTAAATAGCCAAAATGATACTTCTACGGTCAAGCACATGAAACACCCAGAAACTTATACCCTCAATCTATCCATTGCCCCCCGCAGCTCTTCCATCAATATCCCCCCAGCGACGTACACATTCAGAGACTTTATCAAAGTCGACGCCATATCGACTTTCACAGGCACAGCGTTAGCACGGACATCAGCACTGGGACCAAAGGACTCAGACCCGAGGATGAGGCAGACGCCAGGCGTAGTTTCTGGTTGTGCAAGTGCATCTCCTTCTCCTCCTGCACCTTCATCAGACCCCTTCAATAATTCCAGACATTGCCGATTTCCCAACACGTCCCTCAAGGTGTGTGGTGCTTCTGCACTAGCCAGCAGTGGTAACAGATTCAGTTCTCGCATGCGTTCTGCCATAGCCATAGATGAGGGACACAACTCAACAGGCAAGCACCAACCTGGAGATAGACCAGAATGACAGAGAGTGCGCCAATTCCAAGGTGACACTGCGCTCCGGCCTAAGGTCAGTACACCGTCAAAGGAGAGAGCTTCCGCGACACGAAGCAGGCGACCCATATTGTCTGGATACTGGATACCATCCAGAGCGAGGTACAGGGGCCTGGTATTTTTACCTTTTCTCAAGCGATGAGTGCCGGAATTTATCGTGACTTGATGTTCAGAACCTCCTTCTAGTAAAGTTTTTGGTTTAAAAACCTCTCCGACCAAAAATGAGCCTTCTCGCATCAGCAAAGCATAGAGAAAAGCCCGAGCTTCAGAAGGAGATCGAAGTAAAGCTTCATCCTGATCGTCCTGTTCCACCTCTACTTTTGTCTCAGCTGCCTTATCAGCTTCTTCAGGATTCCTTTCATCATCACCATCAGCGTATTCTGAATATAACTCATCGATACTCCTCTTGCTTTCAGTAGACGTCGCTTCTTCTTTCAAGGCTTGCCATCTTGCTTCCAGGCTCTCCACAGACGGAAGTCTACAACCAGCAATCTTTTTTGTTGAGCTTGTTGAACTAGAAGCTGAAGGAGTTGAACCTGAAGCAGTATTTCTAGTTCTCGTTGTGGCCGCACTACCGTTCTTCCCACTCCCGAACTCTGTGACGACAGGGAGAAAACCGTCGTCATCAGGCAGTGCAGGATCCCCTAGATCCGGCAGATTGTCAGACATCACGTACTCCAAAAGCTCCAGCGGCAAACGATAGACGCGGCAATATGGCCATACATCAGCCACAGCGCCTTCGATCCGTCCGTCGGCTTCAAAGCGGATGACGAGGGATTTTACATGGAGGACATTTCTTGGGCGGTGGCCGCTTGCTCCATGACCACGACGTCCACCGGGATGGGTCCTCGAGGAACAGGAAGACTCGAATTCATCGTCGGGACCATCATCTCCACCATCATCGTCGTCATTACTTTGTTCATGTTCATCTCGTCTCCCACGATTCACTTGCACTGCTTCTCGTTGAAGCAACGGCTCTCTCCTCAGAGCCTCGGCAAACAAATTCCCACCTTTCACAAACAGCGTATCGCTTGTCCTCAGTCCTTTGTTTCTCCGTAGTTCTCGCAGATGCCTTACCAAAGCGTGCTGTCGAGAGATTATGCGCGCTTGTGGGATTGTGCAGGAAGTAGGAGTGTGTGGTTCTTGCGGATAAGTCCTCGTCGGCGCCGTCGGGTTTTTGTGAAGATGGTAATTGCTGGAAGGAGCACGAGCAGTACTAGAAGAACTGCCTCCTGAACTGAAAGATGAAGAAGTTGGGAGGTTGTTCTTCAGAAATGACGAAGGTCCTCCAGGTGAAGAAGCGTTCTTTGAAGAGTTGTCGTTGTGGTCTTCTGGACATAGAGACGCTTCGTGGAGGTCCATCATCTGCGCTAGAGAAGATAATGGTAGACAACTGCGGATCTTTCTACTACTAGGTGCTCGCACTGCGGACGAGCACGACGAGCCGCCCCATGCCATCCGGAGAAAGTACGAAGTCCTTTGCGACATGATCTCTTTTTTAGCTCTAGTTGTAACCTATACATAGAATTAGAAGAGAGACCTAGAAGACTGATAGAAGACGAGCCAGCTGCTAAAATTGATCAACATGCTTTCTTTCTTTTGCGAAATTATGTATCATACCAGCATATCAAAACCAAGTTGTACTTGTAGACAACCTTAAAAGGTTGTATCAATTCAATCGGCACCAGATTACTTAATCACTTTTGGAGGATCAAATCATGTGGGCACGACCTGACACTTTTCATGCTAGGCAGACACTGGTGGAGTAAGCAAATTTCAACCCGAAGTTCCTTACAGAACACTTTCGACAAGAGAATGCAACACAGAAGCAATAGCTGCACCAAGGTCTAAAGCATGTGCTTCTTACTGGCGCCTTCTCAGTCAATCTCACATTGTCCTACTCTGTTTTTGATAGGACAAAACATTCATCTTCTTATCCTCTCCTTGCGGTGTCTTATCATCTTGTTTTACTTCAAGAACTTGATGTTTCGTGCACTGCCCTGAAGCGAGTACTTTTTTTGAATTTCAGCCCTTCCACCATATGTGCGAAAGGTAGGGTCCAAAAAGCGTCCTCTTAATCTTTGTTTTCTGCAGTTTTGTTCTTCCGTTGCTCTTCCCACATGACCCCTACGAAAGCCATCAACATGCGATTTGTAGCCATAACTTTTCGATCAATCCCGTCTTCGCATTCCACAAAACACCAAGCTCGTCCGACTGTTCCAAAGAGACTGCCCTGTTGATTTCGAAATCAGGAATCCAAAAGTCATAGCCCTTACCCTCTTCTATGGGTTCACCCTCGTGGATGTCTTTCTAACATTTTATTTTTTTTGATCCTCAAAAACATAATCAGCCACCACGGAACTGGCTGACTTTCCGATTCCGAATTATAGAGGGGTAGCCTGGGGCAACTTTCCTCTATCTTGATAGCATTGGCGTCTTGGGAGTCTTGAGGCTCGTCCTTACCCTAATAGATCTTACAACCAATCAAGCTCTTCAGTCGCTCTTCCGCCGCCGTCCAGTACAAGCTGACTTTGAAAATAACGATCTCCACTAGCGATTCTCGTGGTATCATTTTCGACTCTGTGCGGACAGTGAAGACAACGCCCACTCGATGTTGCGAGGGTGGAGGCGCCGATGGCGTCGCATCGGAAGGGCGTGAAATGATTGTTTGTTTTCAAGATCTGTCCATCTCAAGAATCAGATTTGGCAGAAGAGTCCGAAGCTGAAGCTCCAACTTTTTCTACCTTTGCTTTCCAGTCATCTCTCGGTCGTTTCTGTTTCATGTTTTCGGAAGGTAGAGTGGTCTCTCCTTTTTCTCAGGCACGGTGTCTGTCGTGACGATGAACAGGAATCGACTAACCCCTGAATTTCGAAAAGCTGCGAAAACAAGAATGTCCGTGTGCGTTTTTTGCAATATGGAATCACAAACACGACTTCTGTAGTCCATCAGCGTTCAATTTTTCATTTTCATTCGGAATCGTCTAAGGATTTTTCTAAACTATTCAATGAATCATTTCTTTCGCCGCGGCCTCTGTACAGCGAGCTGCTTTCAGTATGTTTAAGTAGATGAAAGGGAATTAGTAGTCCGTCGTGGTCCCTGATTGTCAGCAAGTAGTAAAAAAAACTACTACTACATAATCATCCTGACACGCCATAAGAGGTTCTAGATCTACTGATTTCATCTATTCGAGAACTTCCAACAAGAATCAATCTAAGTCTATTCAAGATCAACAACATTGATGTCATCGACAAAGGAGTCATTTCTTATCCGACCATGAAAAACATGCTAGTACTCTGTAGTACGGCAATCCATGATAACCTCGCCCTTTCGTGACGTATCCCTCTAGCTTCTCCCTTGATGAACATGCTAAAGGGATCCCTTCATCTGACGTCATGGATATTCAACTCTTCTCAGAACGAAAACTATCATCTTCAATTGCATGAAGGGAGAAAACCTACGATTCAGAGGGAAAACCCTGGAACTATTTTTATATTCTCAAAAAATCATCGACAAGGTGTCACACTCTCACTCATTCTCTTCACATTAAATGTTTTCAACTTCTACTACAGTCACTGAAGCACGTCCTGCCCGTGCTCGTCGTGTAACCGCGAGAGCGATTTCGATTTCCTGATTATTCATAGTAATACTTTTACTTACAACCGCCATAAGAAGAAAGAACTCACTACAACTTAGTGACATTAAGAGGAGTTTCGAACTGGGGTAGAAGTTCTTGTGCGCAGACGTTTTTGTTTCTAGGTCTAGGATAACTACCGCTCACCGTCGTAGTTCTTAGGATAGCTCAACGAAGTCTTCTTGGGTAAATTTTCGGCAGTACTGCAGGCAGCTCTTGTTTTTCCTGGAGAGTGCCTTCACCAACGTCGCGAATTCAGAGCAATCGATGTCCCCACTGCCATTCCTGTCCAATCGCTTCAACGCCCGTCCTGCCTCATCTTCGCCTACGACCAATTCCAGCTCGTGCCTATCGATGTACCCATTGTTATCCAAATCGAAATATTGAAAAGCTCCCCTAATCGTCTCTTCATTGGCGAAACGGCTTCGATCGATCACTGCCGCAAGGAATTCGGTATAGCCGATTTCGCCACTGCCATCTGTGTCCACAGCTGCCCATAGTTCGTCAGACAGAATAGGCGCGCTAGAGCCGCCGCCGTCTTGGCCCCCGATCTTTTCTTCGAAGAGTTGGGCGATTTCCTCCCTTGACAATTTGCCATTGCCATCCTTATCTAACTCGAAAAACGCCTTTCTCAGGTCTTCCATGTCGTGAGTAGCGGCTTCGCGGGCAGCAACAGTCCGCAACACACGTTCTAGGCGGGTCATGCGGCAGTAGGTTTGCATATTCTCAGACGCGGATTTCAGAACTGTGCGGTTGACTTGAGTTTCGCCGATTACCTGTATGGAGGAAAGGCGGATGTGTGCTTTGATGCTTTTGCGAAGATGCTTCTAAAAGATTAAAAACGCAGACGTTGGTCTCAATGACAATCTTTTGAAGTGAAAGAGGAAGTGGTCGTCGTAACTAAGTTCATAGAAAAAATAAGGTTTTTAACAATCAGTACCTGACTCCGCACCCTCTCACACCATGGATGCGCTAAAGCTTGTGCCGCTGATATTCTCTTCGTATGGTCTTTTTCCAACAATTTCAGAACCAAATCTCTAGCATCAGGCGTCATCATTGCAATGGGTTCTTCATGTGGTGGGTTGGTCTTTATTAGAGCTCCCCGTACTTCATCTTTCTACGACTGGTGCACCATCTTCCTTGAAGAGTATACTTAGCTATAGCACGAGAATTAATACTCGCGCATCTATCATACTTTTCAATCAAGGTAAGTAGGATGCATCAAAAGTAAGATGAATTTGAATTCTTTTTATCTATGTATATTACTAGCCTTAACTTTATGCGATGAAACAGTTTCTTTGGTGATTTTCTCCTCACATCACTGGGCACGACGAAGGGGTGTTCGCCGGTTAAGAGCATATACATCATCACACCCAAAGCCCACACGTCACACTTCTCATCATAGACAGATTGGAGGACCTGGTGGATTGCACTTTGATTTCAATAGGGAGAAGCACAACCATGAATCAATGAGTTCGTTCTTCTTGTTGAAGTTGTTGATATTGTCGACGTATTGAAAAATGGTAGGAGTTGTACCTCCGGCGCAGTGCAGTATGGCGTTCCTAGAACTACTGTAAGCAATCAAGAACGTCAGTCTCAGTACCTCCGGCGCAATGTAGTATGGCGTCCCCAAGACTTCGCTCATGGCCTCGCCCTTTCCTCGCGTTGCTGCTAGACCAAAATCAATCACCTTAATGAGGGCGCGTCTGGCCTCAGCGCCCTGGTCCTTAGCGTCCGGGTTGAATTTCTCTTTGAGCAAGCAGTTCTCCAGTTTCATGTCTCGGTGAACAACACCCATTCCGTGACAAAACTGAACTGCGTGGAATACCTAACAAAAATAGAAATGGGAGGTGGGGTTGAGGATTTTCGCTTGGAAGTAATCTGAGATTGCTCCTGGTTCTATCAAGATCAGCTCAGAAAGTAAAACTAAAAGAATAAGAATGTTTTTGTTTTTCTATAATCAATGCCGATGATGATGATGTGAAGTTACTAGAAAGTATAGTACCTGTATCAACAACGCCGCCGAGTTCACTGTATGATGTTCCAATACTAAGTCTTGCAGTTCCCCACCCCTGCAGATTTCCGTTACGATATGCATCATGTCGTTCTCTGGGTCGTGGTACCACTCAAACACTTTCAACACGTTGGGGTGGTCCAAATTCAGCAGAATCGACAGTTCGTCACTGATCATTCCGACATTTTCGGACGTTACTTCGATGCTTTTCACCGCCCTTTGTTTGCCTGTCGCCATGTGGATCATCTTTTTGACAGACCCAAAGCCACCTTCGCCTAACAAAGCGTCTTCACTCCCAGGAGGCATCTTGTAATAGTTCTGCAAGCGGTGCTTTTCACCTTGAGACTCGGACTTGTGCAAAAGCAGACTTTGGAATCCGTGCGTGCCTTCCAAATCTTTCACTAGATTAGCAGAAAGAGAAACATGGGGCGTCAGACTCTGTTGGATAGCTGCTGCTGGATCACTGGTTTCTGGAATAATGAGGCCTGCTTGTTGTGGTTGTCCACGGGGAGACACTTGCGCAAACGCACGAGGAGAAAGTGGAGCAGGCTTTATTGGGGCAGGTGGCGCGGAGGACCCACCGCAAACAGAGCCGCAAATACCAGCAAAACAAGACATTTTGATTGACCAGAAAGAAGAAAAGCAAAAGGAAAATACGATAGCACTGCTACTACCACGCAACAGAACAATTATTCCGAGGTACTGTGACTACAATGAGTCGGAAAATGTGTTCGATCTTTGAAAAGTCAACAATGTCAATAAACAACTCAGAAAGATCGAGGTGTTGAATGAATAACTAGTATTGCTTCTTTTCTAGAAAAATGAATATGAATGTAGGTGTGGGGAACCTCATCAATAAAGTTCAGACCTTTCGATAAAGTGGCTTGGGAGTTCAAGTACAAGTAGATGGATGATGTGAATCTATTCATTGGGTATTCACGGGAGCAGAATACGGAATTCAAGATTCTCTCGTCAACAGACGCAGCTTTACAAAACAGAATTTAAGTTTTGCTTTTCTTGATATTCATATTTGATCATGCTCGTCTACAAGGCATCAGATTTTGAAAAAATCACTCGTTAACAGAAAACTCCTCATCATGAGATATACTCGTTTGATAGCAACAGAAAATGTTATCTCGTGTGACAGATGACGGGGAAGCGCGCTTGCTCCAAGCTGGCAAAGAACAAAGATTTCTTACTTCGCTTGTCGTTGTCCTTCAGTTATCCAGAGGAGCATGCACCTCGTGCGTGTGGATGAAAATTATGATGTTGATAAAAAATATAGTAATAGTATGACGATATTAATAAATATTATAGTAATATACATAGTGAGTTCATGCTCTTGTTGAATTCTCAAAAAGTGAAATGTTCTTGTAGAACATGTTCAGGTTGTAGTACATCGTTGTCATAGGTTAGGTCACTTCTTCTAACTATGGCATCTTCAGGGTTGACGGAGCTCACTCCATCCCAAACCCTTCTGCGTTCGCTATCGCGATGCGCAAAAGGTAGTCCAGCTTCGATCTACTCGAGTAATGCGGCAACAACAAAATGTTGTAGCAGGTGTGACTGGTTGGAAGCCTCGTAGTCGGTTCGTCCCCATTCTTGTGGATCTTCAACTTCAATTCCTTCAATCCTCCCATTGGAGGGATGTCAGACCCCGTGACAAAGTCCAAAAAATCACGTTTCAGTTCCAAGGGATAATTGCGCAAAACAGACCAAAATTAGAACTATAATGAAAAAAATCCGTCCTCAGCAGCAGCATCTTGGGCCTCGTTTTCGTCCCTTTAAAGAAAACGGGAGGACCAAGATGACTCTGAAATAAATGGGGGGTCTCATATTCCAGAGCAATTTATAAGGTCTCACAGCTCGCATGGCCTGGAGTGCATGGATCACATGGAGTAGCATGGAGCTAAAGGGGGAGCTTCCTGCGCCCCTTAAAGCTCTGCGCTCCATGCACCATGCGCGCTATAAACTACTCTGTAAAAATAATATTCTTGTACCCTTAACAAAATTGTCTGATGTACGGATCTTCTGGTGAGAATCCCACGTACGTGGTGCCAGCACGCAAGGCATCGAAGTCATAAACCCTCTCTCCACAGATCAACAGGGACAATTCGTCAGAAAACAGGGTGTTTGCGATAGCGGAATGAGCGTTGTTGCAAACCTGCCGAAAACCTTCCTTCAGTGGTTCAAACAACTTTGCAGCTTGCTTTTCCAGCAGATATTCGGTCAGCAGTTCTACGAATTGCTCTCGATTTTCGTAGTTTACGTTCTTCTGCAGGCCATGTTCGATCAGCTCCACCGTAATGTCTTGGTCAAACGCGTTTTTGTACGACACTGAGAAATCCAAACAAAAGATGTCCTCAAACTGCTCATTGGCTGTTTGAACATTCACGTCAGGTGGAGAAGGTCGCCAATGGAGGATCGCGTCTATGCTCGTGGCATACGATGGGTAGATCTGCTCCAAATCCGGTCTGGTCACAGGCTCCCCGACCAACTTCTTGAAAAAAACGCGTGGAAAGTTCATGTTAATGCCTTGGACATTGTTGTAGATGGATAAGCCAATGATCTTGCCGACCGAACGGAAATCGCCTTCAGTGAGGCCAACGTCAAACGCAGACAGGTTAAACCAAATGGCGCGAGTGCCTTCGACCTGAGGAGAAGGAGCTGTGTTTCTTTTGAGTATGAGTACTTAGACGAAGTGATCAACATGACGTAATCCTCCTAGGTGGATTATAAAAGCCTAATATGCGTAGCAGCACTAAAGCTGCATCAAGGACCTCCTTCTGCTGCATCAAGTCGTGGACGATGATCAAGTTCATCATCAAGCTGGAAATCAAATGATGATCAATGGTACTACCTCCTGAAACATCCCATACGCTGGCGAGAATATGTCACTAGACAACAGCCGAAAAAATTCCTTCGTGAGCCCGCCATCATCCAGACCCTCTTCACCGGTGAACTTGACCTTTAGGGGCCTTATAAGTAAGTCTTCTCCAGCGGACTCGAGGATACGGAAAGCGTCGTGGACAAGATGGTCGCGTCGCACTTCGAGTACGAAGTGGACCATTTGCATTATCTGTGGTGAAGATCATGTTCTTGCAATGTTTGTTCAATGTTGTAACAGGAACATTCAGACCCACGCAGATTTTTCGGATCTTTTCCTGGATCGGTCCCAAAGGGTAAATAATATAGAAGTCATCTGTTACACTTACAGTTGTAACAGTTGTAAGTATAAATAAATCAATTTTTTCCAACAGTCGAGCAAAGAAAGGGAAATGTTGAAAAAAGCATCATATTACCGCATCCCTCGTCAACGTTTGCGGGTTCAGCATTCCTGCTCCGGTCGCCAAGTTCATCAACACCCCTCTCTGCATCGAATGCTGGGCCGCTATCTGATGCATCATACTGTTTTCCACCTCTAAGACCCTCTGTTTGTACCGCGTAGGACACAAATGCGGATGCGCGATGAAGCTCATTATCGACCGCGGGACTCCGCAAAATTGATTCTTCTTGTCGAAGTCGAAGCAGGCATCGTCGATAGATTTGAGAGAAAGTGCCTTTTTCCTGCAATACTGCGAGAACATGTAGAGGTCTGCTTCTGGAGGCACGAGGGTAGGAGATAAAGGCGGCCCACCTTCGTTCATTTGACCACCTGATTCCGAAGAAGGGCTACGATGAAGATTTCGACTTCTAGGATTGTTGCCACCGGCACCTGAGGAAGAGGCAGCTGCACCTGGTGCAGCTGCCCCTTGTCCAGTCGCTCCGGCACCTGCTAAGTTACCATTTGCTCCTCCTGTAGGAGCGGTCCCACCTTGTTGTTGATCTACAGTATTAGCACCTTCTGAACCGGTTGTTGTTCTTTCACTGCCAGTTGTAGCTCTTTCACTTCCTCCAGCAGTGCCAGTGTTTCTCACATTTATTCCTGGTTTTTCTTCTAACAGAAGCTTCAAATGGAACGCTTCTCGCTTGATTTTCCCCCTGTGCATGTAGGGCAATGCCGCAACATACACCATGTCAAACAACTGCACCAAGTACCAGACAGTCTCGTCGATGTTCAGCACGTAGGCTTCGCGTCCATCGCCCGTATGGACTGCACGCTCTTTGAAGTGTCCAGGCTTGAAGAAGATGATGCTTGCCATCCTGTGCAGATTAGCCAGTAATCTGGATTCAAACGCTGCAGCAGTCAACTCTTGGGACATGATGTTCAAGAACTCTCTCTTCGCTGCTTTAGGTAGCCACATAATGGTTTTCAGCAGCAATTTGAACACCGCGATCAGAGCGTCTTCACGTCTCTTTTCAATACTTTCAAAGTGTGAACGCAATTCCTCGGTTTTTTTCGTTACCAGTACATCATTGTCGCCTCCAGGTGCAGGTCGGACATCATTGTCGCCTCCAGGTTATGACAGGAAAAAGCGTACTCATACTCAAGAAAAGAGGCTTTTTCCTACTTAGAAGGGGCCTACTTTCTTGAGGATGAGTACACTTTTTCGCTTCATACAGGTGCAGGTGTGTCCCCGCTGAATCCAAGAACAGACTTGTTCCCGTTGTCCTCGTTCTTCTCCCCCTGCTCTACTTGTTGAGTTGGTCCAACTCCACCTGCGTCGCTGCTACCTGTCACCCCTGTGGTGTCTCGTGTCAGATCTCCCTGGCTTTGTTCTCGATCCAGCTCTATCACTTGTTGCTCCTCTAGATGATGTACAACCGCATTGCTCCCCGATCTTGACATAGATCCAGTTTTGCTTCTTCGAGTAATATCAACCAAACTAGGAATCCTACCACCTACCCAAATACCACCTCCACCTCCGAGGATACTGCCAGCGCGCGAAGACACTGCTGCAGGACCGCCGATCATGCCGATGTTGCCTCCTGCTCCAGTCCTTAAGTGTTCTTTGCCGTGATGATCACCTCCATCCGCGTCTTCGCCATCGTCGACTGCCAACACTGCGCCAGCTGCCTGCCAGACAGGAGACAGCAAGTACAAGACCAATGGTCTCAACTGGTCTCGATGAACTAGATTGGAAGGTTGCATCTTTTCCAAGCCAGCTTGCACACTCAGTAACCACTGGTCAAACACAGTGCGCTCTAGCAATTGCACGTTCTTCTCCCAATCCTGACGCCACTTAGCTTCTGCTGCCCTACTAGTTGTACTTTGAACATCAGAAGGCTTTGATGAACCAATAACAGTCTCCGGTACAACGTCAGGGTCAGCATCTTCAACATCCTTCTCTTCCACCAACGCCTCCGCGAAGTGACAATGCGCAGACTGCTTTCTTCCTAGTGGCTCGACTGCTTCGTCGTCCTCAACGACGCGATCCAATGGTGATGTCACTATTCTAGCGTCCATGCGGGATATCATCTCCACATCCTCTTCTTGCTGTTGGGTGTTTGGAGAAGATTCGTGCTGCTTGTTGCTCTTTTTAGCTTCATCACTAGGCGCGTTAACTCTTGGCGACGGTCCTCCAGGAGGCGACGCCAAATCTAAATCCTCTGCAAGCATCAAATGTCTCGCTGCCGACGCCAAATTCCAGACTTGTGCAGTGCCAGAAATGAAACCATCCACGTCGATCTTCGGCAACTGCAAACCCTTGAAGACGAAGCAGCAACTCAAAACCGAAGGACAAGAGAAAGCGCCTAGAAGCGCGGCTTGAAAGGTTTTTGTCTCTTCGAGGAGTTTTTGAGGGAGGATAGAAGCTGGGAAAAATGATGAACCTCCTAGAGGAGCTTTGAAAGTAGATCCAACTGCTGCACCTCCATGCTCGGTTCCAAGCTGGACATTCACGCCTCGAAGACCAGAGCCATGGAAAAGCACTTCCCTGCCAGGATAAGCCAACGTCGCTGCAGCATTGTGAAAGAAGCTATTGTCTAGACTGTAGAAAGCAATATTGTCCGCATTGCCCAACAGTGTTAACTTTTTGCTCGTTCGCTGTGCCGCTTTGTGCAGCTTGATGCTTTCTGCTTGTTCGCTTGTGCATCCTCTGGAATGCTCACGAGGCAAAAAGCGCTCACTTTCGGATCGGGCTGCTGCGAGAGGTCGGAGGGATCCTTCTAGCTGGTTGGCAGAACAACTCGATGCAGCAACTTCTGCAACAGCAGGTTGAAAATTTGTCAACACTAGACCACCTGAAGACGCAGGAATCAACTCTGAAGAAGTGGCTCCACCGAAGACACCAGGATCTTCAGCTGGGGCCGACAACGACGATGTTGATTGCTGATGTTGGAAAACACGACTTGGGGCTGGATGAAAAATATCTTCTTGTTTTACCAAAGCAGGACCTCCACTACTAGTCGAGGCAAAAGAACCTCTTAACGACCGACCACCTTCGCTTTTCCCACGACTAGGACGACGTACAAACAAATCCTCGATATCCTGCAGTTCTGCTGGTGGCGTTTTCCTTTTTTGCGGCACTGAGCTCGGGTCTTGAGATGCCGCTAAAAAAGCGTCTACAACTTGTTTGTCTGCTGACATCAAAGTTGATTGTTCTTTGCTGCCGAGGTCCTGAACTGGAGATGATTGCTTGCTGTTCTGATCCCCAGACCCAGGTTGATCCCCAGCACGTGACGAAGACGACATCGCAGAAATAAGCGCTTCTTTTGCCAAGGCTCTAAAATCTTCCGCGGCTGCTGCATCGAACGATGATAATCGATCGTGGCCATCGATGCGCCGTCTTTTGCCATCAGGTTCCTCGCCTGCCAGTCTTTTAGGTCTAGCAGATAATGTTGTAGGAGATTTACCTTGTTCTTGTATTTCCTCCTGCTCGCCTCCTGGAACCATACAACTAGCAGGTGCGGTAGCTCGAATGTTTGTAGCAGCACCTACACCTCCACGACCACGTGTTGTTGAACCTGCTGACCCTGTACCCTGCTGGTCGTGCTCCGCCACAACTTCTGCCACTACAATTGTATGATCAGCTACTGCGAAGACTTCTCGGATCATCAATGTATCCGGTTTGCACAAAGCCTCTAAAGGCACGTGCACAGGCGCTTCGACGTAGTCCACGCTTACGTTGTCTTCATCTGGTGCTACGACGTAGGTTGATGAAGACGATATTACAGGGTTACTGTCCGAACCCATTTTTACGTCATCGTCATCCTTCTCCTTGGAGGCAACATTTGCTGCAGCAAGCTTCAACATAGCTTCAGGTGCCTTTCCATCTTCATCCAACTTCAACCCACTGAGTCTCGGAGAGAGAACTTCGTCGATTTCCCGCTCTACATCCTCTTCGTCTTCCACTACCGCTGCAGGTGAACTACTGACTTCCTTGCTCATCCCCAACACTTGTCCCTCCACGTTGCGACCCCATGCAAATATCCTGCTATCAAGCGAAACTGCGACGGAGTGCCTGTCTCCTAATGAGACTGCGCGCACTTGCAAGTCGTAGGCTTTGCCGAATAGCACCTCTAAGGGTATTGCACTGGAGAAGACATCCTCCACACTCTGGCCCAATTGTCCATTGGAGTTGTCTCCACACAAAAACAGCTGTCCAGTCTTCAACACGAACGCAGAATGCTGACCGCCACCAGCAACGAGACGACAAGAAGACGGCAGATCCACGACGACAGGGTGAAAAAAGGCCGTGGTGGTCTTCTCCTTGTTCAAAAGTGAAGACGAACCATTGTTCGTAGAACTACTTCTTGGCCGTCCACTTGCACCACCTCCACCTGCACTTCTGTTCCCCAACTGTCCACGCTTATTGCTGCCCCAACTCAAGGCCGTACCACTGATTGTCACAGCTAGACTGTGCTGTCTGCCACACGCAATCTGGCGCACTGGCATAGCATTTAGTTTGCCCTCTACGCGGACTGGAGATGAGATCGTTAGGGGTGGCGATGATATACCTGATGTTAAAGGAGCTCCACCACGTCCTCCAGAAGCGTTTGAGGTGCCTCCATTCCCATTCCCATCTTTCATGACGTCCACTCCATCTTCCAACACGTAGAAATTCGGCGTCAACGTCTCGTTCAAGATCACTCCTCGCGTGCTAGAACTCTCGTTTCCTGGGGTTTTTGCGTAGCTCTGAATCCCGGTTTTCAAGTCTGACGTCGAGTAGTACACTCCACACTGACCCAAAACATTACTGCCAAAAGCAAAGACTTCACCTGCTTCGGTTAAGATGAGGGAATGATTCTCACCACAAGCGACTTGTTTTGCTCTAAACGCTCGATTCGTGAAGTGGAGTTCGGAACCAAGTAGGCCTAAAGAAGCAGACAAAGCATTCTTTAGCGGTGTAGTTGATGATGGACCAGGACCAGCACTAGTCCTTTGATGATCATGTTGTAGTGCTACACTAGAAGTAGAAGTTGTCGTTCCAGCGTCAGCAGGTCTTGTCCACGCTGATGTAGAAAACGGAACCAAATTAGGCAAACTCTTCTTCGTGCTCACTACCCCACGTCCGCATTGCCCGAACTCGTTACTGCAGGCCCAACTGAAAACCAGACCTTCTTCTGTCAAGGCCAGAAAGTGTTGATCGCCGCAGCCTAGAGCAGCAACTTTTACGTTTTGAAACTCATCCAAGTCTATTGCTGTAGGCTGAGAGAATTCTTCCGCTTCTTCGTCTTCTTCGCGAAATAGCAAGTTGCGACCAACGAAAAAAGGCCTATTCTTGGAACAACTTTTGAGGAAAAGCGTAGCTTCGGCATTACCAGCTAAATGGTGAAGGACATGTAGTTGACTCATCTGCTGGGTGTCCTTGTTCATCTCAACACCAGCTTCTTGTCCAAGACCAAGTCCACCTCGTGCTTTGTCATCTTGTTCATGATGTAGTCTCTGCTTCGAAGAATTATCGCCCCAACCGAAGAGCTGTAGTCTAGACTTGAAGTCTTGGTTGTCCTGGCGGCCAGGGGAGTGAAGCAACCCTGTGGACGACGACGTAGATGTGCCAGTATACTCGGTAATGCGCAGCTCCACGCGCCCCTTTTTCAAGGGAGAAACCTGCTGTGTGCCTGAACTCATCTTGTTGATCCCATTCTTCGATCGCTTGCAACTCTTCAAAAAAATACAAGAATTATGAATTCACAAGGAGGAACAATCTAGGGAGACAGATCTGTAGGTCGGAGGAGAAACATCAAAGATGAAAACAAATTATCGAACTCAAAAACATGGAAACAATAGGGAACTAGTCGCCTTCTTAGGTGAAAGCAACAGGCTCCTGGGTTTGTGTGGGGAAAACTACATTATCAAAGAAGATTTCTTCATGAAGTAGAATGCCTGCACTTTTCGTTAGGCATGTCCATGTGACCGATGCAAAAGCGCAGATTTTGGTTGCTAGTGCCGTAAGAGAGCAGTCCTTCTATTCTTACAGCGACTACAATTGTGGTTCGTCAATTAAGATTGAGTCTCTTCAAGCTCCTGCTCTCAATAAATGTCGTGTCAAGTTCAAGTAGTATGCTAAGAACAAGTCTGGTTAGAGGATACAATCTACAATGATCATCTTCTCGTCGAACACCGCATTTTGATTTTGTTCTGATTCATAGTACAGAAAAGCCTGCGCCTGCAGCTGCTCCTGTGGCATCTATTGTAAAGCAGGGAAATAGATTGAGAAGATTCATTTTCAGCAGAAGCAGTTCTTTTTTGATCATCTCCTTCTTCACGTCATTTTGATAACGATCACATGATTGCTGTAGTTATAAAGATATAAGTGCTGGGGGTCATTCTCAGTTTTTTTGGGGGGGGTCAAAACTAAGCCCGGCCGGACCCGAAGGACTGGCTCCTCTGACAACGCCAGCAGTGGAAGGGGAATGATCAAAAAAGTTGTCAAGAATTAAAGCGGAAAATAGTTGTAGGAATAGGCGCAGGATACAAATGGCGTACCATAGTACAAACTCATAAGTGCGACGGCGGCAAAATTCACACCATGATGAGTAGCAGAAAGTCAACAGCAAGCTTTTAGGAGGCTACCTCAACTTCTATTCCACCTTGTTCTAGTACACCTCCTATGAACTCTACTTTGAAGAATGTACATGTAGAGCAATCTTAATACTACTAGGCATGACGATGAACAAGCTGAACTTGCTAAAAACAAGTAAGTATAGAGGGCAATAGTAATTAAGTTTAAATGATACTCACACATGTTCTTCATCATGTTCTTCATCTTCGTCGACCTCGACTATACTTGAAGAATCACAAGCAAAAGAAAACCACTCAATGCATTGTTTATTTACTGGTGCAGGTACTGGAACACCGTCTACTCATCTTAAACGAAGGTCTTCGCGCATTTTTCTTGTTCTCCTTCTGCGCCATGGCAATGATTCACAAAAGACCACTAGTAAGATGTTGTAGTTGTACAGATTGTTCTACTAGGGCTACTAGTGGGTGAAGACTGCTATTGTAGTAAGTAACCTGATGAACAGCACCCTAGAAGTAATAAAAAGGTTTTCACGTCGACCCATTCAACATCGTCAGAGTTGTCCAGTACTGCTTAGAAAGAGAATCATCTGATCAACGCTGTCACCTGTGAAGCTGTAGGCCTTCCACGCCGCCTCTAAGGAAACTCCCAAGGATACGCACTGGATAACAGCTTCAGGGAGTTCAACAGCTGGGGCGGCAGGAGCTGGGGCTGGTTGTACGGCGGGGGTGTTTTTGGGGTTTGACGAAGAGGATGTTGCTGCTTTTGGTGCCTGCTCGTCTACTCCTTGTTCTCTAGTACTTCCAACTTGGTCAGTCTGGTCTTTCTGGATACTCAGAAGCAGCGCTTGCTGCAACAACTCGTCGTCAGTTGTAAAAGACGCAGCACCTGACGATGCGCCACCACCTCCTTGCGCGGAATGCGAAGATGCCGACTTCTCTTAGAGCTGTCCGTAATTCATCCTCTTTCAAGTGCATCCTTGAAAAGTATGGGGGAGTATTTTTTCCTTGGGTGGATACTCCTCCATATGTTTCTTCAAGGATGCGCCCAAAGATGTATTAGGTACAGCCTTAATTCTCATCATCTATTCTAGCTAGAAGCGGCATTTTCAGCACATCTGAAGTTGTAGCACTAGATGCCGACGCTGCTCCTGGCGTCGCAAAACTTGCGCCGCCGCTTTTATTCGCAGAAGCTACAGGAGCACAAGAAGAGAGTGGCCCGGCAGCGAAAGGTAATTCAGAGACACTCAAAGCCAATGCTTCCCGCAACTCTCTATCCTCGTCTTCCTCCAAAGTCCTTAAAGACTCTCGCACTACGTCCTGTTCTTCTTGTTGTTGGATGTCACTTGCTGCACGACTCGCCGAAGACGAGGCTCCTTCTGTATTCGCTAGTGCTCCTCCTGCGGGCGCACCAGCACTAGTTGGATATGTATTGTTCATCATCGTGTTGAGAGGAGAACTAAAACTACTTTTATTTCCACCAATTATACCAGTTGTAGCGGCTAAGAAATTTCTAGGACGCATTTTTGGATGATCTAGCAGTAGGTCCTCCAAAGTCCCTGGAACTAGCGTCCGCTGTATCCCAGTCTGAGGCCACCCTAATTTCGCCAAGTATCTTTCTCTAACAAGCAAGATCTGCGGTAGCCTGGCAAGCCTCAAGTCCCGCAAACTGTTGTAGTGGCTCTGTCCTCGGTAGACTAGGCGGATTACTGTTCGGGCGTTGCGAAGAGGACCATGAGAGGACGGAAGATCCCCGTGGGATGTTGAAGATGTCGGTGCTGCATGATAATAGTGGGCATTAGCTGAAGAGCCACTGGTTGATGAGCTCGCGCCCCCGCCAGAACTAGTAGCAAAGCTGTAGGGGTGTGAAGCGACCCCACTTGCCTGATGCGCTGGTACAGCAATCCGAGGGACTAGAGCAGTATTAGCAACTTGGTAATTGCTGTAGTTGTTTTCTTCATTCCCCTCAGCCTCATCATCGTCATTCAACAAACTTCTACCTTGTCGAGATGAACCTTGACCACCTGCTACACAAGGACCACCAGCACCATTTCTACTAGAAAATCCACCTGTGGCCGAGCTACTACTCGCTGCGCCCATCTTCTGATTACCTCCTCCAAGCAACGCCATCTGCTGTTCTGGTAAGCCTCCACCTCCAGCACTGCCGAACAGAAAATCCCTTGGCGGGATTGGCATTTGATCCCTTATTTCGTGGAAGGTTTTTTGCAAGTTGCCATCTGGCGTGTAGATTTCGATCGCTGAGTCGTAGATTTCGCCCAAAGCCTGTAGCTCCACATCGTCACCCCATTCGCCTGGCTGCTGCCGTCTCTGTACGTAAGACTCGAAGTCTTCTGTAATGAAGTCTTTGAAGTAGCTTCGTTCGGCACGAATGTACTCGAGGCACTTGTCGCGGATGACGTCGTGGTAGTCGTCGCGGAGGTTGGGTATGAAAGGGGGGCGTAGGCAGCAGGGAGCCTTGCTTAAGGGGATTTCCATTTCAGTGCCTCCTTCTAATATAAATCAGTAGAAGTTACAAGATGACGAAGGTTATAATTAAGTCAATTGTTACTTGTACATCATGTACAAGTAGTAGTATTAGTAGTAGTAGGTACTCGAATTGATAGAGGTGAATGTAAGAAGACGAAGAGCAGAAAAAATCTTCTTCATCCTTGTTGAGCCATACACATCTGATCCGACACTGACCTGAACAGGCAATTTCCGTCGCTTGCCATCTCCACTTCCTGTAGGTTTTGCTTTAGTGTGAGCGGATCTGTTGTGTTGAGAATATGTGCAAGCTGTGCTCCCCATGGTGGCTCATCGTCGCCGTAGCCGCGCTGACTGGGAGGATAATAATGCCCTCTTGTGCCCCGGATGCGCTTCCGGTTATTGTTGCCGTCCCCTCGATCGATCACCATTTTGTTCTATTAATTATAATAATATGCTAGAAAAAGATCTTTATCAGGAAATTAAAAACTAATCACTATCACATTTTTGTTATCTTAGTTTAGTAGACGTAGAGGTCATTCATTCATCTTGTTCTCGCTGTATGTGTATTGCTGTAGGAGTAGTACTTGTAGATGTTGTCAACAACATAGTTATGCCGATTTCGTGAGCTTGGCTTGGGAGGGTATCAGTTTGATGTTGAAGTCGTCGGTAGGCACTTAGTTATTCATCTCAATAGTATGAACTATGAAGTTGCACGCTCGAACGAGTAGAACTCCAACGAGAACTCCAAAAGGTTGTCGCTGTAAATTGTCGCTTCTAGTAGTCACCTGGTCCTCTTCCTGAGCGATATAGAAGGTAAGGACGATATAAGGAAGACTGTTAAAACTTGTTGCTGTATTGTTATAGTTGTGGTGGAGCCGACGGACCTAACTAGAAAAAAGAATGACCAGAGGAAGATAGAAAAGAGAAAAGGATAATTATCATCAAGTGTAGTCTGAGTAGTACAACTAGGCCTGTATTATGAAAGAGGACTATTTCAGCCTAGATTTTGCGCGACGTGATCACACTGACACGGATCGTCCATTACTAATTTCGAGGGATCTGGAGATGAGTTATGATCGAGGAGGTCTCTGAGTTATTTGTTGATCGAGGAGGTCTGAATGGTTCCGGTATTTGGTAACCTGAATTTGATCACAAGGATTCTCTCCTTGTTTTCCCTTATGATCAAAATCAGGCTACCAAATCCCGGAACCATTCAAGGTGGTCTCCTATTCTTACGAACTCGAACACTGTGGCTAGAATGAAAGAGGAACCCAACTCATCTCAAACTGGTGCAGCTAAACAAGGTAGTAGTTGTATACCACACTCCAGACATCAAAAGAGTATCTTTATTCATCGAATACGACATCGACGAGTTCGAGGCGAGGACCTTAGGATTATTAGTTGTTAACTCACTCGTTAACGAAATGAATAGAGTAAATTCAGAGCTATCTCGACTTAGGACGACTAAGTTGAATACTTCGTTGTGACAGTGAGTGGTCTACTATTTCACTCGAAAAATAAACCAACAATGATAGGTGGAGGGTTATAAAAACAGCCAATCATTATTGTACACACTACAGTGGAGTTGGAGAATACGAATCCTGTGCTCTAATTAACAGAAGGCTGTATAAGACGAGTTTTACTTTTCGTAACAAAGAGGATGAAAAAACTCATTCGGCGACTTCTCACGCTCTCGTTTTTAAGACTCTCTCGCTCCATCGACATTGCCACACAGAGCAATAACTTTTCACACCCTTCGTAATTGTATATCATGCGTCGTGGTTGGATCTGTCAGTCACAGTCTCTCACTCTCCGACCTGATTTGCTGTGCTATGCAGAACCTCACACTTCTCATTCAGGTGGACCCCTCCCTCCGCTATAAACAAATCAATAAAAGCGACGTGTCTGTTAGCTCTCATCAAAAAGAAACACTTGCTCATTTGATGAAAGTGGGCCTGGGCGATTCATCATGATTGCATCATGTCGTTGTCGGGGAGGCACACGATAAAAAATCTTGATCAGGAGGAGTCAGTACTTCCTGTTTGTTCTTCTCTGTCATGACGACAAAAAAAAACTCTACAAAAGCGAATGCTGTTCTTCTGGGTTAAAGAAAAAGGCCTCCACCTTGTGCTTCTCTAGACGTATAATCACTAGGGCTTCTTGTTCGTCCTATATACATCTTTCTTTTGAAGTTTCCATGTTGAATGTTGCTTTGTGCTCAGTCAATCGATATAAAAGCTGAGGTCCAAGCACTGATCCAAGTGTAAGAATTCCGCCTCCTGTGCCTTCTGGTCCTTCTTTCTTCACATCTTTCAACAACACCAGTGCCGTTTCAACCAACATGCGTGCTGTATCTTTGTAGCCAATATCGCAGAAAAACAAAAATTTCATTCCGCTTTGGTACTGGTGTTTCGATTCTAGCTTGCTTTCGCTGTTCACAGCTACTACATCAGCGAAGCCTAAGAGTGTCATGTAACCGTTCTCCATCGATTTTTCGTCTGATCCAGTCTCTGGCTTTGGCAAAACGAACTTCCGCAAAAACCATCGTAGAGAAGAAAATTTGAAACAACTCAGTCTCAGGCCAAGGATATGACAGGAAAAAGTATACTTCATTCATCCTCAAGAAATTAGCTAGTTTTCACTCGAATCCTAGCTAATTTTCTGAGTACTAATATGACTATCATGAGTACACTTTTTCGTTTCATAGAGGAGACCGTTGACCGTAGTAGATGACATTGCGTTTGAAATCAGAGTACCAGGAAGCGAGGGAAGAAAAGTAGGAAGATAGAAGTCCACCACCACCTCTAATTATCTGTTCCTGTTGAAGGTCTCTACTACTAGCAGAAGAAGAAGAAGAAGAAGAAGTCATCGCATCACAGTACACAAAAGAATGAGATATCTGCATTAAGGCGTTGGTTCAAGAACATCGAATACAGAAGTTGCCCATTACAGGAGCCATGATCCGGTGCCAACAGGAACGAGGACCTATCTCTGCAACCGGATAGGAGCGTTCCGGATAGGAGGTAGGATGTCTTCACTTGCCATTGTGGAAGTTGTGGAGGAGTACTAGTTTGTTGATCGAGATCGAGATGACCAGATCGAGAAGACGAGAAGTCTTCTTTCTCGACCAAATAAAGTGGGTCTATTGTAGGTCTTCTACTTCCACTAGAAGTATTTTTTCTTTTTGCGTTAGGCTTGGGACTATATGCCACCGCCCTTTCAATCAATTAATTAACCTATATAAGATCAGCCAAATTACATACTGCAGGCTTTTTCTTGTCTTTCTTCTTCTCCACCGCATGATGGTACATCGTCGCTAAAGTTCCGCCAGAGGCTGCGTCCATGCCCTCGAAGAAGTAGGTTCTAAAGTTCGTCAACTAGAGTAGATCCTTTCCATAATCCATCCCTGTATTGGTGCTATATCTTCATGCCTGTCCATATTTTAATATATGGATTGCCCATGAGAAGCCTCCACTCTTCCTCTGTTTAGAGAACAGATAGCGTACGCACGAACGGTGAAACCTGTCGCTCCGAAGAGGACGAGGTCATACTTCTTGTGCGGAGAGGTGCTTGAAGAGGTTGTAGAGGTTGATGTAGCAGGTTGGAAAAATTGGGAAGACATTTGTATGATTTTGGAGCTGATTCATAATACGAAAGAACAAGACGAAAGATGAGTAAGTAGACTTTGATGGTTCTTGAATTAGTATTAGTGGTAGTGTACCAAGAAGAAAAAATGTTGTTGCTCGATGAAAGACTGGAGTTTCGACAATTATGTAAATATTGGAGTTTCTCAACAATCGATGTCCTCAAAAACATCCAGGAGTCGAGCATCAAAATGTTTTCTTCAGGACATCGCTTGTCGAAACTCCAGGAAGAAAAAATGTTTGTTGCCCATACTGGAGTTTCGATAATCGATGTTTATGAAAGAAAAAGCTAGATTTGGGGTACCTGGTGATGGTTCCCGGCGACACTATCAGTTGGAAAAAACGCTTTTGTTCGCTCTAACCAAGGTTCTAACACTTTCTACTTCTCCGTGGTCTAGTTGCAAGGTATAATATGTAAAGAAGGCAGCTTGCGCATCTACTCGGCTCGCGGTTTCTTCGTCGCTCTAACAATCGGAACAACACTTACACTTCTTTCACCCAAATTGCATCGCACCTCATTCGGTGGGAGAGACCTTATCGGTCTTTGCGTTTCTTGATCGGTGTGTCTACCTATTATACAGTTTTTCCGTTTCGTCCACACCAATCAAAAATCCCATTTCTGTTCTCTCCAATTTTAATTTCATCTGCTTCAGCGAGCGAACAAGCACATCGTTGCCAAATAAATCTAAGTATATCCGGAATATCTCCATCGGCATTGGCTTTTTCAAACACACTGTTTCATGTTAGCTATTCTGGAATCAATTGTTCCGGTTTAATTTTGATATCTAGTTCTGCTTAGAGTTCTTTTTAGCATCTTCGCGTTTCATTTGAATCACTTCGGTTTTAGTTTTGGTCTTGGTCGTCTATTCAGCTATTCATCGCTAATCAAGTTCTCCAGAATGTAGTTGTTATAATGGGTGATGAAGTTGCCTATAATTCATAGTCTTCCTCATCCTCGTCGCAATTGCGAGTTCTAAATTTTCTGCCGTTCAGCACTAAGCTGAAATCTACTGAGGCCAGATTCCAGGATCGCGCTTGACTCCGTTATCACCACGTCCGAACAACTCGATTGGCGGTCTCCATCCGACTTCCTGCGAGAAATCGTTATGGAAAAGATAAAGAAACTCAGTAAAAAATACCTCCTGGTGAATGCCATTAAGTTTCAAAACTTTTGCTCGTACTTAATCAGCAGTGGACATCCACATAATCAGAATTACATAATCAAGCAAACATTCAATACTTGGCTCGTCGTGATCGGTCTTGCTTGCTTCTCCTTTGGGCACTTTCCTCTGTTCAAGGTGAATCGGAGCTTTGCTGTAAGCTCAACAACGTTGTCATCCAGCACGACTGAGGACTTTGGTGATGTGACGGGTTCGGGAACGGAGTATTTACCTGTGTTGAGAGGAGTTGATGTGACGGGTTCGGGGGCGGAGTATTGATTTACCTGAAGGGGGCGAGTACGAGGTGGAAGCACTAGTCGGTGTATCTTCGTATCAACGGGCGAAAATTATATATGGTGCGGTAATCATGATGGTGGTCTTCGTGAAAGACAATTACGTTTCTTTGTCACTCCGAGTCGTGAGTCTTCTATTGACAAGAGCTGAGCAATGGGTTAGGTTAGATTATGGATCCTGCACAACAAGCCCCACTGCTCGCCTCCGAGGATGATGGGTGACCTAGGTAAGGTCAACGACACAAGCGTAAATATAATTAATCACCTTCCGGGGGCACATCTTCTTTTTTCTCTGCTCTGAGAAATCCCCAATTAGCTTCCCACTCCGCTGCTGAGTTGAGCTCTCCTTCCACTCTGTCCTTCCAGAGCTTCATCTCGTTCACCATGTTAGCCTCCTTCGGCATCTTGGGCAGACTTTAGGAGCCCTGCAGGGACAACTCAAATAGAAGGAAACGAGACAAAAAAAATGTAGTTGTTGCCCTGCAGGCTGTTGTTACTTGGACGGAGTCAAATTTTTGTTTCTACTTCTTCGTTCGGGGACTAAAATTTGGAAGCAGGTCGTGAAGTCTGGAATGAACAAGAAAATAAGTAGAGGAGATGAAGCTTGGCCTACTTGCAAATGGAAAATGATGCAGATACATCTTCTTTGATAAGACTTATGCTGGAATATGAGAGGCGAACGCGGGGATCCCGCTTGACAGGTAAGTTTGGGGCTGGCGAAGTGGGAGATAGTGGGGGAGAAGATGACTCGGGCATCATTTTCTACATCACGAATCTGCCGAAGATCCTCGAACCGAAAAGAAGCACATGAGAGATTTGGCAGAAGCCGCCATTAACCTTAACGTTTTCTGAGCATGTACAATTTTAATAAATACTTAGATGATAGAACGAAATGATCTTCTCTCGTCGGTACTCCCCATCTACTGCCTCGTCGAAAGAAAACAGCCTACAGGAGAGACAAGACTGTCTCTCCAGAGCAAAGACTTGTCGGGAGCTCTCTACAGGAGAGACAAGACTTGTCGGGAGCTCGTCACCAGAGAAAAGAAGAACGGTCGTCAAGAACAAATGCGTGTCTACATCGAATGCACAGAACACAATCGTCCTGCAGTGTGACGAGTTTCGTGAGTTTCTTGCCGATCACTTGTTTTCTATGTCTGTTCCAGTTCTTCTCGATGCGAAGAAGATGACTTAGATAGTTGTACATTTTCCACCTGCTCCTTCCAAGCTGATTATATTATACAATACTCATGCCGTGTTGTTCGTCATGCTTAGCCATGTAACAGAATGCTCAATTCAACAAGTCCATTTTTCTCAATGTCGTTTTTACAACTCTATATTACATGCTGCAGATTAGTCTTTTATAGTCAGTAGATGATTATGATTTCTTTTGTCAAAAAACGTTTGTTTCATGTATTTATTGGATTCAAAATCAAAAGTTATGTAGTTCCCATTTTAGTTACAACTATCTTGTCTTATCTTCATTTTTTGTGCTAGTTCAGTACTATGCTCTACATCTCTGTACATTTGTGAATAACCCGAGGAGCCCCGATGTTCATATTTCTTTGTCTGATCTGCTCAAACTGTCTCAAAAATTGTTTACATGAGAAGGTATGTTCTTCAAGAATCAAAAAAAAAGTGTCGTTACGTCTATTTCAATAGCTAGCTCGAATTCTTAAGTTGCCTAATCAGATTCAGCCCACAATTGCATGCACTCTTAAGCATCTTCACTGCTTCGTCTTCACCATCGACGATTAGTCTCGGCACAAATATCGCGCCGGATGTGTTCGGACCTCTGGGTAGCGTTGAGGCAGCGGTAGCATACCTCTCGCGCCGTCGTAGGCCTGAGAGCGCAAGGGGCCTGTCAGCTGGTTGCAGTAGGCAACATTCTTGTTCCAGACCCAACCAAACACGTTTTCTGACTTCTCTCCGGGGATGTATCTGGAGGGCGAAAGAGTAGATGAGGGTGTTTCATGAGTGTTAAGAGAAGAAGAAGATTGATGAGGGTGCTTCTTCTTCTGGTTAGTGGTTACTAGTTTCAAGAAAAAATGCCGAGTTAGAGTTTGTCTCTAGTTCCTTTCATAACAAAAAAGTGAGTGTCACTCTGCTACTAGAAGATGATGTAGAAGTCGAGACTACAGAGACAGACCTGTCCTAAATAACGTGTAGGGATTGGGAGAGAACTACTCTATTAGTCCACATACCGCTGCTGCAACCGCCGAGGAGCCACCTTTTTCCAGGATTCAAGATAACATAAAACAAGAGAAGACTGCTGTTGACCTCGCTCATAAACCTAAAACTTATCGAAGATCGTATAAAGTACCCCATATATCCAGGCTTATCCCTCGCAATCGATAAAACTAGGTTCGGAGACTCCCGACTATGGACTGTAAACGGTGTCTTGTTTGTGTACTCAAAACTCTGGGCTCGTCGTGCTGAATATTGCCTCTCTGGGACGCTACCTGGTTCGAGATTGAGCAGAATTTTTCATGACAACATCTTCATGATTGAAAATTACACATAAAAGAAGTCAAAGAGAAAGAACAAAATCAAAATGGCGAGCAGTACTACAGTTGTTCATCTTGATGTCAACATCAGGTCCCACTCACTGCTCGTGTGACTATCATTTGTAAGTACTTCTTGTTCATCTACTTCTAGTAAATCGACCACTCCGTTGTATCTAGAGTAGTAGTTGTGCCTCTCCCCGAGCTCATTCCACTCCTCGAGGAAAGTGGCGGTTCTGTTGCGAGTTCCTCCAATCTGTCTTGTGCCCGCATCTTGAAGCTCTCGACTCGATTGACAAACGTCTTGTCGAATTGATATGGGTTCGTCACGCTGCGGTCCCAGAGTTCGCGACCTGGACGATGCATGTGGAGGTGGTGAACAAAGCTCAAAAATACATGCCCTGACTGGAAGCCCAATGAAGGTTTCGCCCTGACTGGAAGCCCAATGAAGGTTTCAAACCTTTTCTGTCATCTATCGACGGCACACTATAGATACAGGTGTCCTCTGTACCTATCTTCGGTCTATCTCCTCCTTGACATGGCTGCCAGTTGACTTGAACTGGTGCATCCCAGAAGACTTGGCCTGTGCCAGGGACCATCGTTGCTCCTGGTGGTTTTTGGAGCGGGTGTGGCACGCTCTGAGAGCGACTCAACCAAGCGCGTTCTTGCGGCATTTTTTTGTTTTGGTTTTGGTTTGCTTAGAAAGGTGACAATGACAACTAAGATGAATCTCCTACTAGAGATTTGGGTTGCTGACAATTATTAGGAATCTTCTACTAGAGAAGATTGACAAGACACTGATGTGCTTTGGGTATTCAGAGTGACAAGAATCTTCTTCTACTAGATTAGAAGATCCTCGATATAACGAACTACAGAAGTATTGCTCTGAGTTGTTTTTAAAGTTGAGAATGATAAATTATAATCAGACGCAAAAAGATGAAGATGACTCTGGCTCGATTCTGATCATAAGCGACAGTGATGAAAAAATAAATATGAAGGGAAACTTCCAGCATCTAAGCCTAAGGTGGGGGGACGAAGTGGAGGTAGGGTTTGAAGATTTCTTCTTCGGTCGACACACCACGAAAATCGAAACAAGAATTAGCGCAGAAAACCGAGCGATCTCTGTACAGGAACAGTAGAACATTACCGAATACAAGGACCGACGAGCAGAGATAAATGTCACTCCCGCAATCCGATTTCTTTCCCTTGTACTTGCAGGGCATGTAAAATCTTCGGCCTCGTTCCATTCCATGAAGTCTATCATTATTGGCTAGCATACCAACCCCTAGACTATACGATGACACTCTGCAGCCTCAAATGATATGAAGTCACGAAGCGCAACGCTAAGGGAACACTTTTAATTAAGACCAAGTCCTGATATCCTCCTTTTTGAAGTGAGAGTGAGAGTGACCACGCCTACCTAATTGATTGTGCCAAAATTATGCTGTCCTGGTGCTCAGCGCAGATAAAGAAAAGATGACGTCCACGCGCACGCGCATCACTTCTCCTTATTTCCCCTTTGGCACTTCAAAAATCTCCTTCAACGATTCAAAGTTAGTCTTCACATATTCTAAACTGCAAGCTAGACGTAAGTGTCGTCCAATGTCGCTAGGATTGTGCTCGTAGAGGATTTCCTGATCCTTCAATTCTCGTATCATCGTCTCTAAGGGCGATTTTCCGATACCCCTAGTGCTCATCATCTCTTTATCAAGCTTTTGGTAAGAGATGCCGTGTTCGTGGGTGCGATGGGCTTCTAGAATACAACGTAGAATGGCGACGTGGTGTGCGGTGAAGGCACGACTAGCAGAACGACACTTGCCAAAAAAATTGTCAGTGGCGCCTTTGCTATTCTTGTTACCCGTCATACCGTGTTTGCGAAGTACATTTTCGAAATACTCGACTTGACTGGGTGGCACTTCGTTTGTATAAGGGAGGTAGCTGTGGTGCACGACGTGTTCTATTCTCAGGGCTCCTTCATCTCTAGTTGAAAACGGTGAGTCGCCGACAGCGTCGAGACCTAGGAGCAGGCGAACGCAACCATCTAGAGGAGGTTCACTATCTTTGTAAGCTCTTGTTGCAGTTCTTGGCCTTGGCGCCAAATGATCCATATTAATATCGTCGATGCTGTTCTTGTTGTAAGACGACGATGTAGCTGTTCGTGATAAGGCCGAAGTTGAGGAAGAGGATGTCACTATCATTCCAGGAGGCGTCGTTGCACTCGTACTGGAACTGGAAGACGTACTCCTCTCTATATTCGCCAGCTTTATTTCGCGTTCACTCGGTCCGACCAAATGCGTCAAAGCTGTCGCCATTTGTGGCGAATGGAGTTTGTCGTAACCATGTACAACCAAAAGGACTTTGATCTCGGCTAATTCTGCGAACCTCCGCCAAAACCGACAGAGGGTCGAGAGAGGCGCCCTTACTGTCTTGGAAGGCGGAACTGTGTCGCTTAGGATCGGCTGAGGAAGTTAGTTGATGTAAGTGGAATGTAGATCTAGATGATGAATGCTTCTTTTTAATCTTATCTATCGTAGTCTAGGAAACACACGTCTTCAACAAACAAGAAAATTCAAAGAGATGACTTTCCTATTCAGCGCTGCACCAATCCTTCATATCACGAATGACGTGGGATGCACCAATCTTTCTATTGTTCGTACTAAAATGTTCCAAATCGGTCCAATACCATCAACTCCTCCAACAGAAACGCAAAGCAGTCACGTTTTCTGCTGCAATCGGTGTATTCATACTCTGTCGCGTTCCAGCCCCTCTTCAGCATTCGAAGATCAAACCCTGCGTCCCATCTTGCAGCTCGAAGCATCTCCTTGATCTCATCTATTTTACCCACAGGTGTGTGGTCGCGGATTGAACCAGTTGCGGTTGAGGTAGTTGTTCTGCCCTTGAGGAGGCGCGGAATTAGAGAGAAAAGTTCAACCATATGTATTGTGGTATTCAGTGATGTTGCTTTCCCGGTACACTTCAAGTGTGGCCCTACTTCCGTTCATTGTGCGTGCTGTGACAATGACAAAATATAAAGTATTTGGTTGTGACCCAGATGTAAAGTGATAGACTGATATCGTCCTTGTCCAGCAGGTTGTCTCTGAGCAATGAAAAAGAAAAAGTACTATCTCTACTATCTTTTACGACATTGACTTTCCCTACTTCCGTTCATTGTGCGTGCTGTGACAATGAAAAACAAGAAAAAGTGCAACTATCTCTACAACTATCTTTTGCGACCACATTGACTTTTTTGACATCAAGCCGTAACATAAACTCCTCAAAATCGTTGTCTGTTCCTTCTCCAGCAGCTTCCGCAACATCATCTAAGAACTGTTTCGCGGCTTCAAGCCAAGCTTGCTCCATCACCTTTGCAAAGTCTGTCTGCATACCCAACGCTGCTGCACAATGGATCACGTAATCGAAGTCACGACCCCGCATTGGCGATGCTGTGGACTCGGTTGAAGAAAAGGGTGAGGTTGAGCTACAACTACCCCCTTCTTCGTAAAAGAGCTCGTCGTCGTCGGTTGATGCAAAGAAGCGATGAATAGAGATATGGGACGGGAGAAGTTTGCTCACGGTGGGGTAACGATCAATGTGACTGACGATTACTGTGAGTCTGAGTCTTGGTGTAGTTACGAACTGTGCAAGAAGTGACTCTATCTTTAAGTTGTAACTAAAAAACTGAACAATCTGGTACTAAAGCTATTATTTATCATTAAGGCGTTTTTCTATCTTCACACAATTTTTCCTCATACCTCTGCATCCCCCCGTCAGGAAACTCGTGGTCGATGTCCTCTTCATTGAGTTCTCGGGAGACTGATATGTGCCTCGCAACACGTGTATTGATTTTCCTACTAGCGCTATCATCATTAGTTTGTGTACTACCTCCTCCAGCTCCGTCTCCACTAGCTGGCTTATAGACCAACTCAGCTTCGATTTCATCCACCTTCAAAGCATGCTCGGCCACCGCGTTTCCGAAATTGTGAAGCAAAGCGTATTTTGAGCCGAATCCGGAGACGCACAGCTGATGAGATGATTGGATGAGAGGATGATGTGATTGTCACTTTCTTCCCGCTATAGTTCTTCTTCAAGTTGTGCGCGACAGAGGCGAGAGAGATTCCATCTAATCTGCAACCTAATTTTGGTCCCAACGAACTATGCACTGTAAAAAATGTGGAATAAGAAGTACTGTAAGAAATATCCTATCTATACTGTCCTATCCCAATTCAGCGTGGATCGCCATGAACGGAAGACGTCAATTTGACTGTTTTTAGGTCTCGCGGAAGCCGTCTCCCTTTTCGCTTGTCGCTCTTCCTTCTTCTGCATCTTTTTGGTTTTTTTCCTGCTGCCGTCTCCTGTGTCAGCAGCAGCATCTGCTGGCGGTGGTGGTGGCGGACCGCCACCTTTGGGGTAGTAAACTTCGGAGAGAACCTGTAAGTCAGGCTCAGGATTTCGGTCGTTCGCTTGGTGTTGAACAAGTATTATGATGTATTGAGACGAGTGCTCATGAAGTAGATACCAATTTTGTATGATAGAAGTTACGTTGTATCTACAACGAGTAACTACATAGGATCAGACAGAGTAGAATTTGAAGGCCATCGTTTACGTTTACGTTTTCGTTTTCTAGATGAAACTATAAATCAACTACCTCATGCGTAATTTCCGCGTCCATATGCCTTTTATGGCATGCTGGACCGAATAGACCCCCAGCATTGAAGAGAGAAGTGGATGTTGAGTCTTCTGTTGATTCAGCACCACGCGCGCAAGCCCGATCACCGTCATCTAATTGAGCACCTTCGGTGTTGCCAAGATAGTCGTATCCAAAATTTGATGGCCACCGAGCACGATCCTGCATTGTGCGGCCTGTTGCTCGGCCAGAAAGGCCTGGGGCTTTAGACGAGGTTTCATCCCGCCTCTTTCTTTTCCTGAGACACAAGGAGATACAACACTTCTCAATCTCACGTTGCAAGTAGAAGTAGAGGGCTTCGTGGTAATGCAGAACAACCCACAACATTAGACCACATCATGGTAATGAAGATGAACCCGTGATAGATAGAGATGGTCTGGTCAACATGAAGAACCTACGGCCGCTAGACAAGAAAGATGTTATTCTTTAACAACTTAGTGGTTATGGTTAAGTAGATCATAACATTCTTCTGATTCTGATTCGTTGATCGTGTGCGCACAAGATGCGGATTTTCCTTCCGGCGCACAGCAGGTCCTACATTGAGGAAGGAAGACGACGCTCCACCACCAGAAGTGTCCATTTCTTATGAGTTTAGAGCAAGTAGCTCCTCGCCAATGAGTGACAACCAACACCAAGAAGTACTAAGTGTAGTAGTATTAGTGTGCCCAATCTTGGGGTATAAGTTCTTCGTCCAGTTAATTAACTTAAGGAAAAGCACTTCTTCTCCTTCTTCCACCACCTCAGAGTAAGCGTAAAATTGGTAGTGGTCTGTAAGCCAACAACGAACAGAATTCACTAATAGTACCTAAGCAGAAGTACGGAGTTAAACAGACAACAATCGCGTAAGTGAATCATGATTGTTCTACTACAAGAATACTTAAGTACGTGACTTCTACCAATTTATTGTTTCGAGGTATGCTCGATAGAGAGCAGATGGAGTGGAGATCCAGTTTCTGTTTCTGCAAAATAACTAAAAACATCTACAATGACTTGTAGTCTACACACCAGCAGTCCAAGCACGACGGCAGGATCCCTTTATCTGTTTTCCCTACTAGGTCCAGTTCATCCCTTTTTTCTACTACTACTTTGGACAGTTTCAACATCACCTTACACCTTGTGCACCCAGAAAGGGACACGGACAACTAGCCTCTACATGATTGTTAAAATCGAACTGCAGTCGTGTGTGTATCCACCAGTCCAACGGTTGTGTGTTGTGTTCTCTTTTTCCAAAACTTACGCAAACAGAACGACTCACAAGAACACGTGAAAAAATCATCGATGTATCAATAATTTTGAATCTATCAGCATTAAGATCGGACTCGGTTACTCTTCTTTTTCAACACTTCCTTTTTCTTTGTTGCCTACTTGTCTACAAGTGCACAAACGTTCACCTACGTGACTTGAAAAGGGGTCGTGGCCCGGACTTACGACTTCCAGTATCAAGTTCTGTTACCCTTGATCTATCATCATGTTCGGGTCTTTGTCCCTGTTGGCTGTTTCACACCGCGGTCCTGCTCATCGCATTGTGCCATCTAGTGGCAAAAAAGAGGTAGAGGAAAGAAGAACATGAACGTTCTGTGGTTCTCGGAAGTGCTTAAACACATACACAAGGTCAAGAAACGGGATGGAAAGTGAGACACGAGTCGCGTTCCTACTACTCTGAGTACTCTAGGTAGAAGTAGTACTCATCTGTAAGTAGATACTACTTTTTTATTTACTTTGTTGCTCACTCATGATCCAGTGAAAAATAATGATGATGAATGGCCTAGATGTAGATGAGCGACACCAGCACTGCTATGGTATAATAAGGTGAGGGGACCATCGAATGTAAAATAGATATTAATCTTCAAAAATCAGCTTGACGATGACAGAATGAATAGAATCGATCGGAAAATGTAAGTAAAAAAATGTTGTTGAAAGACTCCAAGAAATAAAACATCTTCTTGTTTGATAGGGAAAATATTATCAACAAGCACCAGATAGGATGCAGTAAGGCGCGACTCAGAGTCAGATGGGGCACCACGACAAGATGAATATGGAAACACCCTTCTTGTTCTTTCTATACTAATCGTGGGAGGTCGGAATGACTTTCTAATTTTTTTGCATCAACGATTCCAACATCAAACTCTTCTACACTACTCGTGGGGCCTCCATCAACTATCTTTGACGATGATGTCATGGAAGTCCTGCTCTTTGCCAAAGACATTAACGAAATATCAAAAAAAAATACGAACAAAAAATCTAGTAAGTACGTACTTCCACGAGGACACGACACATGCGGAGTCTAATTCTTATCTCGAGCCTTTAGCCTTAGTCGACCTGAGGAGGTTATCAACTAAAGCTCATTTGTTAGCAACATTATAATTGACTGATTGATTGATGTGCCTGGCAAGAGGTTGAGGAGCTAATTGTTGCAGGTTGCATTTTTATTCGTCCTTAGTAGTGTACCCATTCGGGGGGTATAAATGATTATTTAATTAGCTTCCTTCGTATTTTTTCTCATGTCTTCTCATGAGATCAACTTGAGGGAATTATGGAGGTGGTCGAGGTGACAGCAGTAGACGTGGAGTAGTTCCTAGTACTGTTATAGAACTTTTATTGCGGAGGTTCTTTATCTGTATAATTACATACACGACATATAATACAGCGAGATTACCAAATGACGTCGTAAGTAGCACGACACGTATAGCAGTTATAGCTGCTCCTCGCTATTACTATTATCATTATTCGCGCGCGTGACCCTCTCGTCTGGTATTTTATAATAAATTACTTAGAAGATGAAGTTGAACTTGAAGGGCCGTCTTCTATAATAATTTTGTAGTAGTAGAAGATTCATATAGAAGTAGAGGAATCCTTCATATCGTCTTCTTGTAAAGGAAGAGGAACGACGAGACACAAAAGTTCAAAGATCGCAACAAGGAAAAATTTTCTTTCGAAGTTACGGACGACGTCGATCGTTCTCAGAGAATTATAATATGGTCCTCGGACACAAAAATTCTTTGACAACCAAGATCGCCACCCTGACGATAAATTTCTTCTTTCCTTTGCCCAGCAGCAGGACATCTATTCATAGTGTTAGTACTAGTGTTGACCAACTCGGCCGTCTTTTATCAAATTGTCCACATATTATGACACGTTTCCAAAGCACATCATCATCATCCTTATATGACATTTTTTCGTCCGAATTCCGTCATCTTTGTGTGAAGAACTATAGTTTTGAGCGTTATAATGCAACTCTTACAAAGGGTTCAATTTCGAGACATCTAAGCACCACCTTCTCGGATGGGATTGAATCCCATTTGTTCTGGGCCCCCTGTTCTCCTGGCCAATCCTTCGTCCAAAACCAAATTTTCTTGTAGTTATATCGTTATTTATTGCGAAAATCACGCTACTCTTCTACTACTAGAACTAAGTTAGCAGTTAGTCCGCCTACTTCTGCTCCTGAGTGTTGTTTGCGCTAGTAGATGAATATTACTACACACTTCCGAAAATAAAATGAGAATGAAGTCGTAGTACAGACAGATCATCTACATCCAGCAGACCCGAGACAGGAAGTCCTCAACTTATTCTTACTTCGCGATGCGAATTAAAAACATCACACACTAGTTGGACCACTTCTACTTCTACAGACAAAATGGTGGGAACAACCTCTGCGACGAACGAACAGCAGCAGAAGCTTGAGAAGGACGGTCGTGACTTGAGAAGGACGCACTTGTTTAGGAAAAAAAAAGAACAAGGGAAAACTAGAACTGGCGCATTGTAACTCATACAACAAGTTAGATAAACTGCTAACCTCTAGTTTATTCCTGACGTTGTTACTGTGAGTGATTCGTAACACAAATTAGAATCGACTATCAGTACCTAACAAGACGAATTCATATTTTTTTTACATACTATTTTTTCCATAGGACTATCTGCTGCCTCCCTTCTAAAAATAATCAATTAAATAATTATACCAAACAATTAACCGTGCTGAACATATTAAAGATTACTTAATTTGCTAACTACGTCTATTATGTTAGTGCATCCGACTCTTGACCGCGAGGACTCACATGACTCTGTTTCATGCCCACCTGTGTGCGTGTTGTGTCTTTTGTCGAAAAATTCAATTACATCAGCATTGCATTTCTTGCACAAAATGCCAATACCTGAACGTGATTTTCTTGCACGTCACGACCGATGGGCCGTGTGTCATGTCATCTGTCTAATTCGTGGTACCTCCACGACTACGACACACAAGATTCAAAATCTACTTTCTAGAATTTGCTTGTTACGGAAAATTGAAAAAATCGATTCTCGTTCTACTCCATATCGATGAAGTTGAGGTTGTAATGGATGAAAACGTGGTGAGTATCCATATGACATCTATTTACTTTGTTCGTACAACTTCTATTGCATGCGGCAACATCTAGTTGTTGTTATCTTAGATTTAGAAGATGATGAAGTAGACATAAACAACTTTATTTAAAAAACTTAAGAACATCCCCAGAATAGCGGAGACATCTTTATGCATCTTCGTTGGATGCCGGCACCGGATCAGATGAAGCTGCATTCTTATCCTTTTTGTCGCTTCCTTCCGTCGTTGTGCCCTCTGTTGGTGCTGTCGCACTCGCAGAGGCAAGCAAGCTGGTACATGCAGTTGCACCCGCCTGTTCCTGATCTGTAGTCGTACTACTGTCGTAGGTGCCAGCTCCTGCAGTGTTTTCGTTTTTGTTCTTCTTGCTGCTTCCCGCGGGAGTAGAGGAGCTCGAGGAGGCATCTTTTTCATTATTGGTCTCCTGCGGCTCCTGTTCTGGGTTCTCTTTTTCTCCACCATCACCCCGATCTTCCTTCACAGACACAGCATCTGCGTACTCCTCATCCCCCGCAGCGTCTCCTTCTGCTCCCGCTTCTGCAGGCGCTGGCGTGTTCTTGTTTTTTCTCGAGTGCTTGCGAGCTCGTCGCCCTTTATTTGATGGACTCACACTTCCTTCAGGCGGTTCCCTCAACACAAAAGGTCGGAAACTGTTCTTCTCATCCGCAATCACGGATTTCTTGTAGTGCTTGATATTGTTGTCCAAACCCTGAATGTGCGCTACCGAGACAGTACCAATTTTCGAAGAAACATTGCGATACCTGAGAAGTGTTGTATGATCATGGTCGTTGTCCTGGTAGTTCCTCGTCGTGTTACCTGCTCTTTAGAAGTTGTAGCATAAATGAATAATGAAATGAAGTAGCTCATTGTTCAAAGAAAGATTAAGATACTAAAAGAACTAATTAAGTCTAGTAAATAATGGATCATACAAATGTAGTAGTTATTGTAGTTTTCTTGTACCTTTGAAATCGGTACTCCCCGAAAATTTGCAGTGCCCGCACCGCGTCACTCGGTTTTCGAAAGTTGACGAAGGCATACCCCACACTGCTCTCGGTGCTGCGGTCGATCGGCAAATAAGCAAAACTGTATTAGATACAGGCCACGGAATTACATTCCTCAGAACATCCTTGACCTAAAAAGGAACCAAGGATGGTAGTGAGGGATGTAATTCGGAAGCCCTTAATTGTAGGTATTCTTGAACCCGATGTTAGACCTCGCCTAAGTATATTCATCTTGTTCTTAGAGAGCACCTTTGGCGCGTTTTCTTTCCCTTAAAGGAAAGGAGGACTAAGAACATGCTTCTCAAGATGAATAACGGTAACGACCCTTAACGATGGCGTCTAATTCCTGTATAAACTGCTTTTGCGTGTACCGGTTAGGAATGTTGCGAATCATCAGAGTCGTAATAGGTTTCTCCGACATTGTGTGCCCATATTCCTCAAGCAAGTCCTTGTTTCGAGGCACCATGTTGTGCTTGTATCTGATCGTGGTCAACAGGTATAAGGGAAGGGAGTATGTTAAAGAAAAAAGTTTGTTGGCAGAAGTCATTCCGCTTTTATCCATAGAACTAGAAGAAGATCTAGTGCAACGTAGTAGTTGAGGTATTTTCAGTTTTTCTTTACCAACATGATGTTGATGCAGATCAAAAAATGGAGAAGATTGAAGTACTCCACGCCTTTGTGAGCAGTTATTCGTTTTCCGCCATCTGGTTGAGTGCCATCTCCTTTACTCGAAGAAGTTGATGGTTGCATAAGACCTCCTTTCATCATCGTGTCTCCTTTAGCACCAGAAGAAGGCCCACCTCCTTTTCCTTTGCCAGTGCTGCCAGTTAGACCTTTGCTGCCTCCGCCAGCACTACCCATATCGTTTTTTTCGAAACTTTTTCCCCATGCAGTTGTTATCCTCTGATCGGCTCCTGGAGGGTAGTCGTAGTCTTGCGGATACCTAGTACTGCGGATATTAGAATTAGAAGATGAAGAGGACTCGCATTAGGGCTAATTATTCTTTTTACCCTTGTTGTTCTCAAGACACTTTCAAGTTCAAAACAATTACAGACTCAGTAGAAGTTCTTGTCGTGAACCATCAAACAAAACAGATTTTTAGCGCAACATCAGCATCTTGATCTTCTTTCCTAAATTAATTACAATTAGTACGCTTCGACAAAGACAATGTTGCAATCCATATTCATAACCCCTTTTGGCGGCGCTGCCTTGTTTCCTGGGCCACCTTTCATGTAACCTCCGCCACTCGTCATGATCTTATCTCTAGAAGAGCTACTACCACCTTTATCGGGTGGGCCAGCCATTGATTAGAGGTTGCAGAATTACATTCCCCAGAACATCCTGCAGCTTAGCCTTATTTTCCGACTAGGAAATAGGTCAAGGATGGTAGTGGATGATGTAATCTGGAAACGACCCTTAACTTGATTTCGACAGGTACATGTAATCGCGATCGCACCCTCCACAGTCGTCGTCGTACCCTCCACGAGGTCCTCCATCAAATCCAAATGGTCCTCTGTCGTCGTAGGCGTTGTAACCACCTTTACTAGTACCTTTACTATTCATCTTACCTCCACGTGAAGAAGAAGAGGTAGTTGGCCCTGTGCCGTTCAGCTGCTGATTATAAGGACTCCTGTCTCCTGCGGCTGGGTTGTTGTAGCGAGACGGAGAGTCAGAATAACGAGAAGCACTACCACCCATCTGTTCGACATTCATTTTTCCATTACTTGTTCCCTTACTCGAAGCTGAAGGAACACCCTTGTTCATACTACTTCCACCTTTTCCATTTCCGTTGCCATCATTTCCTCCAGGCCCACCCTTAGAAGTACCACTGAATTCATGTTGTTGTTGCCCCTGCCCTTGCCCTTGCCCTTGCCGAGAAGAAGATTGTAGTTTACTATTCCTGTTATCAGCAACAGCATGACTTCCAGCAGGACCTTCACCAGTTCCTTTCATAGCGGTGGAAGAAACAGATTTAGCACTGTTGTAGCCGGTAGTTCCGCTGCCGTTCATCTGATATAAGTATTAGACAAGAATACAGGGGAACAGTAGCAGATGTAGATTGATGTATCCTATCGAGTTCATCTTCATTTTCATTAAGTCATTACTAAATCAACATGATGAGAGCCTTAACCCTGTGAATAGTTTCCAATGCCTCCTCCATTTGCCGGCAAAGATGCATTGGAACCTCCTTGCTGTTCCCTGCGGTTCTCTGGTCGAAATTCTAGTGGAGCACGATATGCACCACCTTCCGCTGTGACGCCGGCTCCTGACTCAGTACTACGTGGCACGAACTCCGGAACGTTGGTCCGAAACGCGCCACCACCTGGACCAGGTTGATGACCTTGTTCTTGATGTTGACCAGCTAATGTGCCTGATCTATTATTTGCTTGACTAGCATCGGCTTGATCTTGATTAAGGAGATGGCTCTGGCTGGGAGTATTAGAAGTGCTTAGATGATTTTCAGCCTCGTTCGCTAGTGCAGTTCTAATTCGTAGTCTAAATCCATCTATGGACTTCGTTGATGAGTAGAAACTTGGGGGTATAAGCGTGGATGGATAGAAAACTTGGGGTATAAGCGTGGATGGGTAGAAACGTTGATGTGTAGAAACGTTGATGGGTAGTACTTTCTTCTGGGGTATTGCTTATGGTGGGGTATCGCATGATAATTCGTCACTAAAAACTTCACCAAGTGCAAGTTTGTTCGCAAGTCTTAGCATTAAGCAGTTCTCGCGCGACCATTTCGACGGATGCCGTTTGGCTCTCAGACGCATCTAAGGGAGCGGTCTGAATCACCTGGCTTGACCCGTTATTACCTTGCTGAAGCACCAGAGGCCGATTAGCAACCCAACCGGCGCCATCAGCATTCAAACCCCCCAACAAATTGCATGGCGGGATCTGAAGCGTCGTGTTCGTTGTTGTATCGACAGGTTGTTGGATCATGGAGGAACATCAAACAGCCACATCAAGTGCATAGCCACAAATACATGATGTTGAAGAAACAGAAAAGGCAAACATGGTATCTTGTATGTTCTGAACAAAAAAAAAGTAGCATATATAAGTAGCACGTCGTTCCGTATAACGGTGAACTTCATAAAAGAGAAGTACTAGTATACTTATATCAGAGCAATTTATAAGGTTTCACAGCTCGCATGGCATGGAGTGCATGGATCACATGGAGTAGCATGGAGCTAAAGGGGGAGCTTCTTGCGCCCCTTAAAGCTCTGCGCTCCATGCACTCCATGCTACTCCATGCACCATGCGTGCTATAAACTACTCTGTTATATATAATACATAGTATACTGGCGTTACTTGAGGCAGCTCCGGATAAAAACCGCTAAAACTCGTAGGTTGCGGTATCATCGGCAATGTGCTAGTGCTTCCGAGAACACCCTGAAGACGCGGAGACAGATTTTTAAGAATCTTCAGTTCAATTGGGAAAGGAGGAGATCTTAACCAAATCCGAGGCCAGTCGCAGTAGACTCAGTTATCTTGTTTATCTTGTTATTGCGCAATAATCATAAGGGCGCTAAGTCGGGGAAGAACTGCACAAAAGCGGCGGCGCGTGTTGCCTCCTAGTCCTGGAAGTGCTCCGCTTAGCGACTTTCGCGACTTGCTTCCCCTCGGCTTTTCTGGCTTTTGGTCTGTTCGTTTCATGCGATTCCCCGCGCCCCTCCAGAGTCCACCGCAGCAGCCAGCAGATGCGCGCGGGGATTTGGAGGGCGCCCGGGGCTCTTTGCTCGCAATTGGGGAAGGTTTTCACGAAAGGAGCGCAGTAGGCGGCGAGTGTTTGTGTTCTGCGGATTTTTGCAGTCCTTGTTTGAATTTTCTACAGTATAAGCATGAGTATCAATATGCTAGTGCTACATTCATCATGAACATTTATTAATCTCAGTTATCTTGATGTACTATACCTAGTAGGCATATATCTTCAAGAAGAACTCACTGATACCGTTGGAAATCCGCTGGCGGCCTGCAGTTGCTCTGAGCTACTGGCAGCGTAATTCCCGAAAACGCACATACCAGACGAGGACGCACCTACACGAGGAGCGCTTCCGATCTGTAGTTATAAGTTTGAATAATGTATTTTGTGATTTGGATGGAAAGGAAGCTACGCAATTGTTTCTTTGTAAGGTGGTGGAAGAGACGAATCCATAAAAAATATCATCAAGATCACTAGGTGACTGAGACTGTGCGATTGAAGATATGAAGATTACCAGACTCTCCTGTCCCGAAGGTTGCAGACTCGCATTAGACGCCAAGGAGACAGCTGATGGTGCCATCTGCAAAAATGGGGACCCCTCTGCGGATTGTCCTGCTCCGTTTACGAAGGAAGATAAGCCCGTTGTGGCGATATTCCCGCCACTCGCAGTAGTAGAGGTTCCGAGGCCAGGGATTAGAAAAAGTGAGAAACAAGGCAAGATCTTTAAGTACCAGCAGAAGATCAAGGGTAAGCGATGCGAACAATGATCGGATCAAGCTCGTTGATGTTCTTGTTTTTGTCAAGCTCTCCTCTTATTGATGAGCAAACAAGCACTCGAGTTGAACTACCCGAGTGTAAGTCAGCCTTAACACTAAATTTGGCTCGCTACTCCCACTCTGTTGCAATCGCATTGTAAGTAACTGCTGCTGCAACAAGGCTGCCAACGGATTGCCAGAACTCCGAAGAAATAGTTGCTGCAAATCTTCGCTGGAAGCTGTAGTAGGAGATTACACTGTAAAATGATCGTTCAAACACTTCTTGGTAAAATGAACATCATGGTCGACATATTAAAACAAGAGGATCTACTAAACTTAAAGTACATCCCAAGCTTCGATTTTTGCTAACATCTTGTTGGAGCGAGCTTTCCTGTAGCGTGCTGTTGTTGTTATTGCTTGTGTTAGAGGGTGAGGGGGAATATAGCACGCGAGGCTGTCACCAGACACTACTCACTTACTTGTCGAAACTGCAACAAATGTCTGTGTTCTCTGCGTGCATGAGTGTAGTTGATGCCATAAATCCTTGGAGCGACCAGTTCCGGAAGTTTTGTCCTTCCGGAATCGACGATCGTGGCATCTGGAATTCAATGGCAAAAATGGGTGGGATGCAGGTGTAGTGGTGACTAGATGAATGAGTTTGAGTTGAAGATCATTATCATAATATAATGCTTGATTCGTTCAAGATTATGACTTTGAAGTACAGATGCAAATCCTTCGAATTCGATCATGTCAAGATAAGTAGAATGCTGGGTACAACTACGGAAATTATCTTCTTAATGGACGAGAGTAAATTCAAACTCAATCACATCAATCTCGAAGACGTTCGTCTTCGAGTATCAGTACTGGACCTATAGTAAGTACGTACCTGCTCCCCTTCAGGCGAGTTAATGCGGTTCTGTTGGGACAAATGCTCACTGACGGCACGATGTAATGAATCGTAGTTCTCCGGAGTGAGGTTGTAGATTGGCTCAGCCAACCTCCCTGCGAACCCTGAACGGTCCTGCGAATCCATTTTCTTTGTCCTTCGCCTTCGTGCTGGTCTCCAAGATAACAAACTTTTTAAGTTTAAGTTTTACAAGAAGATGTAGGTAAATTTTCTTGTGGTTGTGACCTGTGCTTTAGTTTTCGTCGCGGCCGTCCACGCTTGTAGAACGAACCGTACGTGTACGTAGTAAGTTCTGAAGATATTAGCAGAAGAAGTAGCGCAAGAACGATGTTTGTCTTCTACCTAGCACCACAATGGTGGTGAAATGAACCACTGAATGACAACTCGAAGGGCTCAGTCACGATGTCGCAGCCCTCGTTGTCCGTACTAACTAGCAGGAATTGTCGATAAAGAACTTGAATTTACAAAAAAGAAGAGGTTGGACAAGGACTGCAGCAACGGCAATATGTTGATCGGAAAATGATAGCTGCACCGCGACTTTTCGCTGTAGAAAAGCGGTCAAAATTCACTGCGATGCACAGTGCGAACGGTGGCCCCTACAGTTGGGATCTCCAAGCTCAACCTCGTCCTCCATTTTGAATGCTCAAGTAGAAACAAACGTATCTATGCGATAAAACTACTTCTATTGCTTCTTCATCAATGAAAGAACACAGGTATAAAAATTCATCAAAACGAAGCTAGTAGTGCATAATGTACATACATACACACAGGGGGCGAAGCGCGGTAGCCCGAGAAGTCGTGCGCCTCAAGTAGACCAACATGCCGGCAAATCATTAAACGTAGTTTCATTACTGGAACTTCTTCTATCAACTTAATACTAGAAACAAAAGGTCGAAGATCAGCCCCAAACCTTGTTTTAAAAAATATCCAACGAAGATTGTTCGAGTCGAGTCCGAGCTGTCGCTGTGCGTAGTGGTCCTCGTTAGAGTGAAGTATCAAAATCAATCTCCACGATATTAAATTATAAACTAATATCTTCCAACAAGTAGGTACTTCTAGACAAATGATCATGTTCTTCACCTCCAAGAATTGATAGGATAGGATAGGAATTGGCCCGCCGTCCACAGTTTGGCCTGCATTCTTGGGCGCACGTCCGTTGTAGCCACAGAGTCTATAATGAGTTCGTGCCAGAAAAAACAAAAGTGATGTTCCTTCGGTGTGAGTTTGTTAATGAGTTCTTGCAAGATGAAAGTCGAGTCCTGTTCCTTCGGTGTTAGTTTGTTCCACCACTTCTTGGGTGGTCACCCCTTTCTCTCAAGAGGCTCATTCAAACCGCGTACTAGAAGGCGACCAAACGATCAACATCAACCTAGATAGGAGGTTTCCTCGACTAACTTAAACTTACCGTTGTACATAAAAATTGAAAGGCTTGATAGAGGGTGTTCTAGAATTCCTAAACTTACCGTAAGGGGGGGAGTCAAGAGAACACCTCGTCTACTTCGGTACAACATTGAGGACGAGAACCTTTTCGGTATTACAGCATGGAGATTAAATGTTCATAACACCCGATACAATCAGAACATAAGACAGTCAGAGCAGCGTGAGTGAATGAGGAATTCGTGTTTTTGCAAAGAGCTGCGATATTCTTTAGCTTCTTGTCGATGTACAACCTAGATGAGGCTGGCATTCATCTATCGTTCTTTTTCATTTTCCCAATACACAATGATGGATTGATCTTAGATTCTATGCAAGAATTACACGCGGCATATCTTATGTTGACATTTGAGTAAGTAATAGAATGGCATGGTCATGACAATTATCAGCACAAACATTGAAATACAAGCTTGTAGAGATTAGCTTTTTGACAATTTATACAGTCGTGGGTAGGTGTCAAAGATTAGCATGATATCTACACGTTCAGAAGTAACTTCCAAATTATACACACGAAGGTCATGATACATCTTATCCCTACGATCGAGCTCAAGATCATGATGTATAGTACCTGACTTCCTTGAAATTTCTTCCTTTTGTTCCAATTATGTACTACTTCTGCTATATATTTGATATTTGATTTGGTAATCAAAACGAAATGCTACATGTCTACTGCTACTCAATACTAATATTCATTTGTCTTTCATTATGAATTCAAAGTATGTACATTCCCCGGATATTCTTCATGGCATTGACATTTTTCATCAAGACGTTCACGTTTTCCAATACAGGTGGTACCACATAAAAACTTGACTTAATCTTACATATCGTCCTCATCGTTTATATTTTCTTTTCGTTTCCGAATAGCATTCTTTCAAGCTCTTCATCCTCTAATCTTTCCTGTTCACGTGCTCGCGCTTCCACCACGTTGTGCTGGTCAATCTGTTTCTGGAGTGCTATCGACTTCTCGTAGTACCCGCCAGGCTTCTCGAAGACCTCCAAATGCTCCTCCGCTTTCCATACTGGATAACGTTCACCAAAGGACCAGTATTAGATCATGTAAGTAGATCTCGTTCCGAGAGAGACCAACATCAAACAATCTACAGCGCAAATAAAAATAAAACTCATGCATCAAGATCAACATCTTCCATAAAAATATGTTATCATCTTTGAGAGTAAGTGCATCCTGGAACAACTATTTTTTAGGTCCGCCACTTCAACACGGAGGTCCCAGGATGAGGATCGAAATCGATGTGGATGCTTCTAAAGTAAGTAAAGATTGTGTAGAAACCTTAACGGTAGTTGTATGCTTGTGTCTTCCACACTGTCCGCGAATCAGAAACCAGCGCTTTCTGCTTCCCGAATTCACCTTTCAGCTTCACGAGTCTGGGATAAGGTGGATCTGTGAGGTCTTGTCCCGCACAACTATGATGGGGGTCAGCAGAAGGACGGTCAGCAGAAGAAGATGAAGTTGTATTTTGAAGATGAGTAACAATGTCACGTCCTGAGATCATTGTCTGTTCATGATCATCTGTTGCTCCCTCACGGGCAATCCGCTCTCGTTTTTCTTCTAGCATGTAGCGAGCATGGGCACGCTTCTGACACTCTGCTTGATAAGCTGCGAGCCGTTCTTTGTTGACGTAAAGAGGATGCTGCCTGGCCTCGATCTCTTTCGCAAGGTCTATCCGTCGATTGGCTTCTTGAGTCGTTCCACGGTCAGCGATGCGGACAACGTGTAGATCGGAAACGTGAGGACAATTCCTGAAAGACGAAGATCGAGAAGTAGGTAAACGTATTCACAACTTTCACCTGGTGTGAGCGTGGTATTCATCAAGCTCGGTCAGGAAAGGATCTGTTATAATTTGAGTGCTACGTCAACAAGGCTAGAAGACGAAAAGTCCATCAAATACAGCCGCAACAGCGCTCTTCCGTCAGTAGGCAAATTTCGATAGCTATTCCTGGTCCGATGCGCATATTTTGGTGGTAATTTTTCGATCTCCCAAACGGTTAGGTCTGGCTTTTCATGCTTCAAGAACTTTGGCTCTTCTTCGAAGATTCGACAAGATGTTAGAAGAGATGGATTATGATGGGACAAGTGCTGGATTCTAGTACTATGTGGTTCTTATTCTTTTCTATTTCTTGATCTTCTATCTCCTATAATCTATTAGCTAGAGGCTAGAGCTACTTCTACAACGTAGACGATTGTAGTGGATGAATTTCTAGACGATCATGCAATAATGTACGATCTCACCTATCTCCTAAATAATACTAGAGCAAAACCATAAAACTTTATCCGCCGCCTTCCATCCTTTCTCGCGCATTGAGAGATCGACATTACCAGAAATTCGTCTGCGCATTTCCTGCAACTCTTTGGGGTTCATTAGTGCGACTGGGTCTTTTGGGATTATGAAGTCGTCCACTCTCGGCCCAGGAGCACGCTGTGGACCTCGAGTCTGGTTCTTGTACTTGTTCACGTTGGAAGGTTAGAGGTAGTTGGCGAGACGTTGGCAATTGTTGTGTCACAAAAGGAAAAGGTTAGCGTTACATTTGCAAACATCTTCCTAACAGTAGCTGTGTAACTATACTACTATTTTTGTGATTGTGACTCGTCACAAGAATAGTCAGTTAGTTGCAATCACAAAGACAGTAGTTCCTTCCTTCTAGATTAGGAACTTTGCTTCGTGCATAATTATTCTCAGTCGCTTCAACAGCTGGTGTCTCGAAGACCGCGGCTTTACTTTTTCTGCCCAGAAAATGTAGTGGTCCCCTTTTCGACGAAGAAATCTGGTCCATCAGTTCTGACATCGTTGGCTTCTTTTTGGGTTAGAAGTAAGTAGCCGTAGAGCAGAGGTTGCAGATGAAGATTAGTAGGAGTTTTTTTACTAGAAAATGTTTATTAAGATGGAAGTTGGTCTTGATGAAACGGCCGCTCTACTCGATTGAGAAACGTAGATGAAAGTCGAAGGACAACATCAAATCAGTACTGGCATTCTAAAAATGAGCATTATATATTCGAACATTATTTGACGACTCGAACCATAATTCAGACTGAGACCCAACGTTTCTATCAAGTCCTGACCTCGGGCAGATTGTTGCATCAATTTCGCTCGTGCGGCCTCGCGGTCAGGCGAGGGCGACCGGCTACGAGCCGGAGACGTCGAACGACTTCTACCCATCTTGGGCCCGCACCCACTTCTAGTACTTGCTCTTTCTGGTTGTGCGATGCGTCTAATCGTGCTATTGCTCCTGCTGGTAGTATTAATTTGGTCCGCAAAAAGAAAAAACGTATGGTGCAGTTCGCTTTAGAGTACGGGTCCGCCCCCGCCCGGAGAGTGCTCCCATATCACTGCCGAGCCATCGGGCGTGGAGGTTTTTGGTAGTTACCAGGGGCCACCCACTAGTTTCCAACTCGGGAATGTACGAAAAAGGAGGCAGAAAGAGGCGCAGCCTAGTGGGTGCACGGGCTTGAAAGTAGTGCCAATCTCAGTTCTAGGAGCTTGGATTTTCTGCACCTACATACTACATATCTAGCAAATTTATGCTTAAATTGTTCCAAACAAACTTCGTTGCAATTCGCTTTAGAGTACGGGTCATTCGTTTTACACTGCGACGTCCCCCCAAAAGCCATATTATGAACTCTCCAATCATCGCGAATACTGCAAGCGCTGTGAAAACATACATAAAGATTATAGAGATGACGCAGAAAAATACGAAGCAACCCTGTAGGCGGGTACTATAAGGAACAGGACTCCCATCCCATCGTTTCGCACCAGTGTAAATTAATCGATCAACAAGAAAAATATACAGGCATATACAAATCAAAACACGATACAAGAATTCGTCTGGCATTGTTCCAATGATTCAAGTATAACAAACATGAATGGGAAAAAATCTTGGGGAGGGGAGAGATCAAAAATTCCTTGAACATCGAGGATCCTGTGGGTGGAGGAAAGAGGTGATAAAGAAGATGCTGTGGTCAATATGTCATATATAACTATCTTTACAAAAATTCCATACTTCTTGTCTTTTATAACATGTAGTCAATGTCGACCTGTAGTTGATCATGGGGCAAATACTCACGGTCACGCCTTATTGACGTGGATCAAATACTCACGCATCCATCATCACGATGATCACACGACCTCATAGTAGACGCTCGAAACTCTTTCTCTAGTGTTGACATAGAAGTTGTTTCTCTTTCACTCACAGAAGCAGAATCCGCTGAACCGAATCTTGTCACATTTCCAAGGCAAGCACTACTTAGGCGTAACATTTCCAAGGCGTCTCTTGATCAATGTCGCACGAAAGTCATACGCGTCGCTCGGGTCCATAAACTTGAAACCAGTGAAACTTGAAAGCAAGGTATACAACGGATTTAAGGATATCAAATACAAATAAATGAAGTCTAAGGTCTATTATATGGATTTCAGGATTCATACAAAAAAGAATGTCGCATCAGAAGCAGAATCGTTATCCGCTGAACCGAATCTTGTCACACATGCTCTCGAACAACACACATACAACAAGCTGTTTGCAAGTTGTACCTGGTGCTACCGTTTTCGGTGTTTTCTTGCAGTACTACGAGGATGGTCTATTCGAAAAACTGAAATAAGCGATTAACTACTGAAAATAAGCGAGATACTGAACAAGGAAGAGTAGCCCTGTCAAAGCTACCTCACTTATTTCAGTCAGTAACTCGGTTATTTTCAGTTTTTCGAATAGACCATCGTAGTACTGCAAAACAACGGGAACGGCCCTCCTTTTCTTCGAACCTGATTGATCCTGATTTTGACCACTACAGTTGTTCTCGCAATTGTTCTACAATCAGGAAGATCAGTTGTATCTTCATCTTTAGCGAGAATTCATCTGTGTTCTTTTCGTGGCTGCAGTGTGCCTACTAACCTCCTGCGTGTCTCTTGTGCTACCGCTTCGTTTTACATTTTTCAGGGGGAAATGTTTATGCTGGGGGATCGATATGATAAAGCTATTTGTGAATCATCCTTTGTGAAGAACAATTTGAATGTGCCTCGTATTCGGAAACAGAGCATACGCTTGTGCGCCAAGATATGGAGGAATGTGTGTAAGATGGCAGACGAGAAGATTCAGCGTCAGGTGATGTCGGATTGGCGGAAGGAAACTATGGCGACTTCTATGTTGCACTCCGGAGCTCATTCACCAGGAGAAATATGCGTATGCTTATGTTGCTCAATATGTTAAGTAGAGCCATTCGAAGAGGACAGTTTTTAGCTATTAACCTCCGCCCCTCCAAAGTACTGCTCGCATGATAGTTTCACATCCCAGTCATATCGTTTCAAAAACCTCCTACATTCAGCTTCCGTTGCTTGGGTTACCTGTTGCATTTCTGCTACTTTTCTACTCTTTTCAGTATCTTCTGTTTTCGCTCGGTCCTTCTCCTCTTCCCTAACTTGCCGTAACGCCTGCACTACAGCCTTATGCTGACCGGTCTGTGTCGAGCAGGTATGTTTTTGTGAGAGTGAAATCGGATTGGTTTATTGTACTAGTGGAATAAGTTGTCTACGATTGTTCTTGGAGCGTCGAGTGGAAGTGTCATCGGATTTGGCAAATACAATGATGAAAAAGTCATGTCCGAGAAGTGTAGTGAAGCAAATAAGTAGATATAAAGATTACCGACGCTTTCTGCTTCGATTGTTCCTCCCTCTGGATTTCCTTGCTCAGCTTGGTTTTATAGAGCTCAATATACCTCTTCGGTAACTGAAATAAGTCGTCAAGCTTATAAGTCGGCACTGGATTCTCATAGGATCGGATCTGTATGGTCGACGATGGTGCATTGCAGCAGGTGGAGTTAATAAGTAGAAGAAGAAAGCATGATTTGAAACATGATACTAAGGATCACGAAGTCAAGATATCTAAGTGGTGCTTACTTACTTTCATTATAACATTGTTGAACAGTATAATTTTTATCGTCCATAAACATTTCTAGTAGGCCTGGTTAATACCTCTCGCGGCAACGATATGACCGCGTTGTCGTTTTTAGTGCTTGATGAGACCGGGAGTTGGACAAAATGGGCGCTTGCATATGCCGGCTCGCCATCCCATTCGGCATAAGTTGTCGACAAGAAGTGATCCCTATGTATTTCTTCTCTTCCGAAGTGACCCACTATCGGTAAACCAGCCATCTTTTTGTTTGTAGTTGGTTATGTTTGTTGGTTGCGGAGGTTGAAAGTCGTGACGAAGTTCCAGTTCGTCGATGATTCAATACGAAATTATCACGCAGATATGTAATGGTCGTTTGATATTGATAGATTGTTCAGTTTTTCTCGTCGTTTTGCAAAAAATTTGTTGTCTCGCTTTAAGTACTTATGATAGATTCTTCTTGTGGTTTTTACGTGGTAGTTTTAAAGGAAAAAAAATATCAAAAAACCAAATCAAGACTCTACCACCCCGACTGGGGGAAGCCGCCTGTGGAAACGGTAAAGCGCAAATGGATTTATGAGGTGAAGGGCCAGAAGCAAAGGTCTTTACAAGGACGACCATTTTTGATCTTCACCTTGTCGTGTTTCAAGAATACAACAAGATCTTAAACTGTATCATTGAAGACTCACGTGTTGCTGCTGACGCAATTCATGTCTAACCTGGCTCTGATCTCATCACGTCATCCGTAGAACAAGGAGTGAACAACTCGAGCAACGAACTTGTTGCGCTGCATAGAAAGTTCGAGCATGAGCAAAAGTACTAAAATTTTGTGATCTTGAACCTTCTACTTGTTGATGTTGACATTGCCGCGCAACGATCAGTATAGAAAGCAGCGAAATCGTCCCGAAAAGATCGTCTTCTCAAGGGATGGGGAATCAAGACGATTCAAGAGAGGGACACCAGGGAATCTACTTCTACTGTATTCCTATAAAAAAACCATAAGAATCATGTACATGTTGTTCAGGATTTGATGATGGCGTGGTATGTGTATGTCATGAACGACAGGGGAATAAGAATAAGATTAAGATATTCGATCAGGCATGGATGATGCTGAGAGAGTTCATTAAGTTTTCCAAAAACACCCCTGCAAACTCTTTCTAGCGACAAAGACGAGGCCTCATCTGTCACGCGTCTTCCACGTGACCGCATCGATCTTTTCGGGTCAAGCGCAATCGCTTCGCGCAGAGAGAACGATACGAAACTTGTTAGTAACCGGCGTCACCAGGAGCCGTGGTCTTGTTGGGACGGAATGTGTAGTCACCGGTTCGCTCGTCAGGGTAAAGAACGAGTTGAACCCAAAGGCATTGCTGCGTTCCCTCCGCAGAAACTAAGAACGCTTGTGGCTGTGACCGCAACCACCTCTCAAATTTTGCGATCACACCTTGTAGTTCAAGTAGTTGTAGTTCAAGTATGAGTAATAAAAGATCACAATGTTGCAGCAGCCGTGTGTAAAACGACTTAAAAAGGTGGTGTCTTCTCTGTGTCCTCTTACGGCTCTAAAAAAAGCAAAATAATGTTGATGAATGGAGATGGAGTAGATTGTAGGTTGTAGTTGTTTTAAAACTATTAAAATACTAGATCAGATTGTTCAGAACAAAAGTTATAAAGTAGTAAGTACTCTTTTTCAATGCGATTATTTGCGGATGCTGAGCCAAATGATTCAGAGGTGCCGCTGGAGGCTCCCGCTGTGCAAGGAAATCCACACAGGCTTGCCCAAGCATGTTGATTTTTTCTTCCTTCTCGTCTGGAGTCAGGTGTTGTTGTTAGACGAGCTAGCTTTTCCTTAAAGTCATAAAAACGTCTTCTTGACTTGTTTTTCAGGATCGATGGCAACTAGAATTATGCTCTATGCCTTTTACGCCACAACTTATGTAGAGCTGGGTAAGTAATTCAGCAGCCGTAAGTTGGTCCCGAGAGGTTTGCTTCGCTCGTTACGGCGTGCGCATAGGATGCCAGGATGCCACCCCCAAGACCGCCACGGGTTTCTGCACTACCACAGCTAAGACTGCTATGATGCTGCTGAGCACCGGCAGCGCCGTACGCATACCCAGGCGCCGCTCCAGGCTTCGTATTGTATTCGGTCAATGCGAATGTTTCGTGTCTTAGCTGCAATAGCTCTTCAAACTGTTGTCGCAGTGCTGCCTCAGTCGCGGTCGATGACCGAAGTGTCCTGGGAAACAAGAGAGTAGTTACTTATATAAATATTATGTAGAAGATCAAGATGTTGCACTTAGGCCCTTTCAATTTCATGCATCTATAAATGTAAATCATGATTGAACTTGAAGTGTAGAAGCACTTTCCAGACGTATAATAAACTCATGGTTTGCAAGGATAGAAACGATGAAGGTCAAGAACTGCAAGTACAATATGATGCATCTCTTCATAAGGAGAGTTAGTACCCGGCCAAATTCGTCACCATGTATTCGTATTGCGCCCAAGCCTCGGCATTTGATGCCGCAGAAGCCCACGATGACGCAGAGCAAAAGCCAGAAGCGTGGGACTTGGTAGCTACTCCCGCACCGACAGAACCGACGGAGTCAGCGCCACCAAGTTTAGACTCCGGGGAGGTTGGTAATGTGTAAGCCATAGACGCACGAGGACGGGCCCCGAAAGTGACGCGCAGAAAACAACCGGCACGCACGGGGACGGACCTCACGGGCAGCGCGGAAGACACGAACACGCGGGGACGGACCACGGGGGCAATTTGTGAAGCAGGAATAGGGCGCACGGGACCGATCCCGGAGGTATTTGTGTGACAGGCGACAATGGTGCCAGATTGCCGGGTCGCGTTGGGGTAGTTACTCACAATTGGTTTCACTTTCATGGAGGATGTTTGTTTACGTCGTGTCTGCGTCTCATGTTGCAGATCCTGCATTTTGTTCCTGCGACTGCTACCCTCTTCTTACTTTTGATGACTCGCCGTTCTTGCCTCGCACATCCTCGGGACCAAGCACTTTCTTAAAGAAAAAGTCACGTCAATCTCAATTATCAGTAACACTTAGTATATAACTTCTAGCCATAAAAATTGCGCGCGCAGCTGTTCTCTCATTCGTATTCGGGTCAAGCAGTCCTGTCTCGTACGCTTGACAGGTTGCTACCGAGTTTCCGTTTTCCAAGATCGCAAAGTAATCGTCGTAGTACTCTGATGTCGTGTTAAAGATATTCTATCGTGAAAAACACAGGCGTTCATAATATTAGGTCTTGATTGATGCCATGGAAATTGATGTGCATAGACATGGCTTCGTTTCAAAAATATTCTGTATCCACAATGACCAAAAGAACCAAAGCGGCCATAAAGTTGAAGTACTCAAAATCTTGCTCAGTTTCCTATCGTAGCCGAGAGGTATCGCAGCGATTTTTTCTCGAACTCGTGTATCTTTCATCAATTCGCCCATGCTGCAAAGGCCTCTATGCTGCTTACTGTTCACGATCTCTGCCACGATAGGTATCAAGCCATCTAGTATCGTTCGATACTCCTTATCCTCCACGGTAAGCTCCTAGATGAATTGACCATTTTGATGAATTTCGAGGAGCACACAAGTAGAAGTATCTGTATCACAAGTATTTTCTATCTTCATTTTTGTCATTCTCTGAAGTTTTTAGTTTTACCATCTTATGCTTATGGAATAAAAGTGTAGTTGACTTCGCTATGGAACAAAAAAGTACCGCTTCGGAATGACCACTTGCGTCTCCCGTCATCGTCAACACCCGGAGGAAGCCGATAACGCTCGTGGAACAAAGACGCTTCTCCCGGAGGAAGCCGATAACGCTAGAGACGCTAGGTTGCGAAAGACGCTATAATCTGCAAGACGGCGAGTTATCTTGTTCGCTTATTTGTCGTGAGATAAGACGCACCACTGACTCGCAAAGGTGGATACTGAATCAGAAGCAGTCGAAACAAGAAAATCGGATTTGCTTCCGGGTCGGCAAAGGCAGCGAGTTATCTTCGTCTATTTTTCGTGAGATCACTTTTCGTTTTCATCCGACGAAGGAGTCTACGGCTGTGTGCCAGTGACGATGTCTCGGAAAATGTCGCGGCTTCGACTAAATCAGTTCTGAGATTCTCACTACCTAGGAGAAAATGCTTGATCCGCTAAGGCGAAACCTGATATACAACACGCTTGTCCAAGTCCCCCGTTAAAAATATTTGTATTTCCTCCTTCAAACCAGTGAAGGAAACGAGCGTGAACTGGTCTCGACGACGTGGTCCCGTGAAATACTCAGCTTCGCATACCTCCAAGCGAAAAGAAAAAGAATAACTTTAAAGCCAAAGAGTGTAAGGCATTGATTTAACGATCTTGCTGGGAATGTTGTGAAGCTTTCAGCAGTAGTGTTATATGTACAAATGTACTTACTACAGCCTGCTCAATGCGCCCCAAAAGAAGAAACTGTTTGCTCCAACGTGGACGTGACAAGAAGTTTAATTGCAATAGGAAATTAGCAACGCCGGCGTTTTGGTAGAGATCTCTCCAAGAATATAGATCGCGCGTTTTGGTAGAGATCGAGTATTAGTCCGCGCTAGACACGGTTGTGCGTTTCAGCAAGTGACGACAAGATACGAAGATGCTCCCATCAACGAAATAAAACATATCATGTTCTTGAACAAGATGAATCCTGGTAAGTTGTCGTGTCTTAAGGAGCGTGAATAATTAAGGTGGTAAATCAGAAACGCAAATTCTTAATGTAAGAGTCTAAGTTCTGTCGACTTAATAGACCGATCAATTTATGTCTCACTACCCTACGACGCCTCATTCAGAAATCCTGTGGTACTAGTACTCGTCCTGTAAGAGTAGAAGAATCCATGTAATCCTAAGCGTTAACATTCTTCTATTTATACTAGACGAATATCAATATGTAATGAAGAGTTGTCAATGGATCGCTCATAGAGAGACGCTGGAGGAGTAACATGATCTATCATCAAGGTGATATTGCTCAATTTCACGGAGCAACCATGACGGCATGATCTGAGACTAAGACTTGTTAGTCAGCCACGACGACCACCATCAAAGCTGATCAGCATTTGGTCAATGGCAGTTCTCGGTGAACAAGAATGAAAGCTCACAAGAATTGTCTTTCACTGTCGGTACAGACAGAAGCGCGTTGGTTACGACGAGAACACTTCTGTGGCAACCGATCATCGGGAGATCATCTCCAATACTCAGCAGTATTCAGTTGAGATGGAACAATTCAAAAACTGTACCTACAACAAACAACTGGCAGATTCTGGCGCTTTGCTGCAAGATTTTCTGGTAAAACATAGATATCATATACTGACTCCTTCTTGCTTCACTGTATCCGCGTTTTTGTATATTTCCTGGCATCAAGTTTAAGCTAGTTTATATCATCAACTTCTATTGCTCCCATCTTGTGTCTCTGGCCGAATTTTGCGTACTCTGTTGCGGATTTCATTAGAAACTCCTTTTCTGAATCTTTTAGATTTCTTAGGAATTTTGCAGGTCGTCCTCCCCAGAGCTCTCCGGATTTGACCCTCGCGTTAGAAAGAACAAGAGCGCCAGCAGCGACGTAAGCGCCAGACTCGACAACAGCAAAATCCATTACGCAAGATTGCATACCTGGGAAAGCTTACTTATTTTGTTGAAAGGGCTAAGACTCTAGACAGAGGTAAAAACTAACCGGTTGTTTATAATAAAATCTATTTATATTTCGAGATGCTCAATATAGCTTCAGCTTGTAGGTGAGACACAAAGACAAACAGAAGAAAGCCCCTGAAGACCATGACCACTCTTGAAGAAAGTGTAGGAAGTTGCTGAGGAGGAGGCAATCGATCTAGTACCAACGAAGCTCCCGCTATGCAGTGTGCACGCGTGTATCAGACAGCTGTGCCCGATCGTGACGTCATCGCCTATGAGTGTCGGATTTGGCTTGCATCCGCCTAATTCTCCCGATCTCACGTGAATCACGGTTCCGTCTTGGATGTTGCTTCGTTTACCAATCCGAATTTCATTCACGTCCCCTCGCAGCACACAGTTATACCACACAGAAGCGCTGTCGTCGATTGTCACATTCCCTATCACATCGGCTGAGGGAGCCACGAAAGCTGACTCAGAGATTTGAGGTTTGGCTCCTTCGAAGGTGCGGACTGCGAAATAGCGCTTACTGAAAGTTGATGTTGAGCTAGAAGAAGCACTACTGACTCCGAGTTCGAGCTGTAGAGGCCGAGGAATGTTGTTGTGCATTGTCGTTGCTGTGGCGGATCTTGATGATGACGGCGCGAGTATGCCTCGTTTGCTCAGGCCTGGGCATGCGATATTAAGGACACGCTGAGCGCGTGTCGTGCTGAACGAGGATGCCATATTTTTGGTTATTCTACAAGTCGAATGGTTTTGCTTCGCTTTCTCATTGACGCCTGACTTTTTCTTTGTTATTTCATCATTGAACAATTCTCCCATCTACCACATCGAATTCTCGTCCTCTCAGCGCTACAACCGGGCTCGGTCAGCCTCAAACTGCGTGACTTTTCAATGTCATTCTGATTTTCCCTTGATCATTCATTGCCTGCGGCTTTTCATCCCCATGCGCGTTCGGTGTCTTTGTAATTGCTCCCAAGTGGTGATGCCTTCTAAGTGGGGTTTTCTGCTTCTCAAAAAAACAAAGATAGTTCACGTTCAAGGTCGTATTGCTAGTTAAGGTTGAGCTCATCTACCTGGTATCTACCACGATTAACATCAAGTAATAGGTTTATTATATATAAGTATTCAATCGGCAAATCTAAGAAGTTAGGAAAGAAATCATTCTATTTGACAACTGTCAAACTACAGGATATTTCCTGTTCCCGGAACACAGACAACTACAAGTACAAACCAACTGTGCAATAAAAACGAATCAGGACGGTTCCAATCATTTTCAAGGACGGTAACACAATCGCAGATTCTAATGTAACTACATAGCGACAACGAATGACATGGCCGAGTTGTACTATTTTTCAGTGCTGAGGGTCGTGGCGCTTTCATCGTAACGAAAATAATATTCGAGTCCCTTCACGAATCCACTTGCTTCACGCGAACCTCAATATCCCCAATTTCATCAAGTCGCCGCCTGCACCTGCTGTTTCTTATCCTCTAGAGAAGCTGCTTGTAGTATCCCGATTAAATCGTCGTAGTACGAAAATCGACTGCGCATGGCTTCCCGATGAATGTTGAAGCGGTACGTTTCCCAACTTTGATTGTCGAAATGGCGACTATACATGTCCGCTTGCGCAACTTGATTCCCCAAACAGTGAAATATCGCTGCCCAAGTTGTTGTCCGACCGAAAGAAGCTACTAACCTGGCACAGTCAAAGAGTTAGAAGACTTTGAATGATTCATTTTTTATAAATGATTCATTTTTTGACAAAAGCTATTTCTTCTTCATGCAAAATGAAGAATAGATGAGCGTGAGACTTTGTTCTGATCCTATTAAAGTGATAAATTCCTATATCTATTATAGTGATAGACTTTGTTCTGATAGGATTCCTATATCACGATGATCACTGACACTCAAAATTCCCTCAAAAATCCCTCAGATAGTACTAATTGTAAGTAAGTACTTCGCATGAAATTCTTTTTCGGTTTCGAGCAAGTCATGCCACGCCTCTTCCGAAGATACTTTGTCGACGTCGCGTTTTAACACTGAGAACATTTCCTCCCAGGTCCGCTCTCTTTTTCTCGCAGACACCTGCCGCTGATGTTCCCGGTACAAGTTGTTCCACTTACCGCCACCTCTCTGTGCAGCAGTGCAGGCAGAAGCTCCGAGCTGATATGATGGGGGGTCTGGTCGTGCGCCAGGAGCAGTATTGCTATTGTTTATGTAGTTTCCAGTTGCAGCTAATCCGCCAATCATGTTACCTAGTACACCTCCTGTAGTGAAGGATGTTGAACTACTTGAGCTAGAAGGAGTGCTCCTCCCGCTCTTCTTGTTGTCAACATCATGATTTGGCGTTGTATTTGAATGATTACCACGACTACTGGGGTTGTTGGACCCTCCACCTCCAAACCCGTCTTCCTCGTCAGACGATTCAGAAAGACAGTCGAGCATAATGCTGTTATGCCTAGAAAGAGATGCCGCCCGGCGGGTTGGACATCGGGGTCGCTGTTGTTGATCCGTTGATGTTTTTATAACATCTTTCTTTGAAGGGATATTATGATTTAGAGGACTTCTAGGACCATCTTCCGCTTCAAGAACCTCATGATGTGTATGATCCCCAGGACTGTTACTCGCATTTGCTGTTAGGAATCCCTCTTCCTCTGCTGCTGAGGAAGAGCAGTTTGTTGTGACAGTCATATGGCTCGCTGTCCTCGCTGTTGGCCGAAATGAACTTTCTTGAGTTAGTACTCCTGCTGTATTTCCTCCACCTCCAGACGAGGAAAGGTGAAAAGAAACTAGCGCTCCACCTCTTCCTCCATTTGATCCCGCCCGGGCTCTAGTACTAGATGTTGTTGTACCAGCATTTTGTTCGAAACCATCACAAGCACTCTTGCGAGGACAACGACCAGCACTTGTTTCACTGCCATCACTCGTCTGGTTACCTCCGCCGCCACTCGCAGAGGTCATCTCTCCTCGACCAGTTCTTCTACTACTTGACGTGGTACCAAGATGAGACGCACCACCATGAAGAGGACCATGCAGTCGACCCATACCACTTTGATGACCTCCGCCAGCTGATGAGGCTTCGCATGAACATGATCTACCCTCAACATCCACCTCAGAAGAACAGGACTGAGCCGCGTTGGCTTTCGCACTTGCACGTCGTTTTTCTCGGTCAGGCTTCTCGACTGTGACACTGACAACACGCAGGCCACCCATAAAAGACGAGGCTGGAGCTGGAACAGCAACAGCACCTGTAGTACTTCTACTAATCGCAGGACCAGTAACACCTGTAGTAGTAGGTGTACTTCTACTTGTTGATGTCCCGCTAGTGTGATTAAGATTATCCCCCTTTTTCTTTTTCGAGGATGCACTTCTGGTCTTGATGAACTTCCTCGTTAAATCCGGTGCTTTTGGCGTCGCCATATAAGGGTCGCTATCAGGTGGATGTTCGTCCTTGACAATATCTTCAATACTCAGAGCCCGAGCCTGGTGGAGAAAAGTTTGAGGAGAGGATAAGTGTAGATTAGGAAGTGACAGCACCCGAACAATAATATGAAAGTCCAGCACGGCAAGAACTTACTCGATGAACAAAAGCAAGTAGATTAAAAAGTAGTAAGTACATTTGAAGATGCTTCCTTGCTTCGTCTCCCCGTGCCTCCACCCCGACTTGAAAGTTTCGCAACGTCGCGCCCTACAACTCCGTAACTAGGACGTTGAGGAAGCAAGATATGACCCTCGGAACCGGACGCGCTTGAGCAGCCACGAGGTGTCGTAGAGTCCCGAAAATAGTCTGACTCGCCTTCACCGCTCAAAAAGTTGCTCCGTCTATTTCCTGTCGTGTCACTTCCACTAACATTCGATGGGCGCGACGGCAAGGATTTTGGGTCGGTTCTTACCACCTGAAAATTGTGTTCCTCATCATGTTGTTATCGGAGTTGAAACAGAAAATTTTCCACCACATAATCCGTGGGGTATAGATTTCATTCAACATTTCTTAGAAAGAAGTGGGCCAAAAAAAAAATACAAATAGCAGATATAATTAGTACGGCCCCAACATCCTTTCCGCCTTTCGCTCCTATCACTACCGGAGCCCTACGTTCTCCTGGTAATTGCTTCTCTATTGCGTCTCTCACCACTGTCATGTCGACGCTTGGGTCTCCGTCAGAGTCAGACGGATCCTCCGGTGAGTCTGGTGCAGCCGCAGGAATGATGATGTTATTCCTTGTTCGTGGAGGTGGGAAGCACGGTTTATTCGTTGTACTATGGTGTCCTGATGAAGACACGCTAGCAGGGGTCGCATGGCCGCTTTTGTTGCCTGCTCCGCTTGGGTTTTGATGTTGCTGTCCAGCAGCTTGTTCTGCGCCGGTAGTTGTTGCGCTACTCGACGATGGAGCCCCACCGTTATCCTGTAGATCTGCAGGGGAAGCTGTGCTATTGCTATTGGCAGTCAGCTTTTTTTTCTTCCTCTTTTTGCGCGACGCTGCTGATTTCACACATGCCGGTGGTGCAGCTGTGCCTGTACCTCCGCCAGCACTTATTGACACTGCCGCAACATCCCCCGTCGATGAACCCCTACTTTGTAGCTCAACGGCAGCCTGTTGCTGAGACATGCTAGTTGAACTACTGCTAGCTGAAGCAGCAGTGGACGCAGAAGCAGATGTTGACGAGGTCGCAGATGAACTAGAGGGTCTTGTTTGAACAGAGTGTTCACTATACGAAGGCATTTTGGACGAGGACTTTAATGATGTGCCTACCACCTGCTGCAGCTTCTCTCGTCTTGAAGTATAGGGTGAAGGAGAGGAGTCTTCACGTCCTGACGTTGCTGCTGCTCTAGTAGCTGCTTTAAGCCTACGAGTCCTTGTGCGACCGTTGCGCTTCGGCTTCGTAGATGGGATTTTTCTCTCTACTTGTTGTTGTTGATCTTCAAGTTCACTTCTATTCTTGTCCGTAGTTACCAGAAGATCCCCAACGTCAACATCAAGACCAGAGCCTGCACAAAGAGAAGAAGCTGCTCCCCTAGAGCGCCTCCCAGTATCTGCAAGGAAACCTCCTTCTTCAGCAGTTCCTCCGACACCTCCCGTAGTTGAACAAGACGTTGTAGGCGTGCTCGCTACACCCGGTAATGGCGGAAGTAGTCCCCGTTCGATCAAGTCTAGCAGACCTGCTCGTTCACCGGGCGATCCTGCTGCATCAGTTTGAACAAAAACAAACTTATCCGGTGCCGTCAACTGCGCTACTTGCAATTCTTCCCACCTACGTTGCAAGGCTCTTGCCGAATACAGTTCACGAACCCGTTCTAATTGCGTCGAGTCACCCTCTGCGGTCAAATAGATGTCCATGAAGTCCTCGTGTACCTTCGCAAACGTTCTCTCCTTGTCATCGGGCGTAGAGGTTAGAACGCAGAGAGGCCCGTGCTCGGCCGCCGCAGCCAATAAAGCCTCATCCAAATCGGGATCCCACATACCATTACCATGTCTTCCTAAAAGTTAACCACGATTTCTGTCCAAAAATTGACTTATCTTTCTCACTGTCCTATGTTGCTATTAAACCTTCTAATATGTTTTACTCGTGCGTATGAATTTCGAATCTACGACATTCCCTTTTTGTTAAGATGAAGATTAGATGATTCTTAGTGGGAAAAATCGAGTCTTTTCAGAAGTACACAAATACGTTTTCCACCGCGATAGGGTAGCTAGTCGGTGTCTTGTTGCATCAGGCGGCTACTTTTGCTCTCTCTGCTAGGCTCTCTTTATCTACATCGATGTCTCACGGGATTGACCGAGACGAGGCCGAGACGAAATGGCCTCTCGAATCGTGGTGTGTAACTTCCGTTTGATGAAGCTGTAACGATAAATGCTGGACGTGGTTACCGAAAAAAACAGATGTAGTTCATACGATGTCATCGAATTTCATGAAAAAAGCACCAGACCGACGGTGAAAGAAACGCAGACTCTCGCCTTGGATGAAGGAGCACTCAACAACAAAAAACGAAAAACATACCGGAAATTATACTCAATCTCTTCTTACCCAATCATGATCCCAATGCTCAATGTGCGTTCTTGGAAGTTCTTGGAAAATAAAATAAGACCACTGACTTCTACCAAAAGACTTGTATGTGCGGCGAATACAGCAAGGCAAGAATATTCACCAGATGACTGAAAGAAATAGCAGTAGCAGTCATAGAAGAAATACGAATACCATCTTCTCAGATTCAACAAAGGTGAAAGGAAAATTTTTATATCTTATATATAACACTACTTCATGATCTTGATCTTCTTGTTTTCTCTATAAAAATACAATGTTGGGCTGTTTGTGATCAGAATGAAACTTCGAAATAAAAAAGAACTTGGACTTTCACCTCCGCGATCGTCTACTTCCAGAAGTTGAGCGTCAACGAGTAGGCACATCATAGCAGACTACTTTGATGAGAAGTTACCAGTGCTGCAATGATGTTCAGTACCAACTACCAAGAACGCGCACTTTTTAAGGAAGATTACGACGAAAGCGGCCAGACACGAATAGGTGCTTCACTATGACTGCGGATTATGACTAAAAACACTAAGTTCTTCTATGTAAGCATGTACCTCTTTCTTACCATAACCATTTCCATCTACTTATTTTCATGATGAAACGCATTTTCATCTGTCTCTATGGTTTTAGTACACATAAAATTATCATGCTGAAAAAAACATCATCATACTGGCGCATATAGTTGTCTGCGTCGACATTTATAAATATATTTATATATCACTTCACAAGAAACAAGGTCAAGAAACTGTTTCCACCAATAGATCCATCAGATGATGTGACTTAAGTCACGCGTGCCCGCGCGGGTAAAAATAGTACCATCCTACATGGATCAGCGGCACCAACTCGGTGCTGGTGGATGTTAGACTTTCATTTTTTAACTAAGAGCCGTAAGTAGACCCTGCTCGTCATATACATATATCAGTCAAGAAGAAATATCTTCAACTCTAAATGAGTGTTCGCTCATAAGGGGTCGACGATAATTCTGCACCTGCTGCACAAATCGCAAGAATGCAAGGATCCGCGCGGAGTTGCAGCACGACGATGCATGGTTGTTTCAACAAAAATAGAAAATGACAGGTTTAATTTCTCTTTGTCACACTCACACAAAACGAAGTAATCTTCACACCAGGCTTTTTTACTCTGTCAAATAATCATCACCCTGCTTCCCTCGTCCTCCATTCTCATCCAAAACCGTGACGATGATGATGGTGTTGATGATGATGCTCTTGCTGCTCATATCTAAATCTATAACATTTTTTCCTCTATTTCTTCTAATAAATATTCAAAACCGATACCACTTCAGAAATAAATCACTCTGTTTGAGTTTGTGAAACTTGTCTTCATTCAACAAACTGCTTCTACCCTTGCTTGTTCCACGTCTACCAGTAAGTACAAGTCAACACTCTTTGTTCTCATCAGTAATATATTCTTACTCTTATTCTATATTCAAATTATTCACTTACATTCTCGCTATTTTTACGTTGATCTCATTATATTTCAAATAAGATTTTCCCCTATTGCTCATCGTGTCGTCCCCTCTCCACAATTTGTTGTCAGCAACGACTTTCCACTAGATTTTTCTGGAGGTGACCATGAATTGCTGTAGTGGTTGATCTTCGTCTATCCAACAGATTAATAAGGCTTAAGTACACGTTTTCATCTAACGCCCCTTTCCGTTCATGCCACTGCTGGTACTGCCACAGCAGCAGTCCTCGTGGTTGTTGTGACCCCAGGCACAGCAGGTGTTGCTGTTGTGACCGCCACCGCCTGGGCCTGCTCTCCTTCTCTCCCACCTACAACTTGCATGATCCCAAGCCTTGTCCGATTGACGATAGTATACGGATCGCTCTCTTCTTGGCTGCTGTGCTCACTCAAATCATGCAAAGCTGATAGTTCTAAGTCGCCATCCGCGAATATCGCTCCACCCCCTGCGCCATCCTCTTCGCCAGAGTCACCACCATCATCGGAGGAGGACTTTGAGCCATGGGGAAGTTGTTAGAAGAGTTTGAGTTGTAGCTGGAGTAAGCAGTAAGGCAAGTCACTATAAGTAGTAAAAAATTTTGATCTTTTTGATTCATCTGTGTCATTATACTTCACGGGTACTATCTGTTGTTACTTGTTGAAATTCTTGACGTTGACCATCACCATGGAACCATAATCAATTCTCACTTGTTCAACATTTGGATCTGTTACAGAAGCTCTCTTCCGTCTGCGTCGCTCCTGTCTTCTTTGTTCCTGCTGAGCCACGCGACGTCGTCGCATCGCCTCTCGTCTAACCTGGTCGCTCTGCTCGCGCTGTGAGGGACCGATAGGTTAGAAGATGACTCTTGATAAAGCAGAAAAATTTCACTGCCAGCTGTACTAATTTCTTACCAAGGAAGATCCACCAACGCGTACCACGCGTATCAAGAAAATCTACAACGTTATATAAGATAACAGAGTTCAAGAATTATATGAAATATTTCAGTCTTAAAAAGTCAATTCCGACGCTGGCGCAGAAGCGTTAGCGACACCCGCAGTCGCGCTTGCATCTTCTTGATCGCTCACCTCCTCTGACTCGTCTTTGATCATCACCAGTTCTGTCTTCGCATCAACAGTTCTCTCAACTTTTGGAGCTTGTCCACTACTAGAACTGACACCCAAATCAGTACTGACACTGCCGCTGTACCGATCTAAAATCGTACTAACGGGACTCTTGAATTTGGCTTGACTCGCCACTGGTTCCGTATGCCTACCTTGTAGTAAGAAGTCTGCTTGTTGCTTGGCACTCTCTAGTAGTTCTAGGTCTTTGGCAGCGCGTGTCTGTGGTAGTGGAGCGAAGCCACTTTCAGCGCGAATGCGCGACAAATCGCCAAAGACATTGGCAGCAAACCCATGTGGAGGTGGTGGCAGGAGTAGGGATGCTGCAGCCGGCACACTACCAGGCGAAGCTGGTCTTCTTCCACCAGGCGGAGGGGGACGGTTGGGGAGATTAGAAGTAGAGCAGCATCGCTTCGTAGCTTTCTTGTTTGTCAAACATCTTAAAACCTTTTTCCAAAAGTAATAAATGAGGACTACAACTTATAAATATTATACAGACACCATGCACAAGGTGAAACGCCAAGAAGGCGAAAATCTCTCATCAAGTACCGAGGAACGAATACCAGGCTGCATAATGTAAAACGCTTTTGCGATCGCAGAACCAGGGGTAGGAGATTTAGAACGGAAAGGAAGCGCTGTTTCATATCTGCTTGCAGATGCCGAGTTTGAGACGCACAATTGCTCACTTTCGCGCTCGAGCTTCACACTAGACGATAATCCTTGTGAGTTGGGAGCGGAAGGCATGAACATGTTTGTGGACGTCGTAGAAGAGGCTCCTTCTTGTGAAGCGATCACAGTGGAATTCTCAGGTGCTCCTGCTGAAGGTTCTAGCTGCTCTTCTTGTTTATTACCTCCATGAGTAAAAGAACTGGTGCTGGTCAAAGACGAGACTACATCGTGATCGTCCTCTTCTTGCTGTAGTGCTAACGCATGATCCTCTTTCTGTAGCTGCTCTTTCTCCAATTTCATCTGTGCAGCACTTTGTTGACGTTGTATCAGAGTCTCCAATGGATCTTGGGTCTTGCTCACCATTCTCCTCAATGGCTTACTCCGAAGTTCTGGATCCAACATAGGCTTGTTTGGACGAATAGTAGTGGTACCAGAGGTAAGCATACAAGTTGTTGGAGAGGCTACTCCACCGTCACGACCAGAAGAGACTTGTGCTGTTTGGTCTTCGTGTAAAGGAGGCAAATTAGAAGCTGGCTTGGTTTCCTTGTTCGCGAGCCGTTGGGCGTCTCTCGTGGAAATTCTGCTTGGAGCTGTCGTGGCTGTCTTTCGCGCTACAGTAGTTTGCGCGGCGCCTCTCCTTGATGTTGCGGCACTGCTCTTGGCGCTTGCAGCAGAGCCACCAGAGGATGATGCACCTGCCGAAGTTCCCCTTGCGGGTGAGGACGATTTTTTACCACTACTTGCTTCTTTCTCTTTACCCGAACCCGAACCACTACCAGCACTCTGCTCTTTTGCCGCTGCTTTGCCCTTTTTTGCGTTAGATGAAGTACTACCAGACTGTTTAGAAGTAGGAGCATTCGATGAAGCAGCTCCACCTTTCGCCTTCGCCGTTGTAGATGCAGAACCAGAAGTTGCCCGTTCGCTTTCCTCCATCCACTCTTCAGATAAGGTTCTCTTGCGTGACACGGCAGAAGTGCTTTTTCCCTTAGGTGTAGTACTTGCAGCACTTGGCGTCAGTTCCATCTCCGGAACACTGTTGGGATCTCCTACAACGAACCACGACGCTGGAGCCAATCGAGGCGATTCTGGCTGATTTCCTGAAGATGATGACGCTGCACCAGGAGTGATGTCTCCTTTTTTATTCGGCAACGTCACACCACTTGAAATTTGCGAAAGCAGACCACTGGGTGCTTCGCTTGTTGGACCAGAAATTGTACCAGCAGGCGCCATCTTCGGTGACAAGTTGTTTGCAGATGCCTTAGCATTGGCAGCAACCTTCTTCGGTCCCCCTTTTGGAGAGGCAGTAGTAGCAGAAAGTTTAGGAGAAACCGCCGAAGCCACTTTTGCGGTTGGTGCAGAGGAATCAACGTCTAGCATGGAGGCTGAGCGACCACGTTTAGCTGCAGAGCCCCTGGCTTTAGCATTAGCCTGCTCGCTGCTTGCACTGGCAGCAGAGGCCTTCTCCGCGGCCCTAGCTTTCGGTTTCCGTGCTGGAGATTTTGCAGCACGGGCACCAACTTTCGCAGCTGTTTTCGATTTCAACGCCTTCTCCTTCTGATCTTCTTGCTGTTCCGATGCAGCTCCAGGTAAGCCTTCGTCACCACTGGCTGATTGACCGCGAGCTCCTCCACATGGGGTTCCAGAAGCTGCTTTATTTCCCTTTGCCTTACTTTTCGCTCTGCTACTCGTAGATGCTGGCGACGCCGATGAGGACGCATCATCGGACATCTCACTTTCTGCTTTGCTTCCTCGTCTGCCACGCTTCGCAGGAGCACTATTCGATGCACTGCGATCCCGTTTGTTGTTTCCCCCACTTCCAGCGCCTCCCTTTTGGCCACTATCACTAGCGCCACTGCCAGCTCTCCCACGCCGCACACGCGGGGTACCTCCAGAGCCCCCATCATCGCTAGTTCCAGCATCAGCGCTTGTCGCGCTCGCGTCACTCGCAGTCATACCTGGATAGTAATCGGATTCGAGACCGCCGCTTGCGACCCAAGGATTGTTAGAGCTCATCCAACAAGAAGAATGATTATTAAGGTTGCTAGATTGCAGGTGCGTAGGTCAAGTATCTTGAGAGTCATCTTGGAGATTAATACTCTCCTTGGGACACGGACAGTGCCAAGATGCTTCACAAGATGGATTAGGGTGAGCCTTAACATTGAACTTCTTCAAAGCACGAGTCGCGGCACCTGACGCCGCTTTCCTCATGCGCACGGCGCGGACCATCTGCAAGTCGCGTTTCAGCTGTTCCCGATTGTCTGCCCAACCTTGGATCAAAGCAGACGCTGTTTCACTCGAGAACATCTTCCACACCAAAGCTTCGGCCACGAACTCCTGTGGCACACCACGCCAATCCATCGGACCTTGTTTGCTGCGGACGGCTGGTGGATCTAGTTCCGTCTCACTCCCCCCTTGGTCTTGTTGAGACGAAGTAGCTGAATCCACCATCGGCACAGTAGTCGAGTTCGAATTTGTGCCGTTGTAAGTCGAGACTTGGGTGTTTGGACCATAGATCTTTTCGAAATTGGTCAACTTTTTCCAAACTGGATCATTCCATCGCATGCGGAAGCGACTGCGCGTGACCGAACGCAACGTAAATGTCCCATACTCGTTGAAAAGTTTCAGTTGACGAGCAATGCCGAAAGAAAGTTTTTCTTGCTCTTGATCTGTTTCTTCTTCAGTTCCTCGTCCTCTTGCGCCTGCAGTAGGACTTGTCGCATACGTGAAATCCAACAAGGGACTGCGGAATTCGACAGAAAAAGTTTGATCCCCTCCAACATTGCGTGTGACCGCACGCACAAAGCCAACAGCGCCAACTGGAATGCGACCTTGGATTTTCTCGCATTGTTGCACCTCCTGGTAGTACTCTTGACCGATCTTCGCTAAGCGAGCTGTCAAAGAGGAGTCTTCTAGTGGATCAGTATTAGAAGCTGTTCCTGCAGTACTAGATCCACTTCCACCTCTTGTAGACGCAGTTCTACTTGCGGAAGCAGCTCCTGCACTTGAACTTGAAGCTCTTGGTGTGCCTACTCCACCAGATCCGTCCCAACTGCCGCGACGTCGAACGGATTGGCCGCCGGACAAAGTTAGAGCGCGCAAGAATGGTAATCCAAGTTCAAGAAGAGCATTCTGGTAGTCGTGGTGCACTTTTCCCAGTGAAAACAAACTATAACTAGCATGTGGTCCAAGATGCCTCATAAAAATAACATGAAGGCGATGATGAAATTAAAGTAATAACGAAAGCCTTAACAAAGTGCTTTCGACCATTTCCTCATCCACATCGACCACATTGATCTCGAAGGTCGTGCGCACTAAGTCCATGTTGTCGTAGGTGACCTCGTACCTTGGACGCATACCGCGTTGGGTAAACCACAGAGGATTTTGTAGTTCGAGTTGGCCAACGGTGGCGCGACGAGTATTAGAAGTTCTTGAAGTCCATATCTACATTAATAAATTTCAAGAGGAACGTAATAAAGGCAAATAATGTCCTCTGACAAGTAAAACAAAGATAGAAGATCTAAGTAAGTGAGTTCATTCAAAAACAAGAGAGCCTTAAGACTAGTAGTCGTTCCAGCTTCTGTCGGTGATGTGAATCGCACTTCGGCCATTGCTTCGTGCTCCAGCATGCCCCCACTGTCAACACTTGTAATCACACCGATTTCTCCCGTATCGCGATCCCAGATCTTTGTTCCGACTGGGAAGCCTTTCACCTTTTGCTTCACTTCTTCAAACGATGGAACGAACATGCGCAACTTCTCCATCTGCTCAACTGAGAAGCCCTCTTCTTGGAGGAGTCGAAACGCGTTTTTGCGAGCACGTGGGACGTAGTATTTGTCGCGGACGACGTTGATTTTCAACACGCGCTTCTGGGTTTGTTGCTGCACAACACGCTTCCGCTCCAATGGATGAAGTTCGAGCCAAGTGCGGGTCTCGGTCCTGAGCACGCCAGACTTGTTCGGCTTCGAAGAGCTAGTGCGAGAATTGCTACAAGGCGACGCTGGAGGACCCGAAGCACCTCCACTGCCACTGCTTGATGCTCCAAAAGCATCAACTTCGACATTCGCGGAACCAGAGGAAGTAGAAGTAGTTGAACGACCTGAAGCTTGATCATTTCCACCTACTTGTTGTTTTGGTGACCCAGCTGCTACATTCGCGCACCACAGTGCGGTCTCATCAGCATCCACGGTCAAAGTCAGAGTTTCGATGCGGTCGTACTTCTTGATCGCCAAGCACCCGTTGCGAAATAAAGCTCTGCAAGCATCGTTGACCTCTAAGATTGCGCCGTCAGTGAAATCGATCTTGAAAGCGTCGGAGAGATTTACAATCGACTTTTCTGGAGAATCGATCCCAGGACTTTTGTGGAGAATCGATCCTAGTCCACCTTCAACAGGCATTTCTAACGAAAAAGTCTGAAATTTGACCTGATCAGACTGGCGCACATCGTAAGCGGGGAAAGGTTTCTTGATAGGCAGTGTCGAAACGCCTTGGGCAGCAAGCTCACCAAGCGTTTGGACTGGCGGATACATAGGCTCGATGTCGGGACGGTCGTACCTGTGATCATGATGAAGTTCTTTTTCTATTGGGAGTGAAGGAAAATTACTACTAGAACAAATCACAAATCGAGTAGAAGTTGATGTCCTCACAGGTGAAGTTCGTCGACACAAGAATTTTTAATTTTCTCTACAAAAATATCTTCAACTATCAACTAAGCTACTTAGAAGTTGTACTTGTAGCCCATGCTGAGCAGGTGTTCGTGTCTTGTTTGCACGATCTGTTGTAGTCGCGCGTGCAACATTAACGCTCTCCATATTTCATCTTCCAGCTGCATCCTTGATTCAAGTATGCCAGAGTATCGCACTGGGATACTCCCCGCCCATACGTCATTTCAAGGATGATTCATCATCATACTGCATCCCAAACTACGACCATACTGGGCCGTCGGCGGGCGGATGATATGATATTTCCTGCGGTATGATGATATATGATAGATGAAGTCGAAGATGCATTTACTACGGCCTTAACAACATGTCTGTCCAACCGTCTACGAAGTACACTTCTACTCCCACGCGGCGATCCAGAAAGAGCATTTTCTCCGAAATTTTTTCTACAGGGTTGATCAAGACGATCCAAGTGTACTTGATGTCGATGCCGTACACCAGCTCTGCCATCCATTTGTAGAAGAGAAGCTGAAGTGAATATTTAAAAGTCCGTGTCATCATCCACGGTGCTTGAAAGGCTTTGGCCACAAGGTTCAAACGGTAGTAGAGGCGACTGCTCCGCTTGCTTGCGAAATAGTCAGCAGATGCCGAACCGTCAAAAAACTTCTTCACAACCCTATCGAACTCCTCATCTTCCGCTTGCTCCACAGCAGCCTGATCCTTTCCTGCCGAACCGGGGACTTGAGTTAGAAAAGTTCTTTGTCTACAGGAAGAAGGAGAAGAGTGAATGCCTCCAGGAGCCCAAGAACTGTTTTTAGGTACTAGGTCTTCTTGGAGAGAAGATAAAAATATTACACTCTCATATATTATAAATTCTTATAAGTTGATAGATAAAAAACATAACAAAAAAAAAATCTATATTATTAATCTATATTATTAATCTATATTATTAATTTATATTATTAATTTATATTATTAATCTATATTATTAATCTATATTATTAATCTATATTATTAATCTATATTATTAATCT